TTAGAGAGTCTTACGCATGGTTAAGCCATAATACTGACGTGGATGACAAAGTAAGTTTTTGTTTTTACTGAAACAAGTCACTGTCTTGGATATGTGAAGTTGCCTGAGTTTGGTTTGCAAAAAACAAAATCATGTAGGTGGCATCATGGTGGGACTATGGTTATCAGACGACAGCTATGGCTAACAGAACTGTTATTGTTGACAACAACACCTGGAATAACACTCACATTGCAACTGTTGGCACTGCAATGTCTTCTCCGGAAAAGGCGGCGTGGGAAATTTTCAACTCCTTGGATGTGAAATACGTTCTTGTTGTCTTTGGTGGTATGTTTTTGGCTCATGACATTTGTTATCTTCTGTATCATCTCCGAAGTATGTTTTCTGATGGGACAATCATTTCATCAGGTCTTATTGGTTACCCAAGTGATGACATCAACAAGTTTCTGTGGATGGTGCGTATTGGAGGCGGCGAATTTTCTCATATAAAGGAAGCTGATTATCTGGTAATTTTTCCTTTTTCTTTGGGTTTTAGCAACAAGTTGTGATGGCTCAATAATTTTTGAAGAGCTTGAATCTAACCCGGTTACCTGTTTTTGGTTTGCATAGAGAGATGGCCAATACCGGATTGATTCAGAGGCCACTCCAACAATGTTGAACTGCCTTATGTACAAGCTCTCTTACTACAGGTAACGATGCTTTCCTGTAAGTCTAACATTTAACTCTGTTTACAAGGCTCAGTTTTTATGTTCTTGGTTCCAGGTTTGTAGAGACAGATGGTAAAGGTTATGATCGGGTCAGGCGGACAGAGATTGGGAAGAAGAACTTCAAGCTAACTCATTTCGATGAGGTGAGATTAAAATTCTTTACTACAAACCGGGTGCGCATTATTGGTTCCACTTAGATTCTGGTTAATGTGATTCTGTTTTTTGGTTCGTCAGGTATTCACGAGTCACCATTGGATGGTTCGGATATACAAGCTGAAACCTCAAAAAAACAGGATTCGTGGTAGAGTAAAGAAGCTTAAATCAGTAAGCATCTGTAAATAATTTGGATGTCGCGACTAATGAATGATACTCGTTTTGGGACGACTTAATACTAACGTAGCTTTTGTTTTGTTACCAGAAAACAAGCTCTGGATCGTTTACAAAAACGGAGAAGAAGAACCCGTGGATCTAGAAATCCTAGAATGTTCAATGCTGGATGATGAGTTATATGTTGAACTCTTAGTAGGGTCTCTCTTTATTCTCGAGGAAGTTGTTACAGGACGAAGTCAAGTTTCTGGTGTAGGACTCGTAAAAGTTTTGTACACTTTATTTCAATTTGCTAAACCGAATTTTACGTGTCTCGTGGAGGATTTACAAGTATGAGTGGCCAAATCGGTTCTCGAAATAGCTTCAGTTTTACATAAGTTTCCTTTAAAAACTTATATGATCTGAATAATCTGATTGATAGAATTTTGTATAAAATTGAGTCATTTTGTCATGTGGAAATCTAAATAAGTTATCAAGCAAGCATGTAATCTACCCCAAAACAATGCTTAGCTCTTTCACGTGAAGCTCTGCAGTATCACTTAACGCGTTATTAATATCGACAATCACATGATTCACATCAAACCAAAAAAAATGTTCTTAGAGTCAAAAGAACACACATTTGCAGCTGCATGGATCTTGTTCGTCTTGGCTCGAGCTGTAAATTTGCATCTCATGGAATGAGCAGCATATCAAAGAATTAGAACATTGCTAGATCAATCTTCTCAAACGGTTTCACGTATTTATGAGAATTGCCCTATATTATTGTGTGTGATATATTTGTGTATAATAATGTGATGGATGAGCTAAATTTAGATAAATCAGCATGGAAAAATGGTTACATTTAGTTAAACGGAACAATTTTTTTGTATATGCTTTTCTCATGAAGGACACACGACCCAAGGTTTGCTTTATATTTTTTATTAGGAAACAAAAAATGTCAAAACTAGACATAATTTTATATGATTTGAGGGAAAATTTGTCAACTAATTTTTATATCAACATACGGAAGCGATTACGCCTATCATCAAATCATTATTTTACTTAACCACATCTATATTTTACAGTTCTGAAAAACCGTAAATACTAGCGTTTACATAAGATGAAAGGGTGATCATCAGATTATCTGTTGGTTATATTCATACAATATTACTTGGATAGTTTAACACAAGAAAATCATTGACTAGTAGTAGTATATATTTTAAAATGTAATACATAAATATGGATTTCACAAGATTTTTTTTTTTTTTTTTTGTATGAATGTTAAGTGGATTTCACAAGATGAATCGTAGAAGATAAATTTTGGAAAAAGTATTATTTTGTTTACGTGGGACTGTGGGAGCGAAAATACATAAATTATAATATCAAACAAAATAGATGTAAAAAGTCAAATACATATATGTTGTTAAAAAAAAACAAAGTCAAATATATGCAACCACTATAAAAGACAAACATTTGTCATTAGAAAAAAGAAGTCAATAGCGATCTTGGAGCACCACTGTTCTTCTTCTTTTTTTATTAATATAGAAAAACATGTTTGGATGTTTCAGGACAAAGACTAGATCAAGTAAAGATAGGTTTGACACTCTTAAGATCGAATGACAGGTTTATTGAGACAGATTCAATTCCATATAACAAGTAACAATGATCCTCGAAGAGCCCCTACCGAAAAGAAACAAACAAATTACAACGGCTCTTCGTTGATAACAAAATATTTTATGTAGTTATCTATGACATGCATCAACGTTCTGAAATTCAGGAACTGATCAGAGAATGTATCATATTATAGGATACTCGTAAATATCTATAAAACAAATTATGTATATCTAGAACCTAATAAATATATTGTGTATGTATTAAAAATATTTAAGTATCGTTTTTGTTTTTTGTTTTATTTCTTTGTATTTGATGTTAATCTAGGTAACCAAACATATATATCGACCCCGTATAGTTTGAGAAGCAAAATTTTGTGCTTGCATGTTTCATTTGACTTTATACTCTTTATAAAAAACAGCTTGCATATTTCATTTGACTTTATAATCTTACAATAATAAAAAGTAAACACTAATTAAACAAAATATTGTATGTACTGATGTACATTGTTTACTGGAAGACAAATCTCATGCAAATGAGAAACGAACATGTTTATGCTTAGTAACGCCGGCGGGGTAGTGTATTTCAAAAAAATTGTGACGTTTGAGTCAATATTTTGAATCACGCGCGAGACTTGGTCGCAAACCAACAAAAAAAAAACGGGTTTAGAAGATATGATCCACGGCGTTTCAACCATATGTGAGCTAAGTTATGGTGAAAAAAAAGAAGAGAGGTTTTCTGTATAGAAAAAGAGATTTTCTCGCTTAACAAAAAGAGAGAGAGAGAGAGAGAATTTGGAAATTTGGTTATATAAAAAAAATACATGACCTCAAACTAATATACCAGATCAGTTAAGACGGATTCGGAACATTTAAAAATTGTCATCTATTTTTTGCTGTCATTTATGTACTGAAAGAGATGCAAATCCTGAGACGTGTGAAGGTGAAGCTGATTATTGTCAGGGCCATTATTTCTTTATGGTTTCATCTTTTCGAGGATGCCAAGTTATTGGATTGATAAGTGTGAAAAAATACTAATATATACTTCATGTACAGACTACAGAGATTTCAAATTTGAACAAGTCTAAAACGCGAGTGTCTTGCCTGCCTCCAAGGGGTATTGATGGGCCCTATACACGGTAAGAGTGATCCTAACTCGAATCGTGGTTACGCAGAGAGAGCATGACCACTCATTTGCGAGTGCTCTCCTCCGGTCCTTCATAGGTAACGTGACCACATTTTCTGGTGTTCGAGGGCAACTTAGAAAGTAGTCTTAACCATTATCTATCGAGTTGTTTGGATATATGTAGGGTGAATTCTAAACATTTTTTAGAGTCGGTCCAAGAGACAAGGAAATAAAACTGAAAATTGGTGATATACGATCCACCCTAAACTAAATTACACGTGTTGCTTACTAACTTGACAAAATCTTGGTGTATGTATTGACATTGAATAAAATAGTTTTTGATTCATATATCTTCTGATATTATTTTTAATATTAATCTGTAACATTTAGCTTAAAACTTATTGAGAACTGATAGCCGCAAATAGTTACTAGTATGATGGTGCAGCTGTAATCTACATATACAAGTATACAACAGTAGTTTTAAGTGGTGGTGGTGGTTATATTTGTGAGTGATAATCACATCATACATGTTGTTTGGATGTATGTCCGTTTGTCCGACCTATATATATTTAGTTCTCAAGTGTTTAACGTTCTCCTGGCAAACCGGAATTGACCAATTATCATAAAAATTGGTTTTATATCTACATCTATCCAATTTATTTTTAAATACACTATTTTCATTAATAATATGAAAAGAGATCTTTATTATCATTTGATGTATTCATTGAAAGGTAGATAATCTTTTTAATTATGTACATAAAATTATGGTTTTTCTTAAAAGTTAAGAAATTATACTTTTCTTAAGATGAGTACTAGATAGCTTATCATTTATTGAATATCTTTTCAAATCTAGCTAAAATTATTGAAGTAATGGATGCTATTTATTAAAAAAGTTAAAGTTTAATATTAAAAACATAATAATTGAAATAAATAATTAAAAAGTTTACAAATGAAATGATGTTGTGTCACAAGTTTACACATCCTTTTATGATGTGGCAATTGCAGAAAAGACTCCAATTAAATTTATATAGATAGATTGATATTGAAAATTAGCCTTTAAATAAATATGTCTGACTTTAATTTTTTTAGTTGAAGAAAAGCCACTGATTATCAGACCCATTCCTATAATACGTGAGAGACATATACTAGTGTCTGCCTGTCTATATATATAACCGGAAATTTTCTGCTTTAGACATCGGCAGATAATCTTATCTATTAACCCTAATCCTCTTTGTCTTTTATTTCACAGACAAAATGGAAAACCCTAACATCACTGTTCACACAAATCTTCTATCGAAGCAAGACCTGGAAAAGCAAGACCCCACCCGTATTTTCCCGGCAATCTCTGAGCTCAAAACAGAGGCAAAGTCACTCTTCTCCTTAGCCTTCCCCACAATCCTCGCCGCCCTCATCCTCTACGCTCGCTCCGCCATCTCCATGCTCTTCCTCGGTCATATCGGCGAACTAGAGCTCGCTGGTGGCTCATTGGCCATTGCCTTCGCCAACATCACTGGCTATTCAGTTCTCGCAGGCCTTGCACTCGGTATGGATCCACTCTGTTCTCAAGCCTTTGGAGCCGGCAAACCAAAACTCCTCTCTCTAACTCTCCAACGAACCGTACTTTTCTTGCTCACAAGTTCCCTAGTAATCGTCGTTTTATGGCTCAACTTGGGAAAGATCATGATCTCTCTCCATCAAGATCCAAGCATCTCATCATTGGCTCAAACATATATTCTCTGCTCTATTCCTGATCTACTCACCAATTCAGTTTTGCACCCTCTTCGTATATACCTTCGAGCACAAGGTATCACAAGCCCACTAACTCTTGCCACACTCGCCGGCACCATCTTCCACATACCTATGAATTTCTTCCTAGTTTCTTACCTTGGATTGGGTTTCATCGGTGTTTCAATGGCCGCCGCCGCTTCAAATCTCTTTGTCGTCGTGTTCCTTGCGACTCACGTTTGGGTCAAAGGTCTACACTCAGCGACGTGGACCCGCCCTAGCTCAGAATGTTTCAAAGACTGGGGTCCACTGGTCAGCCTTGCCATACCAAGCTGCGTCGGCGTATGCCTAGAGTGGTGGTGGTACGAGATCATGACCGTTCTATGTGGTTTACTCGTAAACCCTAAAACGCCAGTGGCAGCAATGGGTGTTCTTATCCAAACGACGTCTTTGCTTTACATTTTCCCGTCGTCTCTCGGACTCGCGGTCTCCACACGCGTCGGTAACGAACTCGGGTCAAACCGCCCGAACAAGGCTAGGTTATCCGCCATAGTTGCGGTTTCCTTTGCCGGGGTAATGGGTATGACCGCGTCTGCGTTTGCGTGGGGAGTAAGCGACGTCTGGGGACGGATTTTTACAAACGACGTCGATATCATCAAGTTAACAGCCGCCGCGCTGCCAATTCTAGGGCTATGCGAGCTCGGGAACTGCCCGCAAACAGTAGGTTGCGGGGTTGTTAGAGGGACCGCTCGGCCGTCGATAGCGGCCAACGTAAACCTAGGCGCGTTTTACCTCGTTGGAACGCCTGTAGCGGTTGGGCTAACGTTTTGGGCCGCGTATGGGTTTAGCGGGCTTTGGATAGGTCTTTTCGCGGCTCAGATATGCTGTGCGGCTATGATGCTTTACGTCGTGGCTACTACAGATTGGGAGGGAGAAGCAAAGAGAGCCAAAAAGCTAACGTGCACTGAAAGCGTGGATGTGGTGATTACAGCGCAAAGTAACGACGGTGACTCAGCGGAACCACAATTGTACATTGTCACTGTCGCTGCTGACTGATATGAATCGAATGCTACGCATTGTTTAATAATTTTCTTCTTCTTTTTATGATTACTTGAAATGATCGTTTTTGGGGAAAGGTATTGTGAGAATTTGTAAATTTTGACGAGAAAGAAAACAAAAAGAAATCATATTGATTTTTCCTATTTAACAAGTTAAATGTATTGTCGCCAAAATTCTACTAAAAGATAAACAACACCAACTATATAATATAGCTATAGTATTTAATTATTATGATATAAAAAGGTTACTTTGCCTCACTTGAAGCCACGACAATGAATCTTGGAACCATCTATGCTTTGAGTGCTCCTTCGATAATGTGGTTTACTGGTTATGTTCTCTGTCAAAAACTGTTTGGATTACGTTGGAGCAATGTTTTCTTCTTTCTTCTAGACGAAGTACGGAAATAATATTTTAATCAAAATAATCAAATCATACATCATATCATATAAGATAACAAATGAAACCTTTCAAAATTATTACAAGTAATCATCAACTGACAACTGAGATATCTAACGATGGTTGGGTCATGGGCAGGTGGAATATTTGTCTTACGAAACAAACTACCTTGCTTGCATAGTTTCAGCTTGAATTCACAGCTAGTTCTGTTGGACCAGCTTGTCTCATCAACTGCCAAAAAAGTGAAACTATAAGTCTATAATTAATATTCGATTCTCATCACGATATATATGAAAGTTTACTATAGTTGAATGTGTTTAATATAATTCGAGAACAGAAACCATGCATGTGCTATTTTAAACCTGGAAATAAGTCTCGAACTTGGCGCGGAGTTCACTGTGCTCCTTCTTAATATCACGCATTGCTGCTTTTATTCTTCAAAGTAAATTATATAAAAACAAGCATTTTTAGACTATGTCTCAATTTAAACAGCTAAAATCATAAAGACTTGAAGAAATAAAATGAAAAGTGACTTACCCTTTTATGTTACCAGCGTCGAGAAATGTGTTTGCCTTCTTAAGTTCACTACAAACTTTGGTCGCACCAATGCTGAATGAAATAAACCTCAGTATATCTTAATGTTCAAATCTTATTTATTTTTTAAATCTCTTTGCAAAGTAAAAATCACTAGCCTGGAGCTGCTGCTTTTTAACCGCTGAATGCATCTGGTAATCTTGGGTACCTCTACTGGCTCTCGCTCCCTGATTCAAAAATACCATGACCATTAGTCAAGTTAAAATCTATTAAAAGATTTAGCATTCAAATGTTCAATATTTTTAAATTTTCACATATATGAAGTGCGCATGCACTAACACAAGTATATAAGAAATATATAAGTCTCTACATTTTATAATATCTCTTTACTCATTGTCAACTATTTTTGAAATGGATATCCATGATTTCTCACACTATACATAGATATTTTATCAGACAGGAGCCTTTTTCTGTCAACAGGTATCATTGATTAAAACGGCACGTACACAGGTACACGTTGAGAAATCCAACAAAAGTAGGAAAAATGTTATAACAATTATTTATACATACAATTTATAAACAATTTGTTACTTGTCACATTTGTTTTAGTTTATATGAAGATACGTAAAGTTGTTTTCTAGATCTTGCAGTTGTGTCAGCTAAATCTAAGATTTTCAACATACAGATCTAACTTTCTGTCCTTGCTATATATAATTCAATACCGATGAATTACATGGATGTATAATATCAGGCGGCTAGCTTTTGATATGGAGAGAGATAGGAAACTCACAATTCATGTTCCAAAGCAGCAATGACATTAGGGGAATCTCTGAAATAGAGAGTTATTACTTCTACAATAAACTTAGGGTTTCCGTCTTTCTCCAAGTCCTCTATCTGACTGTACTGACAGTTGAGGTACCCCTGCGTCAATATTTTTTTCAGAAAATTTAAACGAAATTTCACATATAACCTACAAATGTTGTACTTGTGAAAAGCTTAGATCAATTTTGAATGTGCCAGTATCCATAGGTATGGATATTCAAGTCTTCTGTAATCAAGTAGCAATCCAATTAATTAGACATCACATAATACCATTAAATAGGATAGAGTCATCACATGACACGATAACAACAATGAAGAACTACTAGATTACTCTTTCCTACAATTCTTTTAACTCTAAAAAATCTTATTTAGACTCTCATATGTTTTGTGTTGATGTGTGAAATGATTTTTTGTTTAATTAAAACAAGAATTCAAAATATATAAATCAACCGCATTGCTCTTTTGTATGTACACATGTGGGAATTATTATTGTATATACGCTCATATGCATATTAGTTTGAAATATACTAACCTCTTCAAAGAAAGATTGTCTCATCTCTTGAACTTTTAGATGCAGGGCTTTGGTATCCATTTAATGGTATAGTATAGGGTAAAACCCAGAGAGAAAAATGTATGTCTACTTGCACGTACAGAAATCCATATAGTTATATGGCAATAAAGTGAAAGCAAAAAATTGTAAATTGAAGACAAAATCTTGAAGCATCCTCTTGTTGAGCAACATTTGCAAAAATTTACTGTATGATATCTGTGTTTTGAGAAAAGGACCTAGTTTTGTAGGATGACTTACGATCGTATCCGATCTTTGATACATATTTTGTTTTTCAAGATTATCTAACATGTTTTCTCTTAGACTATTAGTGATCGTATCTACCTTTGAGTCTGAGTGCAATGGCTCTAAAAATCTGCGACTTTAAGAAAGTCTGATACCAAATCTTGAAAAATAAGTACAAAATCTGGAAGTAATAACTCAAAGAAAAAGAAAAATCTCTATCTAGCTGAACAATAGTTGTGCTAATTTTTGTAAGGACAGAAGAGTTATTTTAACTTGATCAATTATATATTACTCACCGAATTTGCAAAGTCATATGGCTATTATTTCCATTATTTGTGAGTTTCACGGTTATCTAAAACAATTCTCTTAATATAATTTGTATAATTATGATATCAAACAGTATAAATAAAGTATCCCTTTTTTTGAACAAACAAGCATTGATGGAAACCATAGTTCACGAGAAGAGTGTTTGTCCCTACCAGAAGCCAACAAGAAAAGGAAATAAGAGAGAGTCACGGGCACTGAAAGACAACATCAATTGATAGAATAAAGAGAAGCCACCTTAGTTGTGCACAAAACTTTTCGTTTTTTATACTTCACCCAAAATTTATAAATGTGCACCTCTTAATTAGTGGACTCCTATCACTAATCACTAATCAGTCATAACCAACATTCACCAGTAATGTGCAATACTTTATATTTAGTTCATAAATATTGCTGGGTGGTAGCAGCATGCGGGTTTGGTACGCAGCACTGCAATCTGCAAACAACGGAAAAGAATGTTATCCACTGTGACATGTACTAGTGTATATGCCTTAATGGGAATATTTCGGCCGCAATAGTTAATGCGTTATGTTTACTGCTACCATTAAAAACCATGTCAAATTCATGATTTAAGATTCTATTGATGATATCTACTTTTGGAATTTCGTTTTATGAAAATTTGGTAATTACAACACTTTTTATTCTTTATCGAATTAGCTATGTTACTTTTCTTACATTGTTTATCACAATTTTACCCCCAAAAACTAGAACAATTAATTACACCCCAAGAAAAAAAATAGCAACGAGGACAAAAAATGTCGTCTGGTTAAGTTTATTAAAAATTCAAACAGTGTTTTTTTTTACTTTTTGTTTAATTGTCATCGAACATGAACATGTGGTTTTTTATCCATATTATGTTATTTTTATTCAGCCTGATTTAGTTTTGTTGGGATTCCATGTGATAAATTAGACGTCTATGTACAAATATAACATGTTACGGAAAAAATACATATACTCTGTGACAGTTAAATAATTTTGCATATTCTTTTACGAAATTAAATTAAGAATTTATTTTCTCATCCCAATTTGGTTTCCACTGGTTAATCTGATGAGATGGTAGTGTCCATGTTAGCTTCATGATATTTTTGTTAGTTTCCATCTTAGCTCATACTCATGTGCAACAAACACCTCTTATTCTCCTGTTTGTTCATCTTGTGCAACTTCCTTTTTTTATAAAGGATAAGTGCATCTTCCTTGACTATATATATATAGTCTACTTTTTACATAAAACTGAATTTCTTTTTTACACGAAATTGAATTCACATGTGGTATAACTCGTGATTAGCTTTTGTTGCTCAGTAATAAATAAGAAATGAGCTTCACATCAATATGGGTTGGATTTCTTTTTCTTTCTTTGTTTTTTCCTTGTGGGTTCAGTTTGTATAACTAAATAATAGAGTCTCCTTTTTTTTTTTTTTGGCATTTTGCTAGGCCTCTCATTCTACGTGGATGTAAGTGGAACCACCCCGTGATCTCTTCCCTTCTGTCTCTTTTCACCTAATTCCATTACCAAAGTACCAAGCACTCGACCGTCTCTAACAACACACACACACATCATGTATATATATATTAACACTTACATATTTTTGAGAAATCACATAAGCCATATATATTATTGGCGTACTTTGTATCTTTGGCGAAACCTAAAAAACAAAAACAGAAAAAACACCTTATATTCTGTAATTGATTCTTGTCGTATAGATGCCCAAATTCAATTCTTCCCAAGCTCCCATTTTATTTCTTCTCCTTCTCGTTATCCTTCTCTGTTCAACACAAACACAATGCCACACCAAAGGTCTACGAGTACGACCAAGAAACCAGAAGAATGTGAACACCACGAGTGGCCAGACGCAAAGCCCGGAGGAGGAATTCTTGAAATGGGTGAGATTCGTTGGGAGCCTAAAACACTCGGTGTTCAAGGCAGCCAAGAACAAACTCTTCCCTTCCTACACACTCACTGTCCATAAAAAACGCAATAAAGGTGACTTCACTAAAATCCAAGACGCCATTGATTCTCTCCCTATCATCAACCTTGTTCGTGTCGTCATCAAAGTTCATGCCGGAGTTTACAAGTAAGCACATGACTTTCTTCTAAGTAGCCTGAGTTTTAGGGTAATTACGTTTTAATCAAAATATGTACCTGAATATTCATCCTCCTCTGTTCTCAACTTTCTTTTTTATATTTTTAATAATGAGGATTGAGGTATGGTACCTCTAGACGACAGTAATTAGGTCGATCTTGCAGGAGTACTATATATATACAGTAAATAAATAGTGTTTGGTACATTCTGCAGTATTAATTCCAAATTGGTACCACATCATCTGTAGATACTATACTTTTTTATTTTCAGTATGTGTGGTCGTAATTACACTTCCAACAGCCTGAACCGTAGATTCTGGAATTTTGTCTATATACATTTTGCTGTTTTGCGATTTGTTTTCACTCAATTTAAGCAGAGCACGGTGATTCCATATCTTGTGATTTCGTCCTTTCCTAGTTTCCTCTTTCCTGCATGAGCCAAAATTTTAATTATGAAACTGAAAGAGTCTAAACACGTATTGCCAATAAAGAAATGTAGCAATCAATGATCTCTCTGTCTCAAAATCAACACTATATGATCACGTGAACTTGAATTTTTTTGTAATATGCACTAAAGGTAGAGTACGCTTACTTAAGCAAATCTCTAGGAAAATGAAATTTTATAGTGCCATTTTAGTATTACCGAGTTATAAAGCGCCATGGGTCCATATACAGTCCATGCTTACCACCCATAACTTTTATGCAAACTATTTTCTTACTATATAGTATAGCTATAATAAGATTTATAAGAAAATTAAGCAAACTAATAATTAAAATGAAAATAAATAAATAATGGGGAATCTCATAATAAGATGATGTGTAGGGAGAAGGTGAACATACCCCCAATGAAGGCATTCATAACAATAGAAGGAGAAGGAGCAGAGAAGACAATAGTGGAATGGGGAGACACAGCACAAACACCTGACCCAAGAGGCATCCCCATGGGCACCCATAACTCTGCCTCTTTTGCCGTTAATTCCCCTTTCTTTGTTGCCAAGAACATGACTTTCAAGGTAAGTTATAATTTGTTCAATTCGATTTGGATGTGTAACTTTTGAGTCCATGCATCTTAACTAGCGTTCTTATATGTATGTAGAATACGACCCCTGTCCCATTGCCGGGCGCGGTTGGAAAACAGGCAGTGGCATTGAGGGTGTCAGCAGATAATGCAGCGTTTTTCGGGTGTAGAATGCTTGGTGCACAAGACACTCTCTATGATCATTTGGGAAGACATTATTACAAAGACTGTTACATTGAAGGATCTGTTGACTTTATCTTCGGCAATGCCCTTTCTCTCTATGAGGTAATCATTCTCATACCCATATCTAATAGTCCAAGCTTGCTAGGTTAGAGCCTATCATGTCCTAGAACATTAATGTCTATAGCTATAGCAACTTTTAGATTGGTCCTTGCTCTAAGAAGAAAATAATGGTGGTGTTTCATTTAGGGGTGCCATGTGCATGCGATAGCGGATAAGCTAGGAGCAGTGACCGCGCAAGGGAGGAGTAGTGTGCTAGAGGACACGGGATTCTCGTTCGTAAAGTGTAAGGTGACAGGGACAGGGGTTTTGTATCTAGGGAGGGCTTGGGGTCCCTTCTCAAGAGTCGTCTTTGCTTACACTTACATGGACAACATCATCCTCCCTAGAGGCTGGTACAATTGGGGCGACCCTTCACGCGAGATGTACGTTTACTTTCACTTCTCTTCTCACCTCATGAATGTTTTTAAAATTACATATAACTTTAAAACACTTAAACCAAAACGGACCATACTTGATCATATTTAGATTGAATATGACTAACACATTGATTGAAACTGAAGAACACTCCATACTTGATTATGAATTGTACAACACATTTCAGTCCAACTTTACAAAACACGATGTCGTTGCTTCATCCATTTCAGAGTCCTAGGTCCCCACCACTCAGCATCTTAACCGACTTAAGTTTTGTCTTATTACCCAAAAACGTTGCCTTTGATATAAAATATTATACTTTGTGTGTGGACGCGTGCATTCTTGTAGATATTGAAGCTGAAAGCCATTTAAATCAGGCGTGCGTAGTCTATTCTAGTGCTATCACCAAAATGAATAACATACGGCATCAAACACAAGTTTTCACCACAGAAATAAACAACAAATAGTGTACACAATCTTTTTTTGTTTATAAGAAAAAGTAACTGTAAATGATTGGTTGTTAAAAAAATGATTGGTTGTAAAAACAAATGTGCAGGACGGTGTTCTATGGGCAGTACAAGTGCACGGGAGCAGGAGCAGACTATGCAGGGAGGGTGGCTTGGGCCAGAGAGCTAACAGACGAAGAAGCCAAGCCTTTTGTCTCTCTAACCTTCATCGACGGCTCTGAATGGATCAGACTCTAACACATCATTACTTTTCTCTCTGTCTTTTTCCCACCTAATTAATTTGTAATGTACATTTGCCTTTTAATAAATTGATAATACAGTTTCTTAAAACAAGTCCTAGTGTTTTTGAAAACACACTCACTGATGAATGATGAATCAAATGAAAATCCATAAAAGGACAATCCAAATCATCATGCAGAGAGACCAAGATCATCTTTTTGAGGATACAGTATATATGCTAATCCAAAAAGTTTCTATCTTTGTCACCAAACGTGCTCAAAACCAATACTATGACACTGTTAATAATTTATGTATATGAAGATAACATTAAAGTAATAGATTATTGCGACGATCAATAATTGCAAAGTCGATTCATTCTAGTCCAAACCAGAGAGGTAGGTGGTGATTATCTAAGAAAGAAGCTCCATTGATGTCGAAATCAAAAGCTCTCGCCTTCATAATCGCTGCTTTAGCTTACTACTCCCTCTTCTCTTCTTCACCAAAACCTCACTACCACTCCCTTTTCCTCTCCTCTTCCTTCTCCGACAACGCCTCCGTCGCCTTAAACCTCCGCACCCTCACGCGCCGCCCCCACGTGGCCGGCTCGGCGGCCAACGCTGAGGCAGCCGCCTATGTTCTCTCCACCTTCAGCTCCTTTGCACTCAAATCACACGTCGTCGCTTACCATGTATCTCTGACTTACCCACTTCATCGCTCTCTGGTACTAACTCCCAGAGACTCTGCAAAGCCGATCACTTTCGCGCTGGAACAAGAACAAGTCGGAGACAATCCTTACGCGAATGAAGTGACGCCTACTTTCCATGGATACGCCAAGTCAGGTAATGTCTCTGGGCCGGTGGTTTACGCGAGCTACGGTCGAGTCGAAGATTTCGTCGGCGTGAATGCCTCCGGAGCCGTCGTAATCGCGAGGTACGGGAAGATCTACAGAGGAGACATAGTGAAGAACGCGTATAGAGCGGGAGCTGTAGGCGTGGTGATCTACACAGACAAGAGAGATTACGGCGGAGACGAGTGTTTTCCGGCGAGCAGATGGATGCCGCCGAGTGGGGTTCAAGTGGGTACCGTTTATAACGGGTTGGGTGATCCGACGACTCCTGGGTGGGCAAGCGTCGATGGGTGTGAGAGATTATCGGACGAGGCCGTCGAATTGGCCGGCGATTCTCCGCAAATACCTTCGCTGCCTATCTCGGCGGCTGATGCTGAAGTAATTTTGAAGACTGTGGTCGGAGATGTTGGGCCTGGACCTGGGATCTTGAACCTGAGCTACATTGTGAGTTTGTGATCGTTTTCAGATTTGTGTTTGTTACTGAAAGATTTGAACTTTTTGGGGATTTGGTTTCAGGGAGAAACTGTGATAGCGAAGATTGAGAATGTGATTGGAGTGATTGAAGGAGAAGAAGAGCCTGATAGGTACATATATGTACACACATTCTCAACATGAAGAGGCAATGGACTTTAAAGGTAACTTTTGATTGTGTTTTGAATGAATTTGGTTAGATATGTGATTCTTGGAAACCATAGAGACGCTTGGACTTTTGGAGCTGTTGATCCCAACAGTGGTACTGCTGTACTTCTTGAGGTGAGTAATTGAACTGCTGAAAGTTTTTCAATGGTGACATTGCAATGAGAGATGTTGAATCTTTCGGTAGATAGCACAGAGACTAGATAAGCTGCAGAAAAGAGGATGGAGACCTCGACGGACGATTATTCTTTGCAATTGGGATGCTGAGGAATATGCTCTGGTCTCTAGTCTCTACCTCACTTTTGTACCTTTTGTAATATTCAAAGCAGCAGAAAGTGGTTTGATGTATTTTTTGTGTGTAGATTGGGTCAACGGAATGGGTAGAAGAGAACAGAGAGATGTTAGCTACGAGAGCAGTGGCCTACTTGAATGTAGACTGTGCTGTATCTGGCCCTGGATTTCATGCTTCTGCGACTCCACAACTCGATGAGTTGATAAAACAAGCGGCTCAAAAGGTACTTTAACTAAGCATATGGGTGTTATGTGACTGTCTTACATAATCAAGCTTTTTTGTTTAACTATATGCAGGTCCAGGATCCAGATAACACAACGCAAACAATCTATGAATCGTGGATAAGATCAAACAACTCTGGTGTGGTAAGTGAAGAGTACTTGCACACTATGTTAGATTACAAATGTTGTCTTATGGTAAACTGATTTGTGTACTTTTGGTATGTGAAGATCGGAAGATTAGGGGGTGGAGGATCAGATTACGCATCGTTTGTTCAACATGTTGGCGTTCCATCTGTTGACATGCTTTTCGGAGGAGGTAAGTCTCTGAACTAACATTAAGATGAGCAAAAACATTGTATAAACACCAAGCCAAATAAGCTTTAGAGACTAATCATTGGTGAAAATAACAGGATATCCAGTTTACCACTCTATGTATGATGACTTCACTTGGATGGAAAAATTTGGAGACCCCATGTTTCAGCGACATGTCGCAATGGCTAGTGTTCTTGGTTTGGTCGCTCTTCGTTTAGCAGATGAGGAATTCTTACCATTTAACTATGTCTCCTATGCATCAGAACTCAAGGTATAACTACATTGACATCTTCTTAAAACATATGTTTATAGATTTGCCTAATTGTATATCTCTACCTGCATGAACAGAAAAGTGCGGAAGATTTGGAGAAGGAGAAGTTAGGCCATGGCATTGATGTTTCTCCGTTGATCAAATCGATTCAAGATCTATACAAGGCTGCACAAGGGATAAATATAGAGAAAGAGGTATGTATGGTTATGGTTTTAACATTTGACAAAGCGACAAGTGATGATGAAATTGGTTTATTGAGAGTAGTCTTTGATGGACTTTGTAGGGGATTAAGGGAGCTTTGAAAGTGAGAGAGGTTAACGACAGATTAATGATGGCGGAGAGAGCTTTAACAGACAGAGATGGACTCTCTGAGAGGACCTGGTACAAGCATTTGGTATACGGACCGTCCAAGTACGATGACTACGGATCCAAGTCTTTTCCTGGAGTTGATGATGCTATAGATAATGCTAAGAGGCTAAAGACCAAAGAGTCTTGGGGACATGTTCAACACCAAATCTGGAGAGTCTCTAGAGTTATAAGACATGCATCACTTGTCTTAAAAGGTGACTTGAGATGATATCAAGAATGCTGCTCTCTCTATACTTTGTAGAAAAAAATTGGATTTTATTCGGTTAATTTCGGTTTAATCAATAACAAAGACATTGGGCGAGGCCCGTTAATCAATAACAACAAGCTTAAACCCAAAAAAGCCCATTAACAAGGCCCAAAATATCACCGGAAGCTTTCGTTTTCATGTTTATCCCACCACGGAGATTCATATCCCAAAGTATACGACGACAGTCACCACCATTTCAGCTAAAGTATCAGACCAGACGAAACCACAATGCTTAACCCCGCCACTTTCACCCGGAAAACACCATTCTCGCTCAGTTCTCTTGGGTTTTCCGGTAATAACACCACGTTTTCCAGTCGGAGGACTCTAACTGAAGCTGGTTCGAGCAGGGCTGTTTCGTTTGGGTACAAAAATGGTTCACTGAATTGTGGTCGTATCAATTGGTCTGGGCGTCCCGGGACTGGTTTTGGGCATCTGGGTCGAGTCTCTTCTGTCTCAGGCGGAAGTTCAGGTGACTCCGGCGGGATTGGTGGTTCAGGCGGTGGTGGTGGTGGTGGTGGTGGTGACGGTTCCGGAGGTGGAGGTGGAGGTGAAGGTAGTGAAGGAAACGGAAACAAGTGGTCATTTCTCTCATGGTAGATGTTCTTACTTCCTCCTCCTCTCTCTGTTCTTCTGTTGAAACCAAATTCGATAAAGCCAGTCTATAATCAGACAATTTCGATTTTTTCGTGGATGTTAATGATACTTTATGTTGAATTTTGGTTTGATGTTTTGTGGTGCTTCAGGTACTTGGCTCTCCTCTCAAATTATCCGGTTTTGACCAAATCTGTGACATCAGCACTTCTGACCCTCATTGGTGATTTGATCTGTCAGGTAACTCTCTCTCTCTTATTGGCGTGCTTGAATCTCACTAGTTATCTCTGAAGTTTGGACTCAACAATATTCATATATAAACCTCTAGTTTGAAAAAGCAAGATTGCTTATTCTTGTTTGCACTCTGTTGTTAGCTTACAATCAATAAGACCTCATCATTGGACAAGAAGAGGACACTCACGTTTACCATCTTGGGCTTAGGACTAGTCGGTCCAGCATTGCACTTCTGGTACATTACATCCATGGACTTTTAACATTCATTTGAAGAGACTTGTGCATCCATTGATATGTTACTTATTCTCTACTTGCTCTCTGAAATTGGCAATTTCATTAGGTACTTGTATCTGAGCAAAGTGGTGACAGCTTCCGGATTGTCAGGCGCAGTTTTGCGACTTTTACTGGACCAGGTTGCAGATTTTTCCTATTTGTCCGACTAAGATGTATGTTGCTTCCTCTGTGCTAACACCAATATTTTTGTTTGTTTGCAGTTTCTTTTTGCTCCTGTTTTTGTTGGAGTTTTCTTATCAGCTGTTGTCACACTTGAAGGAAAACCATCAAATGTCATACCGAAGCTAAAGCAGGTTGGATTTAGAGCCAATTAACCTTTTTTGTTTCCACTTGAATGTGGTGGGAGAGCATTTTGCAGGAACCTAAATATGATACTTAGTATCTTATTCTCAGTTTTCTAATTGAGTCCATGAATTGCTGGTTGTGTAGGAGTGGATTGGTGCAGTGCTAGCAAATTGGCAGCTATGGATACCATTTCAGTTTCTTAACTTCCGATTTGTTCCACAAAACTTCCAGGTTTGATTACTAAACTCTGTGACAACATGAAACGGTAGTGTAAAAGATAAAAATGCTTCGAAACATAATGACGCACACACTGTTTCTCTCTTTAATTTCTTAATCCTAAAATTAGTAGTAATCATCCAGCAAGAATGACATTCACCATTCTGCATAGAGTTTGTTCACTGGCTCTTAAAAGAATCAATGTTCTTATATTTGAAATGCAGGTACTCGCTTCGAACGTAGTGGCTTTGGCTTGGAATGTGATTTTGTCCTTCAAAGCTCACAAAGAAGTTGTTCCGAAATAGGCAAGTATTCTTACCTACACCCTACAGGTGGTGTTGGATTGTAATCGGCAGAGTTTTGGGGCAGGGTTCTTGTCTGCTGATGCAAATGTTTGGTTTCTCAAACGAATGAATTATTTGAGACACTGCACTTGTGACATTTTGTTAATGTAGAAACAAGCTGGTCTTTTATCATGTCACGTTGTTGACTACTTTTATTCAACCTTTTGCTTCAGAAAATGAGAAAATCATCAATACTTGATAATCGAGCTGATTTAAAAATCGTTTAGTGAGTAGCAATTTTATAGTTGCTTCATAATGAAATCTTAAAATGTCTGGTTTCTGTTTCATTTAAGCTTCAGGAGAAAAATTGTGAAGTCTACGGACCATTCAACGACCCTTAAACCGAAAAAATAATCAAGTCTCAAACAGCTCCAATAATGCTTTTAGGCATGTGATGATGATGATGTATAATGATTCAAAAAAAAAGGCAAATGAACACAATTCCAAATTGTGTTTTCGTTCTTCTCATCTTATTTTTTGTCGCGCAACTTCACAAATCACAGCCCAATGGTCTTCTGAAACTTAGTAATCTGGTTAAGGAAGATCCATGTCATCTGCCAAAAAGAACACCATATCATCAACAATCCAGAAGTAATTCATCGAATAGCCTTGAAAACAAAGAAACAAAACAGAAGAAAGATTCATAATATCATACCATGACGTGAGGAGCGATCCTGACGCAGTAAACAGGGAAACCAGTGTAGAATTTCAGAGGTCCTCCTTGTTTCAAGGTCTGCATGGCACAGTCGAGCGAACCTGTGTATGGATATTTACCCTGAGCGTCCGGTTGCATCTTCTGGATCTGTGTTTTGACAAAGTCGAATGGCAAACTACAAGCCGCAGCGCAGAAACCCGAAACAGCACTTGCTCCTGTCAAAGGGAACATCAACCACACAGCTCAGAGATCTATTTCACATATTGAAGGCGTATGAGAGAGACTCGGAGAAGTAGGTAGCTTACCAACGACGGTAGCTGTCTCCCCCAAACCAAGATTATCTCTCATGTACTCAGCACTTTGATCATAAGAAGCAAGCATTCCCATGTTCAAAGCCATTGCTCTGACCACAGTTGGTCCACAACCTTTCCACAGCGCTAAGACTCCTTCATCAGCGCTGATACGGGTAAGCGCATGGAAGGCGCTGGTGTAGTTCCTGCGCTGAGCTAACGGCAGAGTGTTATCCGCTTGCATTCTGATCAGCGCCAAATCGGCCGGACTACCGACGCAGGCACCGATCGCACCGGCTGTCAGACCACATAGAGCCTTCTGATGCAGCGGTAGTGGCTTCCCGTCGTTAGCCTCACTTGCTTTTGCAGTCAGCAACCTGATAAAATCATAACAACACTCCTTAATTAGTACAACAAAGGAGAGTATTCATCTGGATGGGCTCAAGGTAATCCACAAATGATAAACTTACTTGAATGATCCAAGACGGGCTGTGGTGTAAGTTGCTTGCCTCAGCAGACCAGCAGATAATCCCTATTGGAACAAAATTGGAAGTCAAATTAGCTCAGGAGACATCTTCAAGATCATCATATACAATATTACAGATCAACCACATGAAGATATAAGAAACAATTTCAAGAGCATTCAACACCAGAATAGCAATAGAAAACATCCTACCTAAACACACATAACTCTTCAAGATAAGTAAATGCATTCATCAACATAGATATATAACCAAAAGCCAAAGTATGATTTATACATTGTAGAAGGCACCGATGCCCTCGTTCCTCAACATGGTCGTGGTCACACTCGCTGCAGATCCCTGACCTAGTTGAATCCTCACCTTCACCAACCAGAAAACAAGTAATTAGCTCATTAGATTTCACATCATTTCAAAATCATATGAACATAAGCTAAGGACTGTACATTGTGATGCGATGCACTACATAATTCTAATTCAAATCCCAGATCTGAGCTCAGACACATCAAATGCAACAGTTCACACACAAATGAGTGTGAAGAATGTTCAGAGAAATGAAAATTCGATTGTGAAAAGAAAAACAGATCTGAGAGAATTACAAATCCCTAGACTCGGATCTGATGGACACAATTACAGATTTCGCGTGTGTTCAGTATCAGCAAATCGAGTAAGAATTCTACTTATCACGAGCTCCTACATAGATGAGTTGATGCATAAACGTGTATCGAGAAACATTCGCATACCTTGATCATGTCAATTGGCTGGATAACGCAAGTTGCAAGCATACCAGAGGCACCGCCATTGATGAAGGGCTTCACAGTAGTCCAGATACCAACTGGGCTAACTTTCTTGTCCTCCGCCATCTCTTTTTTCTCTTGTATCGGACGCAGACGCAACCTGAGATTCCGAGGAGAAAGAGAAAAGGGAGAGAGATTCACTTGGTGGAGAGGAGACGATGAAGTAAAGCTTGGGGCCTTTATATATTATGATTATCAGTACCAAACTGAACTAAACCGCACCAAACCCTTTTATTATTTTTGCATTGCTCGGATGAGATCTGAATCTAAACATTTTTATGATTTTATCTCCTCTCAATTTATTAATTTTGACTTCCCTTTTCGGATTTAAGCAACCTCGTAAGTATTTACTATTTAGAGTTATTAATTACGCATTATCTCGTTAAGAAATTTAAATGGACGTCCAATTCTAATTCCTATAGTTATGAACTTATGAATGCTAAAATTCGTGAGTATTTTTTATCTTTTTTTTGGTCCAATAGAGAGTTCTTAATTTTAAATTGACCAATTGTAGTTGTATTTTTTATATTTATATTAAATACGACTTTTTTGGCATATTTCACGCCGTAGTAGCTAGTGGACCAGTAGAGTTGTATTCTGATGCTAATTGGTAAATGCCTGTACAGTACAATATCTTATTTTTCTTGAAAATACAAAATAAGAGGAAATAAATTGTAAGAAATGGAAAATGATAGCCAGGAAAATATTTGTTTCCCATCTATAAAATACATGAAAAAAGAAAAACAATTGTTGTTTTGGCTTTTCCAGGACTCAATTTTCCACTTCACTCCTCTTGAGTGGTATACCGATTTTATAAATAAAGAGGATATACTGCATCGCCAACTAACAACCATTTTTCCTTTAAGTGCCACAATTCAAATAAAACGTATAACAAATTTTGAAAATTAAAGATTTGCTAGACTCAAAATTTACATTTTACATTGGAATTTGGAACTAATGATGTGCCTTTTATACAGTTCATCAGTTATACCAAAAGTCTGTTTTAGGATCCAGGCTTGGTCGAAGAATACTAGTGTACCTTGTTTCGATCCTACCAATGCCATTTGGGATTCTCCTTTCACTCTCTCACGTCAACTCCTCTTCCCCACATGATCCATTCTTACATTTTCCGGATCAATTCATGTTTTTAGGATCCCTAAATCAATGTGTGGTCGAACACATCTTTACAAATCCAAAGTAGACAAGATTTTACCTAAATAAATAAGTAGGTACTGCAAGAAGAATAACGAAGGTTTGGTACAACAAAAGCTTGATGATAAACTCTGGAACTCACAATGGTCGCTCTACCAATGAATTGAACCGAGATAAAAAACAGGAAGGCGTAAAAAGTTCAACGAAAATTGTACAAGATTAAAACAAACATGAATCTTAAGAAATACGAGAAAAAAACTTCTTGGTCGCTCATTTGCTTGAGAAAAGGTGGTCAATAGTCTTCACCATCATCTTCTTCGTCGTCACCACCTTCAGCACCAACTTCCTCGTAATCTTTCTCCAGTGCGGCCAAGTCTTCACGTGCCTCAGAGAACTCACCTTCCTCCATTCCCTCACCAACGTACCAGTGCACAAAGGCCCTCTTTGCGTACATAAGATCAAACTTGTGGTCGATCCGTGAGAACACCTCTGCAACTGCTGTGTTGTTGCTGATCATGCATACAGCTCTCTGGACCTTAGCGAGATCACCTCCCGGAACAACTGTTGGAGGTTGGTAGTTGATTCCACACTTGAACCCAGTAGGGCACCTGCAAAACAAAACACATACCAAAGAATTGTGTTAGCAAAAACAACACAAAGGAAAGAAAACAATAGCAATTTGTTCCATTTAAAGATCATACATACCAGTCAACAAACTGAACAGTCCTCTTCGTCTTGATGGTACCAACAGCAGCATTAACGTCTTTGGGAACAACATCTCCACGGTACATCAAACAACAGGCCATGTATTTCCCGTGCCTAGGGTCACACTTAGCCATCATGCTAGATGGCTCAAACACGGCATTAGTGATCTCAGGGACTGATAACTGTTCATGGTAAGCCTTTGCAGCCGAGATGACTGGTGCGTAAGACGAGAGCATGAAATGGATACGAGGATACGGCACAAGATTGGTCTGGAACTCAGTGATATCCACATTGATGGCACCATCAAACCTCAATGATGTCGTCAAGGATGATATGATCTGTGATATCAACCTGTTCAAGTTCGTGTAGGTGGGCCTCTCAATATCAAGGGATTTGCGGCAGATATCATAGATGGCTTCATTATCCAAGAGGACAGCAACATCGGTGTGCTCAAGTAGGGAATGCGTTGAAAGAACACTGTTGTAAGGCTCCACAACAGCAGTAGAAACCTGAGAAGTTCAAAAGGCAATGCATTAAAACCAGTATTCATACTATATCAGGGAGACTCCAAAACAAGACCACTAAAGAAACATTTCTAGCAAATAAACTCCCTCCAAACATACCTGAGGAGAAGGGTAGATGGTGAATCCAAGTTTAGACTTCTTTCCGTAATCAACAGACAAACGTTCCAACAAGAGAGATCCTAATCCAGAACCAGTTCCACCACCAACGGCGTTGAACACCAAGAATCCTTGCAAGCCAGTACAGTTATCGGCAAGTTTCCTCACACGGTCAAGGCAAAGGTCCACAATCTCCTTCCCAACTGCAATTACATATGAGATTAGTGACCATTTGTAGATTACATATAAGATTAATCACCATTTCCAGAAGCCTAAGAACATTAAGAGGAATCAGGAAATGGTTTCTCACCAGTGTAATGTCCTCTGGCGAAGTTGTTCGCGGCATCTTCCTTTCCAGAGATGAGCTGCTCTGGGTGGAAAAGTTGCCGGTAAGTTCCGGTACGGACTTCGTCAATAACGGTGGGCTCGAGATCGACGAAGACGGCTCTAGGGACGTGCTTTCCAGCACCGGTTTCGCTGAAGAAAGTGTTGAAAGCATCGTGTGCAACACCAACCGTAGTATCACTGCGAAGGAAGCAAAACAAGTCTATGAGATTCGTCTCTCAAAAACCTTAGATTCAGGGGGTAAAAAAATGGAAATGGCGATTAGGTCATACCTCGGCATCATGCCGTCAGGCTGGATCCCATGTTCGAGGCAGTAAAGCTCCCAGCACGAATTTCCGACTTGGATCCCGGCTTGTCCGATGTGAATGCTTATGATTTCCCTCATTTTCACTCACAGAAACCCTAATTCTTCGATCTTCTCTTCGGCGGACAAAAAGCTAGGACGGAGATCGAGGAAATGAGGCGGGGAGCGAGATCTTCTTTTTTTTTTCTTTTTTTTTCTTTTTTTTGGCCCTCTTTAGGTTTATATTTATGAATGCGATATGATAATTCGTTGGGGTCCGCCTAGTTGTGCCAGCCTGCCCTTGGGTCCCACGGATTCGCTTTTGTCCGAAATTGGATCAATTTGACAATATTGCCCACACGATCCAGTTCATTGAAATAGTTTTGCCTTTGTAGCTGGCAAGGTCAAAAATATGAAACCCAAATGTACCAAATACTGATCATTAGCTATATATACCAAGACAGATGCAAATGACTTGAACAAAAAAAAAAAAAATGACTATACAAATTAGATCTGAACAAACCGTCTCAGAAACAATCTTAATCATATAAGCCATTCAAATAATCCAAGCTCATAAATATGGAAAAAGACATGCTTCTTTCGAATCCTTTCAAATTTAGATGGATGGTTGTGTGCTTCGATGCCATGATCTGTCTTACTATCTATGATGTATACGTTAGTATTGCTTAACGAGATCATAAGTTTTGGCAGTGAAAATAGGCACAGCCGCACAGCATAAGATTTATTGGACACAACCATATATGTGGAGAGCTATCACTATTGATAACCCTTTTGTCTATCTCGTCGAGTTGCTAAAAATAAAATATCACCCGATATCAAAATCTCCTGTTTTTAGTATGCAGTTTATGCATTAAAATGCATTTTTTCGTGCGATTTAAGGTGGACTAGATATATGTTACTAAGCTCATGTGCATTTAGAAAGCAATCAAATATGTATTGACTATATTTTGGACACATAATTATATTTTTCATGAGTTTCACATGATCAACTTCAATTATTACATGGTTATGCATCCAATTTCGTTTTTCTTAAAATTTTAAAGAATTAAAGCTATGATTAGTATAGGGTAATTCGTCACCATCATTGGTAGAGTAGTACCGACAAGGATAGACTCACACTGAGTCAGATTCCAGTTCATATCCCTAATATAAATGAAGACCAATATCAAACGTCCATGATAATTACATTTTAAATCAATAAAAAATTATAAATTTGTTTTCAACAGATGTTATATAATTGTTTGTCGCAGTCCATTATATACAAACAAGTGCTCAAACGGTTACTTGATTCACTTGATATGTTTAATCCCAAATTGCTGAGAACAAATACGATTATAATCCACCTATTTTGTCTAAGCTACTCTGAATCAATCACTCAATTAAACAAATTAACTCATAGTCTTTCCAGTTAATCGTTAGTCATTCCAATTGAGCTAAACAGCTATACACTTGATCGACATGACTAGCTTAATTTATGTGACGTTGATTCTTCCCATTTTCCGAATCATTTATGTCCTTCACCCATTCAAGCAAGTCATAATATTAACCGTAACTTAGCCCCACTCGTAGAAAAATAATAATTGAAAATCTTAATTTCAAAATTTAAAATTTGAAAGACAGGATTTATAGAATCATAAAATATCGGCAAGTTACTTAATATGGAGAAATATTAAAAGAGAAACAAAATCTTACAACATGGACAACCTTACAAAATTATAATCTCCGGTTTGGCACTTGCGCAATATGATTGATGAACCAAGAGTCAAACCACTAAACCATTATTTAAATAACCTAATCATTTGGTTCGGTTAAGGTTATTTTTTTCACCACTATCAATATCATAATCAAAATTTCCTAAATCCGGTAAGTAACAAACCGGTTCTAATAATCACACACCCACCCAGATCTAGATCCAGATCGAATCTCACGTATTTTGTCTATCTCAGTCCCTAAGGCAGGCTGTCACAAAATTGGCGGACCCCAACCAATTATCGAATCCCATTCATAAATAATCAATTTTCTCATCTAAATACAATGAAAAAAGAAGATCTCGCTCACTGCTTCATTTCCATTTCCTCGATCTCCGTCCTCGATTTCCGTCCGCCGAAGCAGATCGAAGAATTAGGGTTTCTCCGAGAAGAAGATGAGGGAGATCATTAGCATTCACATCGGACAAGCCGGGATCCAAGTCGGAAACTCGTGCTGGGAGCTTTACTGCCTCGAACATGGGATCCAGCCTGACGGCATGATGCCGAGGTATGACCTAATCGCCATTTCCATTTTTTTACCCCCTGAATCTAAGGTTTTTGAGAGACGAATCTCATAGACTTGTTTTGCTTCCTTCGCAGTGATACTACGGTTGGTGTTGCACACGATGCTTTCAACACTTTCTTCAGCGAAACCGGTGCTGGAAAGCACGTCCCTAGAGCCGTCTTCGTCGATCTCGAGCCCACCGTTATCGACGAAATCCGTACCGGAACTTACCGACAGCTTTTCCATCCAGAGCAGCTCATCTCTGGAAAAGAGGATGCTGCGAACAACTTCGCCAGAGGCCATTACACTGGTGAGAAACCATTTCCTGCTTCTTCGTAACGTTCGTAGGCTTCTGGAAATGGTGATTAATCTTATATGTAATCTACAAATGGTCACTAATCTCATATGTAATTGCAGTTGGGAAGGAGATTGTGGACCTTTGCCTTGACCGTGTGAGGAAACTTGCCGATAACTGTACTGGCTTGCAAGGATTCTTGGTGTTCAACGCCGTTGGTGGTGGAACTGGTTCTGGATTAGGATCTCTCTTGTTGGAACGTTTGTCTGTTGATTACGGAAAGAAGTCTAAACTTGGATTCACCATCTACCCTTCTCCTCAGGTATGTTTGGAGGGAGTTTATTTGCTAGAAATGTTTCTTTAGTGGTCTTGTTTTGGAGTCTCCCTGATATAGTATGAATACTGGTTTTAATGCATTGCCTTTTGAACTTCTCAGGTTTCTACTGCTGTTGTGGAGCCTTACAACAGTGTTCTTTCAACGCATTCCCTACTTGAGCACACCGATGTTGCTGTCCTCTTGGATAATGAAGCCATCTATGATATCTGCCGCAAATCCCTTGATATTGAGAGGCCCACCTACACGAACTTGAACAGGTTGATATCACAGATCATATCATCCTTGACGACATCACTGAGGTTTGATGGTGCCATCAATGTGGATATCACTGAGTTCCAGACCAATCTTGTCCCGTATCCTCGTATCCATTTCATGCTCTCGTCTTACGCTCCAGTCATCTCGGCTGCAAAGGCTTACCATGAACAGTTATCAGTCCCTGAGATCACCTAATGCCGTGTTTGAGCCATCTAGCATGATGGCTAAGTGTGACCCGAGGCACGGGAAATACATGGCCTGTTGTTTGATGTACCGTGGAGATGTTGTTCCCAAAGATGTTAATGCTGCTGTTGGTACTATCAAGACGAAGAGGACTGTTCAGTTTGTTGACTGGTATGTATCATCTTTAAATCGAACAGATTGCTATTGTTTCTACTTTCAGTTTCATGTGTTCTTAACTTCTTATTAACAATTGTTTTGGCGTTGGTTTTGATTTGCAGGTGCCCTACCGGGTTCAAGTGTGGAATCAACTACCAACCTCCAACAGTTGTTCCGGGAGGTGATCTGGCTAAGGTCCAGAGAGCTGTATGCATGATCAGCAACAACACAGCAGTTGCAGAGGTGTTCTCACGGATCGACCACAAGTTTGATCTTATGTACGCAAAGAGGGCCTTTGTGCACTGGTACGTCGGTGAAGGAATGGAGGAAGGCGAGTTCTCTGAGGCACGTGAAGACTTGGCCGCACTGGAGAAAGATTACGAAGAAGTTGGTGCTGAAGGTGGTGACGACGAGGAAGATGATGGTGAAGACTATTGACCACCTTTTCTCAAGCAAATGAGCGACCAAGAAGTTTTTTTCTCGCATTTCGGTTTTTATAATTCTTGTTGGTTTAAATCCTGTACAATCTCCGTTGCACTCTCTCCGTCTTCCTGTTTTTTCTTTTATTATCTCGGTTCTATTCTTTGGTAGAGCGACCATTGTGAGTTCCAGAGTTTTATTATGATATTATCAAGCTTTTGTTGTGGCAAACCCTTCTTTATCTTCTTACAATGTCCATTTTTTTGCTTTACGTACAACATGTCTATTAGGACTTTGTAGAGATGCATTCTACTTTACAATGATTGATCCGAAATTACATGAGTTTGATTAGAAAATGTAAGAAGGGATCATGTAGGGCAGAAGAGTTGGGAGAGTGATGGAAGATCCCAAATTGGATCGGTAGGATCGAAGATTGCATATTCTGCATTCATATTGTCGTAGTAACTGTTAGCTCCATTCATTGCATATAGAGATGCGGATATCTGTCTTTCGATTTCAGCCAGACCCAAATGTTGATCAGTTGGGTTTGTATCGTTGAGATGTCCATGCGCTTCTTCTCCTCCCTGAGCCAGAGGGACCTGATGGTTAAATCCAGAGACATTTGCCCACGAGTAAGGAAGCTGGACACCATCGGTTTCTGGTTGTTGTCTGATGACCGATGAATCTGGGCGGTACACATTGCTGACCGGCATCGTCGTGGTGGCGGTGAGACTAGTAGCAGTAGAAGTGTAGTTGATGCTGCATTCCGCGTAAGAAGAGACGGGCTTGTGTTGCTGCTGTTGTTGTTGTTGTTTCATGCTCTGCTTCTGGTGAAGGAGGTTTCTGATCTTCAAAGACAATTGTGAGTTGTTTGGGAAATGGTTTGCGAAATTGGTTCGAGTGTTGGAGCCACGTAGGAGACAGGCTGCTTCGTCGTAGGCTCGAGCAGCTTCTTCTGCGGTCTCAAAGGTTCCGAGCCACATTCGTATCTTTTGCGTCGTGTCTTTGATCTCTGCCACCCATTTCCCTGAAGGCCTTTGCCTAACGCCCACGAACTTCGTCTTGTTGCCTTTGCTCTTCTCCTTAGTTTTCTGCTTTTGAGTTGTTTGATGTTCCATTTTTTTTTTGGGTATGAATCTGTACATAGACATAGATATATACGTATATATATAGGGATACATAAGCTAAGTTTTTTCATTTTCTTGCTTGTTTGTTTTGGGGGTCAAGTCTTAGTGGGTGCCTCGTTTTTCTGAAGACTTGTTCTTGATATTTTAGGGATGATACTAAATATGATTTTATAATGATGGGTTTTAGGTACTCTTTCTGAATTATTCAGATGTTTTTTGTTATTTGGGTTCCATGTATTAATGACGTGCTTACCATTTTCTAATTTTCTTAATATAAAAGAAGTAGAAGAGACAAATATGATGTGTTTTTTTTTTCTCAGCTTGGAAGTGCGATTACTTTATTCAAGAAACTATAGTTAAGTAAGCTTAACATTTAGAGGGAGGCCTCAATAAGCAAAGAAGAAAGTTTTTAAAATGCAAACAATACTTAAGAACTATGATCCTGACATAATCTTGAAGTTAGTGGAAACCCTCTAAGAGAGATTACAAGAAAAAAGAAATATATATAGATTTGATACGAATCTTGACATTAAGCAGTACACAACTATTTTACCAAAAAAGTAGTACACACACTATTAATCTATGGTGTCCCAAAGGTTTTCCCTCACTCTATTTTGTCTCTTGGCAACCTTAATCACAGTTACCAAGGGAAACAACAACAGAAAGCTATCGACAAATTACCCACCACAGTATTCTCCTCCTTTTGCTCCTCCTACTCCGGTCAATCGGCCTCCGGCTACTCCTACTCCGGTCTATAAACCTCCGGTTGCTGTTCCTCCTCCCCCTCCTCCTCCTCCTCCTAAATCTCAAGCCTCCTCCTTCTACAGGAGATATCCACCCCCACCGCCCACTAGACGTGGAACAGTGTATCCACCTCCTCCATCCAAACCACGGTGGTGGTTGTTGGGTTAAGAAGCATGCAAGCTTCTAATAAGAAGACGGACATACATTAATTGTGTCCTATATACATTCACTTATGGATTGTTAACTGAAAGAAGTTTGAAAACATTAAGAGTGCATTAGTTTTGTGTTGTCTTGACTTTGTTTTGACTGTCTCTCAGTTTGCCGGAATTTCTTTTCTCTTTTTGTTTTTAATAGTGTGACTGAAGCTCCTTCGTTTGATCTGTTTGGTTAACCCTTTTTGTTGGTACCGATTATTTTCGCAACTTGTATACTCGAGAGTCTTTGGGCAGCACTCTTCTTGTAAATCGATTGACAGACTTTTTTCTCGATTAATGATATCTTAAGCAGTTAAGAGATAAATAAATACACCACCACTCTTGACTTACATCACTCATTATTCTTTCCTATAAACAAATCAAGATCGAATGAAAACGTCATGGGTCATCTATATCTCTCTAGTTACGTAAGATTTATATCATAAGTCAGGTTACATGGCATATCTAGTTATCTATCCTTTGACAAATGCAAGTATCTGAGCGATTTTGTGGGTCACACGAGTTTCAACTCTCAACAATAGTGATCTAGAAACATGTAGAAAGACTTTAGATTTCTTTATTACACGTGCTTAGCCTTAGAAGCTTACCAACCAATTTATGATTGTCTTAGACTCTTACCTTAAAGGCTTAAACTAAGTCCATACAGCTTATGATTCATAGCATCTGACTTTTAGATTGATATGTCTAATCCGACACAATGTTACCTCTTAATCTCACTTAATTACTTCTGTACTAAAGATCTGAGAAGAAATATATTAAAGAGGTGACTATTTTATCGTGTATGTAACAACCGAATAATAATAGATAAATTTTCGATTTCAAACGGCCAAAGAGTGCCCAGAAGAGTACAACAAATCAACAATGGCAATGAGAGAAAAGAATAAATTCCTTCAAAATTCTCACTTGCATACAAAAAAACAAAAACTGAAAAATCAAGCTCTGTTTTTCTTTCCTCGTATAAAAGCACCAAAACTTCATCCTTTCTCCCAAACCAACACCAACTCCAAAACCTGTGTCTTTGGGGAACCATACCCAAATTTCCCAATGACACCCTTCTGAAGATAAGAAATTTCATTTTTATAACTTCTGAAAGGATTTTTTTACCCATTCATCAATCATCATCCCTCCCAAAAACAAATGGTGAAAAAAATGTAAAACACAAAAATGCAAAACTGACGACGCTTTGTGGTGAAAGCAGAGCTCACAAGACTGTATGTAAAAAAATGAACAAAGAGACAGGAATGGATTTGAGAGTTTAGGAGGAAAGCATGGATTGGAGAGCGAGCTGCTGCTCAGGTTTCAGCGTTGACCATGTTGAGGCCAACGCCGATTGTGGCAGTGTCTGCTGAAGTTGCCTTAGTATATTTATCATACGACCTGCCGTCTCTTCTGTCACCACATCTTTCCCTGTAAGCACCTGCACGCCCAATCAATATACACGTTCATATCTCTTCCATCAGTACAACAACAATAGTACAAAGATCAAAGAATGAAAATTGTGTCTGAAATTAACAAACCTCCGCAAACACTATTAAGATTTTCGGAAGATACTGGTTATTGGGGCCTAAAAGGTCCACATCTTGCCTGCAAGTTTATCATCAATCAAGGCCGGGAACGAAAAATAAGGGAAAAGCAAGTAGAACTGAATCTACTCATTGCTAATGCTTACCTTTCAACCATTGAGCAGAGCTGATCATGAACCACTTTGGCTTCAATGACATCATTACTTAAAGGCAAACAGTTCAACCACGCAGGAAGCACCTAATAAAACCAATACAAAATAACATGTCATTTCATCAAAATCAACGACGAGCAAGCAGAGCCAGAGGTGGCGAAACCTTTATAGAACTATCATAAGCTACCTGTGAAGAATTGATACTGTCACGGTGAAATTGGCAGATCTTTCCAACAGCGGAGACAGCATTATCATATGCCATGGCATTTTCAGATTGCCGAGCATTTGGCTGCTGTATCACAACATTTAATCTTGACAGAGCCTCTGTTGAAACAAACAAAAAAAAACATTTGTTACTTTAACTGCAAACTGTGGATCAAACCCACCCAAAAACTACCAGTGGGCAAAAGGTATATCATACCTCCAACAAGAGGCTTGAATACAGATCCGCCAAACTCAGCACAAACACCAAGCCCATAAACAGCTGCCTGCCGAACTTCTGGGCTCTCGTCATTGCAAGCTTCCAGTACGAATGGAAGATAAGTATCATAGTATCTGGCAAAAAGATTATAGAATAAAAGGACATCAGAACACTGATAAGTGAGAACCTACAATGTAAACAGATCCAGAGAATGCATATACTTACTTAAAGGCAGCATCACGACATTGTTCTGCAACATCATCAAAAATGCATATAGCAATCCTTCTCTCTTCAGCTGTTTTATCCTTTCCCTGATATAAAAGAATAACACATCCCAAAACCAACATCAATCGCAAAACAGAAAACCAAAGCCGAACTAAGAGTAACATGATATCAGCGCCATGCCACACAGCTACAGAGTGCCAGACTTTTCTACAACTTTTTACTAGTACTATATCAATTCAGTTCAATGTGCGAGCTTCTGGCTATATTATAGCAAAAACTGTTTATTCACTGACAAAACAAAATAAAATATCGACTACAGAAATTTCCCACTTAGTATCATGCAGCACCGAGTGGAAGACTTGAGAGTTATGACGGGCACTTACCCACATAGGAGTTAGGTAAGAGGATAGTTCATCGAAGAAAGGCAGGAACGAGGCCTTGAATGTCTTAACCAGTGTTCCCAATATTTCACCAACCTATTTGCAGACAATATTTTCAAGTAAGCAATGAGAACACTCAACATGGTATAACATCATTATACGTCCAAGGGAGAATTTATCATAGAAAACTAACTTGATCAAAAATTTCTTCCTCTTGCTCATTTTCCTCTTTAATAAGCTCTCCCTCTTCAGCATCAAAGTCTTCAGCATTGGCCCTCTCTCCCCTCTCTCGTTTCCTACTAGAGCTTGCTGTCATGACTTGCTTTACCTCATCAACTATGGATCTAATTTTCCCTTCATCCAAAAGATTTCCGGAGATCTGAAATACAGCGACAGGTTATAAGATTACCATTTTTCCAATGCAAAGCTACAATTTACTCCAAGGCACATACTAAAGACTAGTTCGGAAAATAAGCTCTCTATTACATACTCTAAACCTAAGGAAATGATGAAAATAAGGTCAGCTAAATTAATAATAGCAATCACATAGATGACCTAAATTAATAGCAAAAACTAGCAAGACTACCAAAGAAAGTGCAGAAATGTCAAGTGGAAATGCGGGAGATCGACTCTAAAAGGCACATAGTAAGAATTGATTAACATAAGCTTTTTATCAAGAATATTTACCTGCAAGCATTCATTGATAGCTTCCAACATACTCACACAGATCTCTGTATCAGGTTCCTATACAAAATCCAATCATCAGCCCCATCAACAAAATGGACAAAGCCAAAGAGAGAAAAAGAAAAAATGAACAGAATAAACACTAACTTTATGCAAAGCTTCCAGCATGGCTGGAATAATGTAGTCCGAAAGCTGCTTCAGATAGGATAGGTCGCGCCCTTGAGATGTTCCTTTCTCTATTGCCAGCTTAGCTGAGCGCATTAGTTCCGGCATGGCTAGAAAGAAAAAGTATCCAATTTGTTAAGAACTTGTGTTCTGATGATCCAAAGATTAGATTATAGACCACATATTTTCGGATATACCTGACACAGCTGCTCTTCTAACTTCTTCGTGAAAGTAGAATTTTAGCAAGGGAACCAGTGTAGGTGCAACCTACAGTATACAGATTCAATATACCCAGTCCTAAGAACAATACCGGATATTGACAAAATTTGGAGTTATCTAGCCATACTGACCTGATCAATCCAGGGGAAAAATCCTTCTTTTAACTCATCAGCATAGCAACATAGCATATTACAAGCGGTGGCTTTTTCCTCCAGGACACTTGTTTTGATCCCAATTCTTTTGTCTCCCAGGATGATGGTCTCCATGCTGCATCAAAATATGGATTTAGCACAAATTAACACAAGTTCATGCATGCCGAACTCATACTCTTTTCACCATAGATGATGATTTTTATTTTTCACTCTCGCTTATGAGCTACTGCAAATTAGCTACAGTAGTATTATTAATGAAACAATCAAATGTAGTGTCAAGAAGAATGAGAACCTTTCGTCATCAGAATCCTCTGCTTCATCTTCTGAATCGGCAGATGTAATTGTTACATCAGGCTTAAGTTGAGCTGACTGAAGCAATGGAGGCATCACAACACTCATGTATGGGAGGAAATCTTGACCGAGACACTTGCAAAGCCTAGCCCATGCCTACGAAAGCGTAAGGGAAATTTAAGGAGGTGAGCTTTACCTATTTAAGTTTATAAATTAACAAAAAGACCTAGCATTTTATCAGAATTCACCTGTAACATGTAACTCGTTATTGGATCGTCTGCCTCCATTTCAGATCCTTGCAACGACATAAGCACTTCCATGACCTGGCAAGGACAAGTAAGACATTTTCATGCGACAGATGTATAGGACGAAAATCATAATAGAGCCTGAAGGCAGTAATGTACAAGTTTTGATAGTAAATGCAAATTGATTTGACCCAACATACCTGCCTAGCATCCTCCCTAAATCTGTCCTTTCCAACTGCCATTCCAACAAGACTGATGCATTCCATGGATTTAGCACGAAGCATTCGCTTAGATTTGTCAGTTGCGTTCATCAAAATAGTTTTGAGATAAGGCATGACAGCATCATAGTATTTTTGGAAGTGATCCTGCAAATTCAGATAGTGTTAGATCAAGAGTAGCATGAAAGGAAAGCAATAGATGCAACATCATTTCTTGACATATACCTGGGATGAATCAGCAACTGAGGCTAGAGCTGTTAAAGCTCCTTCTTGCACCATTTGTTTTCCATTCTATTAAAAACAACATTATAATCAAAAGTCAATCACTGAGCGCACACTTTTTTCTACTCTTTCTAGTTATTTAAGAAATCAAGTTGCACAAAGGACTTACTTGTAGTAGGACAAGCAACTTGCTCACTACTCCATCTAAATAAGGTGCCAATATTTCAGGAGTACAATTTTCACTGAAGTTGAGTACTGCTGAAGCAGCATGAGCCTAAAACAACGTCACAAGGTACTGCTTTAGAAAGTTTCAGAAGATTATATGACCAGAGAAACAAGTTTAGATGGGATCTAACCTGCACTCGTGGATTCTGGAAATCATCCATAGCAGCAGCAAGTGCGGGGAGCACTCTCTGATGATGTTGGTTTTGCAAATCTGGACCCAAATCTGTAGACAACTGTCCAATTGCATTTATGGCTGCCCACCTTACGCGAGGATGAAGACTTTGAAATTGGCTCAAAACCATGGACACCACTTGCTCTAGATTTTTTAACATCACCTAAACCAAAGTTCAAGAAATTCAAGATCAAAATGAAAACCCCAATACGATGTATGCCTTTGGCAAGTCCTTCCCAGCTAAGCCATGTAACTCAACATACAAATGAAAGCAAACCAAAGAAGCCTAACTAACAATATACCTTTGAGCAACCTTCAGCAATCTGAGCAAGCGCAATCAAAGAAGCATGGTGCTTCTGCCACTCAGTGGCAGCCAAGTAAGCAGAAAACTGCTGATACGCAACTGGAACAATGGTGTTCCCTCCCAAAGAAATTGCTAACCGATCCAAACACTCTTGACCCATGCTGTAGTTGCTCGTCTCACCAGCGTCCTCGTCCTCGGTCTCAGCGCTGTACCAAGCAGGATCGTCTTCGATATCCTCGAGCATCTTCATCAGAACAGCAAACAACCTGTCGATGAACTGAGGTAGTTTCCTGACCATCCCAGGGGCACGCTCTCGCGCCTCAGCCAGAGTTACCAAAAACTCAATCGCCAGGTGGCGCGTGCTTTCCTCGAGGGAATCAGCCTCTGCGATCTGAAGCATCGAACCAACAATGTCAAGGAGCTGCCTCCTGAGGAACCGTGGCTCAGTACCAGCCAATTCGATCAAAAGCTCGAGTGCCTCCTGAGCAGTTGCTTCGTTCCCGTTGTTCAGGGATTCGGTCAACGTCCTGATCATCGCAGGGAGAACATCTTGGAATCTATCCCGCTCCGTTGAGTTTGATAAACACTGAACGAAACTAATCACGGCGTTGAGAGCGGCGATTTTGACGTCGGAGCTAGCAGAGTTACTGCTCAAGCACTGGAGAAAGATGCCGTGGAGATGCTTGATGTGAGGGGTGAGAGTCTCCCCAACGTACTGGGACAATTGCGCCAAGACCAAAAACGCCGATTCCTGCAATTTAGGGGAATCGGATGATACGCACTGGAAAACAAACGGGAGCAGCTCCGGCCATCCGTTATCCGGGAGGATACCGGATGCAAGTTCAGAGACTGTGTCGCAAATCTTCTTCGAGATCGATTTGGCCTCCTCGCGCTGAATACAAGAGAGCATCGAGGATTTGAGGGAGGATTGAGTGGAGAGGGAGAGACGCGGCCAGAGATAGGCGTCATCGCGGGTGAGCAACTTCCGGAGGAGAACGGCGGCCATGGCACGAGCCTCGGGATGAGGAGAGAGCTGGAGAAGATGAGCTAGCTTCAAGGCGAGGGTATCGGGATTGCTCTGCTTGGCGAGATTGAAAAGAGTCTCGGCGGCGGAGCGCTGCTCGTTGGAAGAGGACATGAGGTGGGAGATGAGGGTCTCGAAGGGGGCGGAATCGGCGCCGAGGACCATGGCGAGTTGAGCTTGCTGAAGCTGATTCGTCTCGGAAGCCATGGCAGAGGTGGCGGCGGGAAAAACTAGGGTTAAAAAGCGCCTATCTAAATCTCTCTCCCCTTAGGATGCGAGAGTCTAGAGAGAGAGAGTAAGAGGAATGAGGAGGAGCGAAGAGGGATGAGGTTGTGAAGAGATAATTATATATTCTTTTTTTTATTTTATTTCCATTTTTCCAACTATTCGTGATTTGAGGTGGTGTCTCTGTGGGCCGTGGGGCTTAATTAAATTAAGGACGGAAAATGAGAAAAAGAAAAGCAAAGCAATAATATGTCATTAGCTGTATTTCAAGGGTGGATGATAAATTTTGATAACCAATGCGTGTGTCCCATCTATGAATTATAAGTTGAAAGTTTTGCTTTTCTATTATTTACTCGATAGAATAAGTAAAAGTTATTTTTTAAAGTATGAAACTTTGTAAAATCTTTAGATCTTCACTTTCTCTCAAATGTAAATAGGTTTTTTGCTTGGTCTAACTTCTAATAAGGGAAAAGCTTTTGTTTTGTGGATGCTTTTTTTTCTTTGGGTTATTCGGATTTCGGAATAAGGTTGGCAGCTTTATCTCATGTAAGATTGGAAATGGAGGTGAGGATATGCATGAGTTTAACTCTAAAGTCATTTTTGGTTCAATAAGTTTTACAGAAAATATGAATTTTCTTATTGATCATATAGCACAAAATGTGAAAGGGGACTAATGAGTGGATTTTGGAACTTGAGGCTTTGCAAAGCACTAGAAGAGTTTGTGAAGCTTAGACATGTTGGTTAAAGAAGATCTACGACCAAATTATCGCGCTGTCATAGATTAGACATGTTGACCGAAGATTAGTGTTATGCTTCAGTTTAGTGACAAAATAATTATTCGATATAATTATCTCAATTCTAACAATTGATTATTAATTATTCGATATACACTAGTTGATATATCCGGTATAAGATATGATCAAATCGTCAAATATCATAATTTTTGGTATCTAAATCCTAATAATATCAATTGATTTCCATATCTGAAGGCCTTTAGAAAATAAAATAAAAATTCCATATCTGAATATCCGTTATATATCAATTAAATCATGAAATTATTTTTTTGGGTTGAGAATGTAAATTTTTAAATCTATTAGCACAAAAATATGGAATTCATATATGTTTAGGAATATATTTTCTTCTGTAAACCGGAATAGTTGAATTTCAGAACCGAATGGTCCTAATCCATTGACCGTACCCATCCCTAAACCCCTAATTCCGACTAAACTGACTTTGAGTCAGTCCTTCTCTGTTTCCTCTTTTGAACTCCTCTCATTCTGTCTCTACATTCCCGGTGAGTTATTCCCTCCCATTTACTTGTATATTTCTCTGTCCTCTTTCTATATGCCATTTGAAGTTTGCATATTTACTGATTAACGACCGATCGAAGCTTCTTCAATCCAACTTTCGAGTTGATTTCGGAGCTTTCTGTCTACTCCTGGTGATTGGGTTTTGTCGGAATTTCTTTTGGTCTCTCCGAGCTCTGGAAATTTGATAACTTTTGATGTCTCTATCTCTTTTTGCACATGGTTCTGTAGAACGATTGAAATGAAGCGGGAGTTTAAGTCCTAGCTTCGTTATGATGCCACAAGTGTACAGATTCTGTAGTTGATTTGCTGTCTGTGGATGTTCTAACTTCATGTAGTAGAACAGTAGACTAAAAATGATCACAGTTGCTCAGTCTGATTTTGAAAAACCAATCTTGATGTGTATTATTCTCTCCTCTCTTTTCCAGATTGCTCGCTTTAGGAAGCTTAGGGATTTAAACTGGGAGAAAAATTCCAACTTTTGACTGGCTTGGCCGATGCTTGAGCTATGCTGAGTAGGTTGTCAAGGCGTAGCTACTGCACTTCTGTTAATCGGCCATGGCTGTTTCTGGGATTGGGCAATCCCGGGGACAAATACAAAGGGACAAGGCACAATGTACCCAAATGTTATAGCAATATGTAAATAAACAACTTGGTTCTGGTTGTGTTGATTCTCAAACATTTTAGATGTCTGCCCTTGTTTCGCTATGCTGCAGATTGGGTTCGAAATGATTGATGTTTTTGCTGAGTCAGTCGGGATTCAGATGAACTTGGTAAATTTCAAGGCTTTAATGGGACAAGGTATGAAGTAGCACAAGTTTTTTTCCTTTCTCTTGTTTTGAAAAAAAAAAAATTGAATTAAGAGCTTCCAACTTTTTGTGTCGTCTCCTCTCAGGTTTGGTGGGCGATCTTCCTGTTATCCTGGCAAAGCCACAAACCTACATGAACTTGAGCGGTGAATCAGTAATCTGCTTCTCTTATTCTTAGAATGATACATAAGCGTGTTTAGATTATGAAAGTATATTGCTTTTATCAATAACGTAGCTTCACTTTGTATGATCTTAGATTTGGTTGATTATGTTAGTAACTGTGCCTCTCTTTTCAAATTGGTCAGAGTGGACCTCTCGCAGCGTATTACAAGTTACCTCTCAATCGTGTGCTTGTGGTAATCCTATTACCGTTTCTGGCTCAAGGCCTAACCATCTTTATGGCTTGTTTCACTGGAAAGACACTTAATTCCATTGTTACTCTTTGGGACTTGGTGATGTAGGTGCACGATGACTTGCAATTGCCATGTGGTGTTCTTCGTCTTCAAGATAAAGGAGGCCATGGATGTCACAACGGGTATGTCTCAAGAAAATTTTCTGTCACATTTTTCAGATTGTAGGATCACCGTATTGAGAACTCTTACGTTTATACTTGACTCAGGTTAAAATCAGTAATGCACCATTTCCGTGGCAACAGGGAGTTTGCTAGGCTAAGAATCGGTTAGTTAGGATCTTTGCTCCACTTAACATTCCTCTCTACCTCATGAAGATCTTTGGTTCTGATCATTGTTATCCAATAATGGCAAGGAATCGGAAAGCCTCCGGGACAAATGGACCCAAAGGCGTTCTTGTTGCAGAAATTCAGCATGTCAGCTCGTGAACGGGTAAGTCTAATGAGCATTTATTGAAATTGTGGTAAAATATCAAACAGTATAGAAAATGGATTTATGTTTCTCTGTTGTGTGTTTGTGGGAAAAAGATGGATGGAGCATTAGCAGAAGGAGTGGAAGCTCTGAAGCTGGTCTTATCTAAAGACTTTGGAGAAAGCTGGAGATTGTTCAACGTGGAACAGAAGTACAAACACTTAAAACAACACACAGTTATTGCAGCTTGACCGAGTTGATCTGACCAAATTGAGTTCATTGTCATCAAGAGGGATAGAGAAAAAGAAACAGAAGACAATCTGAGACGAGCAAATTGATCAAGAATAGTGGAGAAAACTGGCTAGTCTGAAACATCAGATCAAGCAACCTCCTGCTTAGGATTAGATCATTAGAACATTTGTTTATGTATCAAAACATATGAGAGTTTGATACAATAATTGTAGTGTTTGATTGTTGTTAATAAAATATCGTTCCCCTTCAAAAGTTAACTTTTTTTTGTAAATTTGGTCTAATGTTAAGAAAATAAAATTTCAGAGCCGTCCGGTGAGAGAAGCAATATTAAAGCTCTTTGATAATTAGAAAAAGCATAGCACTTCTTCTCGGCGATACTTTTTTTGGAGTTTTTGAAAAATCACCACCGCGCCGGTAAATTATGCCGACGGGTTGCGAAGTTCCGAAGAATCAAATCTTCGAGAGTGCTCCTTCTTCTGCCGAATTTGAGTCTGGCGTCGAGCTCACCAACTTCCCTGCAGTACTTTTCAGCTGAACACCTCTTTTTCTTTCTTTCTCCCGCTGAATCTGATTCTCATATGAGTTGTATCTTAATTCGTCTCCTTCTGAAGGTTTTCCGAGGATGTGCTAGTCACTGGGATGCCTGTTCTAAGTGGAATCCACTCAATAATGGCCTCGACTATCTGGAGGTGTTTCTCTTACTTCTCACTTGTTTCCGATTCATTTTCCTTTTACTGAGAGTCGAAGATTTGTGCAAAAAACTTATGCTTCAATTGGATCATATGAAGGAGCGTGCAGGTTCTGTTGAAGTGGAGGCAATGCTTTCGAGGACCGCTCCGATTTTCAATGGTGATATCAGAAGCCATGAGAGGGTAAAACTCTATTTCCCGGAACTTGACAGCTCTAAAATCACCGTACCCGGAATCATTTCTAGCTGGAAATCAGCTGACTTGAGCTCTAATTGTTTCTGCTTCTGCTTTTCATATAGCTTTCTTGTATCCATCACAATAATTTTCATATGTTTTTCTTTGTCCTGTGTAGGTATCATTGCCATTCTCGAATTTTATTGGATTCTGCAAGCAGCATATGAGAAGCAAAGGGAATGGTTCCGGTGCTGTTGCTACGTCTGCTGCATGTTTAAGTACTATGCCTGATTGTCCACTGCCTGAGGACCATATACCTGGACAAATATACTTAGCACAGGTTGAGATGATAATTCAGTTTTCGTTTTTGTGCTTCTGGTGTATGAAATATCTTTGCGGTGGTCTATAATTACAGAAAAATCCATTTTATTTATCATGTCCAGTTTCCAGTTCTGAATGATGAGAAAGAAGAGAAGGTTCAACTCAAGATGTTGAGACAAGACATTCAGACGGTATACATAGCTCTTGTTTTTACCGGAGCTGCTGGCATGAACTTTCTTAACATCAACTATCTGAATTAACTTTTTTGCAGCCCACACTTTTGGAGGGAAAGTCACTGTCTTCTATAAACATTTGGATGAATTCTGCACAAGCTCGATCAAGTACCCACTATGATCCACATCATAACCTCTTATGCGTAGTCTCTGGGTCTAAAAAAGGTTAGCCCATTGTTTTCCTTCGAGTCTCTGGTATTTCTGTTTTGAGTGGAATCAAATTGGTAATGTATGGCCCACCCAGTTATAAAAGTAATTGCTTCACAGACATTTAGTACATGTGGTTCTTATAGAATGTTAAGTCAGCTCGTCTGAAGTGGTTTTAAGGTTCATCCTAAATATTGGCAGACTCAGTGATTTATCTGTATGTTGTATGCTTTTCTTACATCTAAAACAGTTTCAACCTTCATTTTCATCAACAGTTGTATTGTGGCCGCCTTCTGCCAGTCCCTCGCTCTATCCGTTGCCTATCTACGGAGAAGCGTCAAACCATAGGTATCATTCTTGGCCTTTCCGTATATTTTTGTGTGGTTACATTCTGAGCACTCACGGCAGTACCTGCACCTTAGCAGCTCTTGCAAACTAATTAGTGATTTTTCTATGCCAGTGTCTATTTACAAGATTTTTCATCGGATTTTTTTATTTCTTGTTCATGTAGTTCGGTTGGTCTAGACAATCCGGATTTATCAGATTATCCAAGAGCAGAGCATTCCCTGAAGCTGTCACAGGAGGTTACTCTTAACGCTGGTGATGCAGTATTCATTCCTGAAGGTTGGTGAGTATACTCGTACTTTCTCTGAAAAGCTCTCCTAGTAGTACATAGTATTGAAGCTCCTACACTTTAACTAAGCCTCATAGAGTTAATGTGAGAACCTTCAGTAGATAGATTAATGGATTATTTCGGATTAAGCATCATCTTACTTTATGCAGGTTTCATCAGGTGGATAGTGATGAGCTGACTATTGCTGTCAACTTTTGGTGGCAGTCAAACATTATGTCTAACATGCCTGAACATATGGATTCATATTATCTGCGCCGAATTACAAGAAGGTCTTGATTACAACATCTAAGACTATATTTCTGCGGTACCATTTTGGTTTTGTTGCCTAACTTCTGCTCTTTTTTTCCTTCCATGTGTCTGCATCTTGTGTCATATAATAAGATTGATAGACAGAGAAATGGTGTGTAAGTTATTCTGTCTCATCAATAAAGATTGTTTGAAGTTATGATATTTTTCTTACTCATCCTAATTTGAAGTTAAAAATGTAGGTTCGTCTTCTCACCTTTGCTTGCATGTACCAAGTTTACTACCCTCTAATTACCCGTGTAACATGGATATTGACAGAGCCTGTTAGTTTCAAAGCCTTCGTCAACTGATTTGAAGAAATCATCTGAGCATATTGACCAATCCCACACTGGGCAGGCAGGTAATAACTAATAAGACCCTGATGGTGTAAATAATCTTGAGATAACCTTCAATTGCTTGTCTGACTTGGCCGGTGGTGGAATCGTTGCAGAAGGTGGAAATGATAACTCAAGCAAAGAAAACACTAAGAAAGGCATGAGCGCATTAAGTGAAAAGACGCCGCTGCATGATCTTGATCCTTCTTCTTCCCAAGCACTTCACGAGCTTATTTCCTTAGTGCATGACCAGGTTAATGCTGTTGATACAAGTAGGGGACTGCAGCATACTTCACCAAGTTGTTCAGAACCACCTCCAGAGAGCGACAATAGCAAGATCCTGGTGACAGCATTGTCTTGTTTAGAAGATGATCGCGTTGCGCATATGCTTTGGAATCTGGAAGCTTCTAAACTTCGGGATGTTCTCCTTGCAATGGCAGTAAGTTTACAATAAGTGCTTCAAGCACACTTTATAGAACTTTTAAGTTATACATAAAAGTTTTGAAATTATTTGAATTAACATGCTCATAACATGCAATTCATTTCAGCGTTATTTCCCAAGAACCTTAGAAGCATTAATACTCCACATGCTCTCACCTATTGCTGCGGAAGTCCTAACACAGAAGTTTGATGAGATGGACCAACAGACTGGTGAAGAAGATAGGTTTGTTCTGAAGCATTTGTTGTGTTTTTTTTTTCATACTTTGAAACTGGAGAAAAACTTGTGATACGTCTTCCTTTTTCCGTTTCCAATTCTTAGGAACCAATTCTATCGGGAATTTTATGGTGCCTTTGATGATGAGTCAGCTGCGATGGATATGATTTTAAGTAAGAAAGAGGCATTTGCATTTCAGGTATGTTCTCTAGCATGACTTTGTTATATACAGAAAAGACTTATCATCCATGGACATAATTTGTTGTTGTTGTTGTTGTTACAGGTCTTTAAGAATGTCCTAGACAAGTATTTGGGGGTCAAAGTTGCTTCACCAAGCTCTCGGAAGCTGTAGCATTCTGTTTCATGATCCTAGTAGCTTCTGGTCAAAAAAGTTTTTTTTGTAATATCAATTAATTCGTTTTTTTAAAAAGAAAATTATTATTGTTCGTGGGCAGAAGAATTAAATAATTGATGAACTTTAATATGGAAAATTTCCTTAACAGACGAATAAATGGGATATGCTTTTTGAAATAAATATATAAGTTAACAAGGAGTAACTTGCTCCCTACTTTTCTTTTCCCTCTCCCAAGTGAAAACCCTACGGACGTCTCTCGCGCGATAATCTCTTGGAAAGTCGAACTTACCCAACCAAAATCGCTGCTCTGGTCCGTAAAATTTGTTTATTGTTTTCCTCGTCTATAAATTATTTTCTTCTAGCGAGGATTGCGATGGATTATACGTTATCTCCTAGTTGTGTGATGATTCGAACACAGAAATAAAGAGCTGAATGCTGCATTAATTACATGTCCACCTCGTAGGTTTTATCTTTGCCTCTTTGGTTTGATGGTTGATATGTGTTTGTTTATCTTGCAGATTTATCTCTGAAAAGATGTCTTTATCTGAAGAAGAAATCAGAAGATTTTTCAGAATCCACAAGACACTCCATCAGATGCTCAACGACCGTGGGTACATTGTCACGGAATCTGAAACTGGGATGACACACGAGCAGTTTGTTGACAAATATGGCGAGGACATGAAAAGAGAGGATCTTGTTACTCTCAAGATTAAGAGGAACGATGACTCTGATAAGGTTTGTTCAACTGTTTTGCTTTCTTTACCATTTGCGGAGGTGTTCTTTGTTATTTTTTCAATCTTCTAAAGTTGTAAATGCTTCCTTTGTGGTAGCTCATTGTCTTTTTCCCGGGTGAAACAAAGATTGGAATCAAGCAGCTTAGGCCGTACATTGCTCGCATGGAATCCGAGAAAATCTTCAGAGCAATTTTCGTTATAAAGCAGGACTTCACACCCTTTGCTCTGGAATCTTTAAAAACTACATCTTCAAAAATTCACTTGGAAATTTTTAAGGTAAGAAGTTCCTTTTTCTGACACTGAAAGTATATATGAAGACTCCACTGTAGCAAAAAAACGTGTCATTAGTTACAGCGAGGGTAAAACACAGCTTCTCATAGCCAACTCAAAATGCACAACAACACAATCATTCACGCAAGCGCATTGCTTCAAAGCAAACATCTAAGTCAAACAATTTCCACAAATGCTTCTCTCAATCTAAGAACAGAAGGAGGAGATCAAATGAAAATCGAAATATCAAATTAGAGTTTTTTTAATATCCCGAAACCAAATCGGATCTCTTTTAAAGCTAAATTCATCGCCGCACAAAATCCAAAATTGAACACTGTAACAGCCTAACAATAAAAAAATCCGAGGAAAAATGGAACCTTTTTCAAAACGGAGGCGGATCCCACAGACGGCGGAGAGTTTCCACTTTCCGTCTACACGAGCTTGTTTGTTTCCACCCAAAGATCTAACGAAAACAAAAAACTCCGAGAAAAATCCTTTAACTCTCAGCGAACGAACAACTGAGAGCTACACACACTCGAAGAAACGTGTCTAAATCTCACGGAGAGAACTACGGTCTATGGGTAATTTCAATTTCTTCTATTCTTCGTTCGCGATTTCGTTTCTTCTTCTTCTTCTTAAGATCTCTCTCTCTCGCTATAAAATGAAGGTATGTCTGTACACAACAAAAGAAGACGACGACGACGAAGAAGAAGAAGTCTGTCTGTCTCTTCGGTTCAAAAACATGGACAAGTAAAATTTTGAGGTAGAGAGATTAATTAGAATTTTTTATTTCATTGAACAGCAATTGAGAATTTTCTAAATCAATGACGTGTAATTTTTTAATTGGCTACTTGTGTAATTGTAAAATACTCATTTACAGAAACATAAGAATGTAGCAAGAGAAATAAGTATTTCCAATAAAAGGTAAACCATTTCCATTTTCTTACCTGAGGACAGTGGCCAGCTTCAGGAAGAACAACGAAATCTTCAACCGCATCAAAATTGCCATACGCTCGTCCAAGATCAATTGGCTCCCATGGATCTTTCTCTCCCCATGCAATTAGCACAGGGCACTGCAAACAGTCAGAGAATCATAGCCATTGTGATGTTAGATTTAGTTTTAACAATGATTGAGAAGAAAACCAGAGTAACAACTAACAAACCTTGACCAGTGGGAGTAAATCCTCTGGAAGCGGTCCACCAGAGTAACAAATGAATTCAAGAAACACATCAACCGCACCAGGCTCTAGCCCTGGCCGTAGAATTGCCTCAACTAGCTCATCCGTCACTTGTGAGCTATCATGGTAACACTAATTGCCAAATGCACACACACAACAAAAAACAAATACATTTTACTACAAAATATTAAACCATGCAACTTATAGAGATGGAGTATCAATATACCTGGCAAAGAATGCTTTTCACTGTCTCTTGTGTAGCAATGCTCTTGAAAAACAGTTTACCAACCGGAGTATTCCTGAGACCGACATGATAACATTCATTAAGCTGCAACACCACAGATGATCTTAGATAAAAGCAGGAGTACAAATTACCTAAGCAAATTCTGGAATGCTCTGATGAAAGGTCTTCCAATAAATGGTTGTTTCTTGATATGAAGCATCCGGAGAGATATGTTTATAAGCATAAGCCCTCTGCACATCTCTGGCTTACTTACTGCTGCCTGAAGACCAACAAGTCCTAATGGAAACACCAATCTCTCTGTTCATTAACTAAACCAAGTGGATAAAAATAGCATTTTGGAACTTTAGAGAGCTAACCTCCGATGGAGTTGCATATAAAAAAGGCTTCATCTTTGACCACATCCAAACAGAAATCATTGAGTTGCTCACCCCATGTCTCAAAAGTGTAGAAAGGTTCGCTTCCAAACTCACGAGGATTCGGTTTATCGGAGTATCCATACCCGATAAGATCGATTGAGTAGACCCTATGAGATTTCCCAAGGATCGGTGTGTTCTTCCTCCAATGGTCACTAAGATAACAGAAACACAAATGTTATTGTTTGAAACTCAAACAATTCAAAAACCTCATTAAAAGAGCATTGCTTGGAGACTTTTTATAGAGATATTGGTAAATGTTAATTGATACCTATATTAGCAAATTAGCAAATGGCAATGAGTTTTGACCTGTTAGCACCGAAACCATGAACCAAGACCAAAGCAGGGCCACTGTTTCCAGCACACTGATATCTTATCGAGTAACCTTTCCACTTCCATGTCCTGCGAAAAAAAGGACCACACTTTCGTCGTCACTCTATGGGGAATTAATCAGAAACCCAGAAAGATCAATCAGTCTAATAATATATACACAGAGATTACAGAAGAAACAGGAGTTGATTTTACAAGGTTTGAACTTGTTGCTCATTTTCCGCGACGGGACGATCTTTGAAAGTAGAAGCCTCGTCCGTGACAGAAGTGCACGAGACAGACCCGATTCTCCTTGGAGTCGGTGATCGTACGATCCCTGTCGAAATCGATTGTCGGAGAAAATGGATTTCCGCGAAATCGAGAAACGAAGTGTTCTTGAAGAAAAGCAATGGTATTTTTAAGTTGGTGAGTGGTGGAGCTGCAAAAATGCTAACATTCGCCGCCATGGCTGGTTTCGCGCTGAGTGAGGAGGACAAATTATCTTTTACTCAAAAAGGTTTTTGAAGTTGTTACGAGGCCAAGTGTTCCCATTTGGACCAAACGCATTTTTTCTTTAAGTCATGTTCATGTCCATTGCTATTTAGCTCTTACAAAAAATTTCCTCTGTTAATTAATTTTGATTATCAGTGTTAGTGTGAGTGGTGCGAATGTAAGAGATGAGCTGAGAAAGTTTCCGAGCACAAAGAAGGGTATAGTTTTTTCCACCATATAACACAAACAGTAGTACATGCCAAGAATATACAACACACTGTGCTCAAATGACTATATTATATGTAATCAAACTAGAAAAAAGCTCGAGTCCTAAAACTGAGAAGCGAATTGACAAAGGAATTAAGATGTGGTGTGAGTGTGGCATCCTTCTTCAGCCAATCACCTCGGAGTTTGAGTCATCGGAAGGCCAAATCACGGTCTCCATGAGGCGTTCACGCATCAACATCAAGTTCTCATCCGATATATCTTGGTATATCTTTCCATGGTCGCATTTCTGCAAGATTTCCCACAACAAAAAACTATACAACATCAATTTCTGAGTCCTTTCTCTGTTCTGGTAAGGGAAAAACATAACTGAAACTGGAGGGAGATTGTACCTTGATCCACTTGCCATACAAGTGGAGACGCGTGATCATCACTCTCTCTGCAAGCTCTTGACTCTCCTACAAGATGTGTTGAAACGAGATCTATGTATTAAAAAGATGTTGAACCACAAACGGTACTCTCTATGATTCTATCTCTAGCCCTATTGATATCTGTCATACCAAGGTCTAACCAACTCCCCACACTTACAATCTGCTACACCCAGTCGTAGGCTAGTTATATATATACAATTAGACTTATTGCTAAAGTTCGAGCAGCTCAACTTCTTCAACTACACACAATGTTTCTCGGCTTATCAGATGACCTATGTGATTCTAGTGAGTTATAAACTAAACTCTTATTAATGTTACCTTGCCGAGGATGCGGAGGAAACGTTTGCCTTCGGTTGGTCTGTTTGATATGATGTGACTGTTTGTAAATAATAGGAGAAACATAACACCACAACCCAAAAATGCATCAAGTTAGTTTTTTTGAGTAATCTAATCCTATACAGAAACGAGAGATTTAGATAATCCATATCATAACAAACTTACTTGTAGAACCATTTGTAATGGGGAGGATTCATTTCGTAGAGCTGATGAAGAACCGTCCTCACAGCTTTGTATGTGAAGTAATTAACAATTTGCTGCAAAACTCGGAAAGTGAGAAACTTGCTCTTTTTTAAAAACAATTTCATATAAAAAGTTCTCACCTTTTGGACATCTCCGAAGGTATCGTCGTAATTCCCAGCAACGTCCTCACTCACAATCAAGAGCTTTCTTTTGCTTCTTCGAATCGCAATTCTCGGTACGCGCTTCGAAGAAAGCCTTAAAACAATGCCAGAACCAGTAAAGGAGCTTCCTAATTCCAGCTTTCTTGCACTGCCGTCAAGGATCTTCTTCTTGTTCGGAGAGCTCCTCGTGTGAGCATCCAGACATAGACACGGACCGCTCTGCGAATCCATCACCGATGAGCCAACGACAAACAAAGCACCCACCATTTCTCCAAACAGCAAGATCAAGACTTTCTTGCCCCTGATTATTTGGGGAATCAACAAACAGTTGGTGGATCGAAGGTTAAGAATCAGAGGCAGAAACAAAGAATTGAGAGATAAAAAAAACGGTTTTGTATTGCAAAACAGAGAAGACGAGTTGGGTCTGTAAGATGGAAAATGGCCGTTGAATACTAGCCAGTCAAAATCAGAGCAAGTCTGATATTTTTTATTTGATATTCCTAAAAAGCAAGCAAAGGCAAAGACAAACAAGAAATGCACCGGGTGGGCTTTCGGGTTTACGTGGACACTCCGCAGAATTTAGGTAATATCTCTTGTCGTCTTGTAACTTAAGAAATTTCAGACAAATGTGTAAACGAGGAAGAACAACACTAAAGTAGATAACCGGCGTATTCACTAAAGCCACCTAAAAGAGAAGAAAGTCATGAAGATTCCGAGTTCCAACACCGACAGCGGCAAAAAATGGTAGATCAAAGAAATTTAATTAAGGTGGTAGTAAGAAAACAACAAGTCAAAAAAAAAAAAAAAAAAAAAAAAGAAAGAAAGAAAACAACAAGTCGTAGAAATCGATGAATGATGATTACGAACTCGAACATGTTAGTAGTAGATTATGTAAACGGATCAAGGTCTAATGATTCTACTTGAAATAATATATCAGCTCATAGAATGCATATTCCACTTGTTTGGTGACATGCATGACACAAAATTACTAGTAGCAGTGTAACTTGAATGGCTTTGAGTGTACTCTGTGGTGGAGAAGAACAAACTTGGGAACATGTAGTCGTTATTGTATAGATACAACATTTTTTTGTGGGAACCTAACAAAGACTTACATAGTGGATATGATATACTGGACAATTCATACCGAATCTTATAGACTTGTCTAGGAATTGAACTATTTGTACAAACTTGGCTGACATTCAACTCCATCCGTGTGTTGTCTGCAGACTCGGTGATTGTTGGGAGTACTACTTTACTCGGTGATTAGCATCTCCGCTTCATCTACCATTCCTTGAAGCTGAAAGACAAAAAAAACTTCTGTTAGTGAAGGTATCTCACTAATTTCATACAATCCAGACTGATAGTCAAGAAACCGGAACAAAACCTTAAAGATAGGGAAAACTTTTGTTTGAGGCTCGTATATAGCATCTCAAGTTTAGCAGCTACCCATTAAGCTATCAATACAAAGTAAAAGAAAAAAACAAAAGAGAAGCAAACAGAGGGGAAAAAACAACGATGTACTTTCTGATTCTCCAAGGAATTTGCTTTTAGCATCTTGGTCAACTACAATCCTAAAGCCTAAAGTTAGGAGGAAACTATATACAAATCCAACAATCAGTTTCTATTTTAAGATGCACAGAATAAAACTGAAAATCTAAACCCAGAAACTCGGAGATTCCAGAATGCATCAGTATCTCACACAAAATCACTTTCAGAGCTTCATTCATATCAGCCAAAATTGCAGAAGCTAATTTGAGTTGTTATCTAAATTGTAGAGACCTTGGCGTCAATTGATTCGTTGTTACTAGAAACAAGTCAGGAAATTCAAATAAGATTCTCGAATCTCGATCATCGAAGTCAACCAGAAAAAGGATATTCATTGAATTCCAATAGAAAAATCGCAACTTTGAGATCAAATTCAAAAACCCAGAAACCAAGATCTTATTGGACAAAAACCCAGAAACGCAAGATCTTATTGGACTTTTGAGAAGTCAAATACCTGGAGAAAACTCTTCCATGAATCTCCACAAGAGCCAGCAGAGACACCATTGTCGCCACAGGAATGTACAGTCTTGAACTGGTCAATGTCGAGCTTCTTGTTGATAAACCCAACCTTGAAGTAGATGGAATCGCTGGGCGGGAGATCGACTTTGATCTCATCGACGTCGAACCAAATAAAGACCCGCTTCACCTGAATACCCTTGAGGTCGGTGATCGAGCCGTAACCGATTTTTCCGGAAATGGTCTTCTCGTAGTAAACGAGGTAGTCGAATTCAATTGTGCAGGGCTTGGCCAGGTGGACGACGAATCGGCCGTCGTCGGAGAGGGTGAAATTGGTGACGGAATCCGGCAAGAGACCGCTTGGGAGGCCGTACTTGGGGAGGAGCTCGTAGACGGTGGGAATCGAATCCGGGTCGGGTTCGAAGAGGGAAAGGGTCGTCGTGGTAAGGAGGGTGAGAGAGAAGAAGATTGAGATTAAGAAACGATTGAGCGCCATAGTTTGTTGGAGAAGAAAGACTGACTTCTGATTGAATTTCTGAAAGATTTGTTGGATTCTCCGTTGATCGGTGTTGTATTTTGTTTATTTGGCTCTCTTTTTTTTTTTTAATATATTAAAATATTTATTTGGTTTGTATCATTTGTATACAGTAGTTGTAATGGGCTTTTGTGTAAACCAATTGGGCCTTATTTTATATTTATGCAAGACTTTTAGCATATAAAATTGATTAACAAAAATCAAAAACATCATCACTAATCCTTGGAGCTTTTCCGATGGCAATGGATACAAAAACACAGCTCTTAGACGAAATTTTGACGGATATTCTAGCGAGATTACCCTTGAGAAGCATCGCGAGGTTCAAATCGGTGTGCAGAACATGGAAATCGACACTCGAATCTTTGTATTTCCGGCGTCTCTTTCTGTCTGTGCACAAAACCTCCTCTTCCTCGTGGTCGCTCTTGTTCATCAGAGCACTAGAGCTCATAGGGTTCCATGGATGCGAGACATGGGATCTTCCGAAGTCCCCAGCTTCTTTCATCCCATCGTGTGTTAATCCCTATTTTGGCGGTTATTTCCAGTATGTGGCTTCTTCCAGTGGATTGGTTTTGATTGCAGACAATTCCACACTGAAAGCTCCCTGCTTCGTGGGCAATCCATTTTCAAAAGAGTGGGTCAAAATCACTCCATGTCGAGTTGATTATTGTTGAATTATAACACAATAAACAATTGGTATCAGAGCTTGAGTTCTGAAGATCATAAGAGGAAACATGGCTGGAGATAGTGATCTTGCGATCACAAATCCCAAACCAAGAGAAGGAGGGAATACCGCATCCATACAGTGTCCGATGCTTACGGCAACGAACTATACGGTGTGGGCTATACGGATGGAGGTAGCGCTTGGAGTCCATAAAGTCTGGGACGTGATCGAAGAAGAGGTAGAAACGTCCAGCAACGAGAAAAACAAGATGGCTCTAGCGTTGATCTTCCAGTCCATACCAGAAGCGTTGGTTTTACAAGTCGGTGGATTGAAGACAGCTAAGAAGGTGTGGGAAGCTATTAAATCAAGAAACATGGGTGCAGAGAGAGTCAAAGAGGCTAGGCTACAGACTTTGATGTCAGAGTTCGAGCGTCTTAGGATGAAAGAATCCGAAACTATCGATGAATTTGGAGGAAAGCTAGCTGAAATCGCATCGAAAGCGGCTGCCCTAGGAGAAACAATCGAGGAACCTAAGTTGGTGAAGAAATTCTTAAAGAGTCTTCCCCGACAAAAGTTTATACATATAGTTGCATCGATCGAGCAGATGTTAGATCTCAACAAAACCACCTTTGATGACATCATGGGACGTTTGAAGGCTTTCGAGGAACGAGTTCGTGATGAAGATGAGAATCAAGAAGATCAAAGCAAGCTGATGTATGCCAATACAGAAAGAAAGACGAATCAATCAACACATGACAACACCTCGAATACCAGGGGAAGAGGTCGTGGAGGACGCTCCTTTAGAGGAAGAGGACGAGGTCGATCTTCTTATGAAGAAAGAGATACATCGAATGTTGAATATTTCCGGTGTGACAAGTTGGGACACTATGCACAAGACTGTCCAGATAGATTGGCAAGACTGAAGCTACAAGAGGCTCAAGAGGAAGAGAATGGTGAAACCAAGAAAGCCGATGATCTCATGATGCATGAAGTGGTGTACTTAAACGAGAAGAACTGCATCCCGAGTAACTTTGAAACCAATACAGGCGAAGAGAACATCTGGTACCTTGACAATGGTGCCAGTAATCACATGACTGGTGATCAAAGATACTTCTCTGAGATTGATAACTCAGTGACCGGGAAGGTGAGATTTGGTGATGATTCTCGCATAGACATTAAGGGAAAAGGATCGATATCGTTTGTGGACATGAACGGAGAATCAAGGAAGATGTCAGATGTCTACTTTATCCCAGATCTGAAGAGTAACATCATAAGTCTTGGACAAGCCACATAATCAGGTTGTGAAATCAAGATGCAAGGGGAGAGCCTAACGATGCGTGACAAAGAAGGGAAGATACTTGTTAAGGCAACAAGGTCTAAGAACAGCTCTACAAAGTCCATATGGGTATAATAGACAACACACGGCTAAACCTAACCGAGACAAGTGGATCAAGCAGGTGGCATTCAAGGTTAGGACACATTAACCTTGATGCGTTGAAGTTAATGATGCAGAAGAAGCTGGTTTTCGGAATCCCTAGTATGACTTTAGAGAAGAAACTCTGTGGATCATGTCTACTAGGAAAACAGAGCAGACAAGCATTCCCGCAAGCAACGACATTCAGAGCAAGCAAGAACTTGGAACTTGTCCATGGAGACTTGTGTGGACCAATAACTCCAAGTACTCTTGCTGGGAATAGGTACATATTTGTGCTTATTGATGATCACTCTAGATACATGTGGACAGCCTTGTTGAAAGAAAAAAGCGATGCTTTCAACAAGTTCAAGAGGTTTAAGAGCTTAGTGGAGCAAGAGTCAGGAGCAAGCATACAAACTTTCAGAACAGATAGAGGAGGAGAGTTTATGTCAAAGAGTTCTGTTCGTTTTGTGATGCTAATGGGATTAAACGACATCTCACGGCTCCATATACCCCACAGCAGAACGGTGTGTTGAGAGACGTAACAGAACCTTGTTAGAGATGACAAGAAGCATCATGAAGCAGATGCACATACCAAACTACCTTTGGGGAGAAGCAGTAAGGCACTCGACTTACCTCTTAAACCGCATTGCCACAAGAACGCTCGTGGATATGACACCGTATGAAGTTTTTCATGGAAAGAAACCTAACGTGAATCATCTTCGTGTGTTCGGATGCATTGCATATGCACGAATAGAGAGACCACAATTGAAGAAGCTGGATGATAGATCGAGGATGCTTGTCCATCTAGGAACAGAACCAGGATCCAAAGCATATCGTCTGCTGGATCCACAGACGAGGAAGATAACAGTCAGTCGTGATGTCGTGTTTGACGAGACGAAAGGATGGAACTGGAGCCACACCAAACACCAAGAAAGTGGAGACGATTTTACCTTGGTAACAGGAAGCTTTGGTGAAAGCAAAGATCGAGAAACAGGGGAGAGCAGTAAAGGAAAGGAGATTGTAGAGGTCTCTGACGACAAGTGATGAAGAGAGGAGTCCCAAAAGTGATTTGTCGTCTGATAAAGAGACAGAACATGAGGAAACAAACCAAAGCTCTTCTCCGAGTTGCTTAAGGAGATCAGATAGAGAACGTGTGAAGCCAAAATATCTTGAAGACTACGTTTTGCTCGCAATAGAAGAAGGTGAAAGACTGTTGTTGCTCTTGAATGATGAACAGAGTTGTTTCAAAGAACCACAAGAGTCTAAAGAGTGGATGCGTGCGTGTGAGGATGAAATCAGCTCCATTGAGAAGAATAATACATGGGATCTTGTGGAACTTCCTTATGGAGCCAAACCAATCGGTTTAAAGTGGGTGTTCAAGCTAAAACGGAACTCCGATGGAAGCATCAATAAATACAAGTCTCGACTCGTGGCTAAAGGGTATGTACAACGTTATGGGATCGATTTTGAAGAAGTATTCGCTCCGGTGGCAAGATTAGAAACGATAAGATTCCTTATTAGTTTGGCGGCAACAAGTGGATGGGAAATCTATCATCTGGATGTAAAGACAGCCTTCCTTCATGGAGAATTGAAAGAGACTGTCTATGTCAAGCAACCGGTGGGTTTTGAAGTCAAAGGAAGAGAAGGAAAAGTGTACAAACTCAACAAAGCACTATATGGATTGAGACAGGCACCAAGAGCTTGGAATCACAAGTTGAATCAAATCCTCATGGAGCTCAGGTTTGCGAAGTGTTCAAAGGAGCCATCGGTTTACCGGAAGGTATCAGGAGATAATCTTCTTCTCATCGCTGTGTATGTCGACGATCTTTGTTACAGGAACGAACAAGAAAATCATTGAGGAGTTCAAAGAAGAGATGGCCTCTAAGTTCGATATGAGTGATCTTGGTAGATTGACATACTACCTTGGAATGGAGGTTCTGCAATGTGATGATGGAATAATGTTGAGTCAGAAACGTTACGCACAGAAGATAGTGGAAGAAGCCGAGATGCAAAATTGTAACGCGGTTCACACACCAATGGAGTCTGGTTTAAAACTGTTAAAGGCAAGAGACGAGAAAGACATTGACGCTACGATGTTTAGGAAGAATGTGGGCTGTCTTCGATATCTGCTACATACTAGACCAGATTTGAGCTATTGTGTAGGAGTATTGAGTCGCTACATGCAGAATCCCAAGGAGTCACATGGAGCTGCCATGAGACAATGCCTAAGGTACTTAAAAAGTACAACTACACTTGGGTTAACGTTCGAGAGATCGAGCTCAAGAGTCCCGAGACTCATTGGTTACATTGACAGTAGTCATAACGTTGACCCAGACGACGGGAAGAGCACAACCGGACACATATTTTATCTCGGAGAGAGTCCCATTACTTGGTGCTCTCAGAAGCAAGATACGGTGGCACTATCTTCATGTGAAGCTGAGTTTATGGCAGGAACAGAGGCGGCAAGACAAGCTATTTGGCTTCAAGACTTGCTTGGTGAAATCACAGGAAGACCTTGCGAGAGAGTTGTCATTCGCATTGACAATCAAGTCTGCGATTGCTCTCACAAGAAACCCAGTGTTTCACGGTCGAAGTAAGCATATACACACTCGCTATCACTTCATAAGAGAGTGCGTTGAAAATGGTCAAGTCGAGGTGGAGCACGTTCCCGGAGAGAAGCAAAAGGCGGACATCCTTACCAAGGCACTTGGAAGAATCAAGTTCAAAGAGATGAGAGATCTCATTGGCATGAAGGACTTAGCTGGAAATGAGTTCAAGCTTAAAGGGGAGAATGTTGAACTAAGCTTGAAGAAAGCTTAAGCTACAAGTCAAGCCTAATCCTATTGTGTTGAGGATTCCTAATGAGCTTAGGACTCAGATTATATTTAAGGGTTATCTAGATATAGTCTAATAGGATTAGGATATTGAATTGTTATATAAGGAAATGTCAAGGTGTGACATAACTTATGAGTTTAGAGATTGAGAGCTTAAGTTTTTGAGTGAGTTTTCTTAAGCAATAAAGAAGAGTTTTCTTTAATCTTTGAGTTCATCTTTGTGTTATAATTCAACAACTATACACTTCCAGGTGATGATACTTTTTTTGGTTTGGTGACTCGGTTGGACGAGGATGGTGTCGTCTTGATCTTCAAAGTGATTGTATTAGCTTATACCAAAACGACGAATTATACCAATCTCTCGGAAATGTGGAAAGTGTTTGTGTATTCCTCTGAGACTGAGATTTGGACTACCAAGATCATTCACTGTCCTCGTCAAATGACCTGCCTGCCTTATCTCACGCTGAATGGTACGATTTACTTTACCTGTTTTAGTGTACATGGAGTAGTCGCATCTCATGACTTCTATTCCGAATCCGACCAATTTTGGGTTGTGCAACTACCGTACCATCCGTGTCCCTTTGAGGACATCGAACGAGCCTTTACTACATCTGGAGGCTGTGTTATATATGTCAGAGCATTAGCTCAAAAGGAAGAAACTGTTTTAAAGATTTGGAGGTTGAACAATGATCAATCTTGGCAGCTTTTGTGGGACATGGGCCTCCCTATTCTTGGTAATTGTGCACCCATGGCGATGCATCCATTTGATGTAGGTATTGTCTATGTATTGTGTCAACATGATCATCATTTGGTGTCATGTAACCTGCGGACACGAAAGATCACAATCCTCAGGGATGCAGATAATGATGGTCATCAAGATTGTTTCGTTGACGAGTCTGTATGTGTCGAGAGTGTGAACACATTATGGGATCCAAGATCACCACCACCACCACCATCAAAGTGCATGTGTAGAGCTATGGTCTGGTTCCTCCCATTTGTCCTCCCACGGTGGATGGAATCGGTGCCTCGTCCTCCCCAAGCTGAGATGATGGATACAACTTCACTGCTTTCTTACACTACTTCAAGGCAGGCTACAATGAAGAGGAATAGAGACAACAACTGTTTTTGAATTTAGTGATATCGTTATGCTTTTCTTTTCTTGTGTGTTTAAGATACTTTGTTTTTTATACATAAATGAAAAATTGAACCTTAAGAAAAGGTCACTAATTGGAAAATGAAATAATTATAAGATTTTCTTCCACTGTAATATTGAAACCAAAATTTCTTATCAGCAAGGTTTGGATGTTATGAAATTGTTACTCCAATGTTGCATAATCTCATACAGGTTGATTTTGTTACATGAGAAATGGTTTCTCTATTGTATAGGTTGGAAGGAATGTTTCTCGGTTACTATCGGTAGTGATGAAAGTTTCCAAAGGAAAGCCTTGTCCCGATATGTAAGATCCATTCTCTTGTCACTTGTCAGCCATATCGAATCAAATAAAGACCCATTAGTTAAAATTTTGTGTAAAACAATTGGGCCTTATTAGTTCTTACCTCCTTTCAATTTAATGCAAGACTTTTAGGTTTTAGCATAAAGTGAAAAAGTAAAACGAAAAACATCTATCACTAGTGAAAACTGAAACTCGGAAACCGCTTCTTTGGCGGCGAGAGGCCATTTCCGATGGCAATGGCTAGAAAAACACAGATCTTAGGGGAAATGGTGACGGAGATTCAAGCGAGACTACCCTTGAAAAGCATCGCAAGGTTCAAATCGGTGTGCAAAACGTGGAAATCGACACTCGAATCCGCGTATTTCCGGCGTCTCTTCCTCTCCCTGCACCAAAACTCCTCTTCCTCGTGGTCGCTGATGTCCTCCGGAGCAGTAGAACTCATAGGGTTTCACGGATGCGAGACGTGGGGTCTCCCAAAGTCTCCAGCTTCTTTCATCCCGCCGTCTTTCAAACGCTATTATCTCGGTGATTTCGACCATGTGTCTTCCTCCTGTGGATTCGTTTTGATTGCAGACAGCACTGATGACGGAGGTGATTGCTACGTGGGCAATCCAGTTTCACAAGAGTGGGTCAAAATCCCTGCACTTGAAGGTGATTCTACTGTTTTTGATTTGGTGACTCGCTTGGACGAGGGTGGTGTCGTCGTGGGCTTCAAAGTCATGAGGTTAGCTTCAGTCAAAGCGACGAATAACTATCTCTCGGCTACTTTGAGTTTCTCCGTGTATTCCTCTGAGACTGGGATTTGGACTTCCAAGATCATTCACTGTCCTCATCAAATCACCAACCTTTTTAGCATCACTCTCAATGGTACGATTTACTTCACCTGCCTTAGTGTTCCTGGAGTGATGGCATCTCATGATTTCTACTCTGAATCCGATCAGTTTCGGGTTGTGCAGTTACCGGACCATTCGGATCCCGTCAACGCCTTCAAACGAGCCTTGGTTACATCTAGCGGCTCTGTTCTCTATGTCAGAGTGTTACCACAAAAGGAGGAAACTTTTTTCAAGATCTGGAGGTTGAACAATGGTTCAGGGGATGATGATCAATCTTGGCAGATTCTGTGGGAGATCGGCCTCCCGGTTATCGGTGACTGTGCACCCCTGGCGATGCATCCGTTTGATGTCGCTACTGTTTATCTATGGAGTCAGCAGGATCATCATTTGGTATCATGTAACCTGCGGACACGAAAGATCACAGTCCTCATGGATGCAGATAATGATGGTCGGATTGCTTCGTTGACCAGTCTGTTTGTGTCGAGAACGTGGATCAGTTGTGGCATCGAAGATCATCATCGCCAGATTGGAACTATAGAGTTTCAATCTGGCTATTCCCGTTCGTGCTCCCACGTTGGATGGAATCGGTGCCTCGTCCTCCCCAAGCTGAGATGATAGATACAACCTCACTGCTTTCTCACATTGCTTCAACGTTTGATGCAAGGAGGAGGAATAGAGCTTAATGTTTTTTTTTAATCAGTGATATCATTATGGTTTTTTTCTTTTTGTGTGTTTAAGATATTATTTATTGGAAAATGAATTAACTAAAAGATTTTTCTTCAACTGTATTACACTAGATTACATGCATATAGATTGTATCTCATCTAAATCTTAGTATTTACAGAACAAGTCTGTCACATGATCAAGCTCTTTCCTATGGTGGAATACGAAAACATCATGAGAAGAAGTTGGTGCCATGGTTTCTCAAGCTTGTGGCTTAACTCCATTTTGTGACTCAGCATCAAGAACATCAACCATGGTCATCATGATCTCCATGTCTTCGGGTTCCTTTGTTCGAAGCTCAGAATAGTCAATTTTCTCAGCGTAGATCCTTAGCAAGAAAATATAAAACCACATTGCAAAGATGGTTACACCAACAAGAAACCAACTGAATTGGATATTGACCAATGATATTGCTCTGTGAAGAGCTTTGACGCTTGAGCATCTAATGGAATGTTTACCCTCTTCAACGTGAAGAAAACAATCCTTGGGAACCAAACTTGGCGTCCAAAGCATGCAAGCCATTGACATAAGCCATATTCCTTGCAAGGAAATACTAAGTGACCGAACAAAACTCACCAAGAAGCTACTTGGTAAGGCGATCCCGAAGAGTGTTGTGACCAAAGAGACAAAGACTACGAGTTGTAACAACAAATGGTAGTGTCCCTCGACGCCCGTGTGGTCTGACGAATGGAAATGGAAGAGGAAGAGTTGTTGGGCGAAGGCCAGGGCTGCGATCAAGTTGATGAGGTCCCGATGAGCCATTGGTCTTGTTTTGTCAAAGATGATGGCAAAAGCTGCATAGGTGATGAAGGTGATGGAGATGGAAGAGTGTTCAAAGTTATGAAGATGGTTATATGGGATGGTTCCGTCCTTGGGATCAAATGGTTGGTGATTGTTTTGGCCAAGGAAAAGCTCCACGGAAATGGAAAGTGAGGAGCCTATAATGATCAAGAGAGGCTCTAAATATCTTGGTTTGGAAAGTGGAAACCATGCACAAGATATGTATGATTTTGGGTGTAGAGAAAATAGTTTGATGTGGTTAAAGAGGTGCCATAGACCAAGTGCAAAGAAGAAAAATCCCGGTAAGATGTGACCCACCAATGTTCCCATGTTAAAGCTTTGAAGGTTCAGATTAATGGAGGGTGGTTATAAATATAAAAGATGAATGACTTGAAGATGACTTCTTTCTTTTTAACGACAAGATGACAATTACAGTTGATTAGCAAAGATCTTGATTTTGCTTCAAGAATGATGATGCTTTGTTGTATGTAGTCATGTATGTGCAAGGCAAGTGAGAAGACACGATTAGATTTTATATTTGTGTAAAATCGATCTCAAGTAACTTGCAAGTATAGGCTTACAAACTTATGTGCATGTTTTACGTTATCATATTTTATGGCCTGAACTTTGTGCTTAGGCTATTTGGGCTTCTCATTTCTAAAAAACTCAATTGGGTTTTTTTTTCACGCAACACAAAATAAGACAAAAGGAACCGATATGGTTGCAATTTTCTTTAGTTCTTTCAGAAGTTTAAATTAATCTTCAAGAATCTACTACCGTTCACGAAAGGGTACATATTGAGTAATGAGTATGATCAGCGTCACATCCAAAAATAGTATTTGTTTCAAAAAATCATAAGTACTGACGTAACCCATACTCGCTGCCAATTATCGAAACCTCATGCTATCGCAAGCAACAGGCGATCATATTTAAGACATATCAACATTAGTTAAGAATCCAAATGTTTTTTGGTTTTATTATGATCCAAATGTTATTCAACTTTTCAGATAATTCTTCTCTAATAATTCAAGGGGTCCAAATAATAGAACCATAGCCTAAGAATAACATCCTACCTACCTTCTACATTTTATAATTCCAATTTTTAATCATAAGAATAATGACGCGGCATCCTTTAAACAGTTTAACTTTATTTTTCTTTTAAATTTAAAAAGCAATAACTCGAAGATTTAATACAGAACCATAGGACCATTTCCACGTGGTCTCGACCGACCACTTCAAAACTGGAAAAGCCCTGAAATATTTTAATCTTTTAAATAAGCTAAAAAATAACACCCATTCAAAGCAAATTACTCTTTTCTTCTCTCCAAAGATAAAATCTACTGCTTTATATATACACACTCACACATACAGAGACATCTAGATTTCACTTATAAAAACTCAAGACCTTGACTAAAACCAGAGAAGATCAAGAAGAAGGCATATGGCGAGATCACCGTACTACGGCTCATCGTACTTAGACTACCTCTCTCTCCCAAACCCACACCTCTGTTTCTTCTTCATCGTCGTCTTCTCCGTCTTGTCCCTCACATGGTACTTGAACTACGAGTCCGTCATCGAGGACACCTTGAATCAGCTAAAGTTCGTCTTCATGCTTTCCCCTCTCTTCCTCCTCCTCCTCGTCCACTTCTTCTCCGGCGGCCTCTCCTTCTACGTCCCCTGGCCTGACCAAGACTCCATCCACCGCGCCGGTGCTTCCCCTTGGGGCGTAGCAGCCGTGCTCGTGATCATCTTGTGCATGATCTGGTACCAGTCAGATTTCCAGGAGATGTGGTTTCCCTTTGGGGCTAAGTAGATTTGATCAACCTAGCTAATATAATTTCCTTCCCAGCTTTAGCTATATTCTCTAGCTACATCCATGTAAAATTTTGTAGTACCTGAATGTTATGGTAATAATATATAGTAATAGTACTTTTATTAAGATAAAGATTTAGTTTGTCATGTGAATGTATAAATTATATTTCTGTAGGATTGAAACATTTTCCGAATATCTCTTATCGGTTTATATGTGTATATGAAGTTCTATGCGTGTGTGTATGAGTTCTGCTTGTATTCGTATATATTTCCTTTGGAGAATTAGATGGAGATAAAAATAAAAGGTTTTGATGCAAGAGAAAAGTTTGATGGATGAATGGATGAGGTAAAAGCCTAAAAGAAGACTGTGCAATAGATGCATAATGTGTGTACGTTGACCTAAACAACTAGTGGTAGTGGTGGTTCTACTTGTCATTTTATGACAAGTGGGAGTTGTTACTGTCTATGTAATATTTTCCGGAACTCTTTTTTATAGCTGGTGAAGAAACTGGAACAACTTTTGCGATTGCTATTATCGTTCGAGTTTAAGCCACTGGATGTGGTTAAAATACTAATTTCCACTTCAACAACAAGACCATTAAAAAAAAAACACGGAAACGTTGCATTTTTTTAGTTCTTGAAATAATAATTTTGGAAATTTGAAAGCATCGTTCACTGGTTACTAAAATAACATATAGAGCCAAAGTGCTACAATTTATTTTCAAGTTTGTTTGTGAGAATCTTTATCAATTTGTGAGAAAAAGACACCGACATATTTTTATGACATTCGCACCACTCCTTTATAAAGTTAGGGGTGGATTCTCGAATACTCAGGTTGGAAAGCGACATTCTCTCCCACTATAATTGTGCCAGAATTCAAATCTTACCAAACAATATTAATGGCTAAATTATTTTTCATCATAGAGCCAACATCAATCGGAGAGTAAACTATCCAAAGAGATTTCAGTTCTAAATTGAAAATTTTATTTTGTCTTCTAATAATAAAAGGAAGATTCGTTTTCCATGACATTCACATATAAAAAAAAAATTGTGTTCGGTTTGGTTTTGAAGTATTTTAACTCAATTATTGGTTTTTATTAAAAAAAAATCATTTTTAAAAGAAATTTACGGTCGGTTAAATTCAATATATATCTGATATTTTAGAGATTCATTTTCAGTTTTTGGTCTCAGCTAGAAAAAAAGATAATATATTAAAATCCAACGAAGAAAATACAGTTGTGGAATAGAACAAATTAAACACTTGTTACATGTATAAGAAGAAACTGAATACAAAAGAAGAAGAAAGATGAATAACAAGAAGTTTTGAATTTGATATTTTGAACTTGTAGCTATGCACAACGTCTTAATTGACCCGTCTACAGTCTCTACGAATCTCACCATCACTTCCTGTGAGAACCCTTACATTTCCCATCTTGATCATCGATCTCGCAAAAGCTCTAAAGAAGTTACGTTGGCTCTTTGCATAACGGTTCACCAAAGACACAGTAGGCGCTCCTGTCGAAGAGTACAAGATTTGATCTGAGTCAATGACTCCGCGGTGGTTTTGAAGGTTCTTGTAATAGTCGTTATCAAAGGAGTCCGGGCTCTTAGGATCAAGATTGACCCTCCCGGTTTGAATTCCTTGCGGGCATTTTCGTCGCAATGTTTGCAAGAACTTCGGTTCAATGCTCGGATCAGACTGTCCGTTGTTGCCACTAAAATTGTGTAGACGATTGGTTATCACTCCACACTGAACCCTCCCGAACGTATGAGCACCTGTAAATTTATTATGATTCATACATAATTCGTTAATATACGTGGTCACAAAGTACTATATACTTCTGCAAGATGATCAATGAAGAATTAATTAAGATAAAAAAAATACATTACCAGATAAAGCGACGAGATCGGTAGTGTCAAGATTATGAACGGAGAATTTAGAAGTAAGAATTTCGAGAGAGTCAGGTCCTAGTGGAAGTGCAGCCTCCGCATCCGAGCGGCTCGCCGTCCGACCATCTCTTCTTCCTAACAATACGTCCCATGACGGCCCTCCCGCCTTAAATGATACAAATGTTTATTATTAATAATAGTTTTCATAGTTTTTAGGGTTTATTCGAATCTGAATTTAGGTTGGTGCACAATAAGAACACTAGTACAACTTACTACTTACTAGGTTGTCATTTTTTTTGTAAAATTAAGATAAAATAATCTAAAAGCACTTGAAGAATCATGTTATTACCAGTGAGACAGAGACTTCAGCTGCGATAGCAAGGATATCGGCACAAGAGACAACACCAGGGCAAACTTTCTCGAGTGCGGTTTTGATATCATCGATCACTTTGAATCCATCAAGAGAATTAAAGTTTTGGAAAGCCTCCTTTTCACCTTCAACTCCATCCGCAGGAGCAGCATCCAATAGTACCGATCCATCACACCCCTGTGTTCACACATTTTGAGGTCAATGTTTTATGCATATTTATACTTTGAAAAGAAACCGAGTTACATTATCCAAATAAATATAGTTATGTTTTCTTGACAAAGTCAATCTCTATCCTTTTCTTAGTTAATATATAAAGTAGAACAAAAAAGGCATATTTTAGTTTGGGAGTTAAAAGACCGTTACTATATCTCAATATAGACAAATATATAATCAAAACATCAAACTTCATATATCTTTGAAAAATGGCTCAACGAAACTCTTAGAACAAGATATCGATCGTATTTTTAATCAACTTGGTAATGAAACTCTAAACTTAGTAAGTTTCCTTTTACAACGATCATAAAATTTCACATGTACTGGTTTAGATTCAACATGATTACATGAATCATGAGATCGCATGCAGATTAAAACGATCAATAGGGGATCCTTATTAACCCAAAAAATCATAATATATGCTAATGGGTAGAGAGATCTTACGTTCACGAAGCAGTCGTGAAAGTGAAGACGCATGACTTTAGCAGTGAGTCTGACGTCGCTACGGCTAGCTCGCGTGATTAGACCCCGAGCGATGACTGTGGCATTAGGGCAAGTCTTGGAGTAAAATTCAGCGGTAAGATGAGCATTACCCAAAACTCCAAACAACCAAATAGAGAGCAAAAGTGAGGGAATAGTGTTGCTTAGACCCATTTTTGGTCGCTCTCCGTTAAGTAAAGCGGAGCGATTGAACGAATATATAAGATTAGAGGATATTGTGGGTTAGGTTGATGTTTTAAAAAGGATGATGTTTTAAGGAATGACTTTCGCAGCCCTTTATAGAGAGATTAGAAGAAAATTCTACATGTTCTAGGAAATTTAAAAACGTTTCAGTGCGGTATATTATAGACTTTTGATTTTTTATTTGTAGGACCAAAAAAAACATAAAATAGTTAGCGTGATAACTGATATTGGCCGCCCATAGTATAAAAAATACAACGATTATGAGTACACCCAAAGCGAACATAAGAAATGTTATTATTTTTTTCTTTCTAATCGCAGACTATATTAGAATATTAATAGTTTAATAATATATAGTCTTACTGTAAGAATTGCTTGCTAGATAGACTAATTTTGGCTTTAGTTATGTTGGCAAAATCATACGAAGAAGAGACAAAAGTAATTTGGTCATTTCGTGATTCATTTGCAACTGGTGAGGCTACAATAAGAATGACATTATATCTACGGTTTTGTTATACATATTTTTATATATACACACATGTAAATTAAAAATACGAAAAGAAAAGTTGAATAATTTCTAATTTAAATCTGATTATTTGATTAGGCACTGATTCGTTCAAAGTTCCATCTAGCGATAGTTAACCAATGAAAATATAGTGTTACATAATTTTTTTGTAAATCCAATCATTAAAAAAAATCATTTAATATAGCTATCTTCATCTCTCATGAGTAATGGACAAAAATGTCATACAAATGTAATGAAAGCTGTAAAAAACAAATGTACGTCATGATGGCTATAAACAGACAAATGTACGTCATGTTGAAAATTTAGTAAGCCAGAACAATTTGACCTGTAGAAAATTAGGAATATGTATATCGTAAAAATCGACGCGTTAAAATCCATGTATTTTTTTTTTTACCTAGTTTATACATCATTTTCTTTTTCAGTTTTTCTTTTTGAAATTTTAAATTCAATGAATTAACATCCGAACATATCAAAGGAAAATTATTAGAAGACAACTATAATGCTTAAAAAAACTATATAATAAGAACCAGCAGAGGAATAACCTACTCACTCATCGAGGAAGATACGTAGGTTATTAAAATAGCTTTTCTTTGATTGAATCGGTCTTATACGACGCAGGCATCATAAAAACGATATATTATTCCGTATATTGATTCCGCGATCCCGTTGAATCGTTCTAATGAAACATAAGATGGGAGGCGAATCCTCATTGGTGTGTGATAAAATAATGAAAACATAAAAAGAGATAATAATAACAATGGAAACATGTGATTCATATGGCAATGGAGAGGAATGATTCGATATCATTGGAAGCAATAAGTCCTGAAATACACATTTATTCTACTTCGCAAAGCTATTCTACAGACCAAGAAAAGATAATGCAACAAAATTTACAAAGTAGACAAGTGTAGTTCAGAACTTATACATATATAGGGAAATTTAACATTTGTTTGCTAAAATATTTCAAATATCACTTTGGAACATAATAAAATTGTTGATTACGGTGATAAAATTCTAATGTGATTCGTAAAGATTTCAAATAAAAAGTAGTACGTTAAAATATAGATACATTTCCTTATTTTATTAATTTATAGGCTCAAGGATTTATCCGATGAAGGATTAGGGTTCCAATTTTTCCAATATGATTTTAATTATGGGTAGTACGTAGTATTGTAAACAACAAATAACAAATACGTAAAGCTCTTCTCATATGATTTACAATTACAAATGACAGTGGCATGCTTAGCCTTATTAGACTAATAATAGTGAAACAAAATCGAATTAAGGAAGAAAGACAGTTGTGGAAAATTACAATTGAAATACCACTTATTTCATGCATAACAACAAGTAAAAAAGTGATCACTTGAACGTGTAACTATGCAAAACGTATTAATTGACCCGTCTGCAGTCTCTACGAATTTCTCCTTGAGTTCCTGTGAGAGTCCTTACATTTCCCATCTTGATCATCGATCTAGCAAAATTTCTAAAGAACTCAGTCTGGTCCCCTGCAAAACGATTCACCAAAGACACCGTAGGCGAACCTGTCGAAGAGAACAAGATTTGATCTGATTCAATGACTCCACGGTTGTTTTGAAGGTTCTTGTAATAGTCGTTATCAAACGAGTCCGGGCTCGTGGGATCAAGATTGACCCTCCCCGGTCCGCCTTGGGGGCATTGTCGTCGCAACGTTTGCAAGAATTCAGGTTCAATGCTCGGATCAGACTGTCCGCTAACATTATTAAAATTGTGCAGACGATTGTCTATCACTGCACACACAACCCTCCCGAACGTATGAGCACCTGTAAAATTTTTATGTTTCAAAAATTCCTTAGGATAATACTGTAACAAAGTACTATTCAAGCCCATGATATATCTTTATATTTATACGTACTTTAATATTTTTTAATAATATTTAATTCTGCAAGTCGACCAATGACAAAAAGAATGAAAAATGTAAAATCATTACCAGATAAAGCGACGAGATCGGTAGTGTCAAGATTATGAGCGGAGAATTTAGAAGTAAGAATGTCGAGAGAGTCAGATCCTAGTGGAAGTGCAGCCGCTGCGTCCGTTTGGCTCGCCGTCCGGCCATCTCTCCTTCCTAACAATACGTCCCATGACGGCCCTCCCGCCTTACATGACACAAATATTAAACTAATTAATATTATTATGTTACAATAGGTTTTAGAAAGTGGAATATAAAATCAAGACATGTAAACAAGTGGTTTGTACTATATAATGTCTTGGTCAATAAACCCATGCTGACCCACACAAAAAAAAAAAAAAAAAAAAAATGGAAGCACGTAGATTCTGAGAGGTATGTTATTACCAGTGCGACAGAGACTTCAGCTGCGATAGGGAGGATATCGGCACAAGAGACAACACCAGGGCAAACATTCTCGAGTGCGGTTTTGATATCATCGATGACTTCGAATCCAGCAAGAGAATTAGCGTTTTGGAGAGCCCCCTTTTCACCTTCTACTCCATCCGCAGGAGCAGCGTCCAATAGTACCGAACCATCGCACCCCTGTACGTGTTCACACACTTTTACTTCAATCTTTTATGCATTTTATAATGTTAAAATGAAACTCAATTATTACATCAACAAAGTAAACGTAATCATGTTTCCTTGAAAAAAGGGCATATTATAATTTGGGTTTAGAAAGACCGGTACTATCTTAATATGAAACAAAGGCTAAGATGGAATCTACAATCAAACATTCAAAAGAAACTTCAAGGTTGATCTTGAACGTTGACTCCACGAAATTCTTGTTAAAATGGTAATGAAAACTCGTAACTTAATTAATTTTTCTTCTGTTTGAAGTCCATTACCCTTTAACAACGGATTATGTACTTTTTGGGGTCAACCAACGAGTATGTACTTTTAATATTAAACTCAAAAAAGTTGGCCCAGTCTTCAAACAAAACTTGCATGTGCATGTTTTCAACATGAATCATGAGTTCACATGCGCGTTAAAACGATCGATTTAATTATTAATCCGAAAAAAAAAAACGTATACTAATGAATAGAGAAAGATCTTACGTTCACGAAACAGTCGTGAAAGTGAAGACGCATGACTTTAGCAGGAAGCCTGACGTCGCTACGGCTAGCTTGCTCGATGAGACCCCGGGCGATGACTGTAACATTAGGGCATGTCGTGGAGTAAAAATCAGATCTAAGCTGAGCATTACTCAAAACCCCAAACATCAAAACAGAGAGAAAAAGTGCGGGAATGGTATTGCTTAGACCCATTTTGTAAAACTTAGAGGATGTTGTGTGTTGATGCTAAAAAGAATAAACTTTTGTAGCCTTTTATAGAGAGCTAAGACCGGACGTTGGAAGAAAAATCTACACGTTCTACGAAAACTACAAAAAATCAGTGAAATATAGACTTTTAATTTTCTTTTGAAGGATTAGACCAGACATTGGAATATAGTGATTAGTATGTCGGTAACTAAAATTTGCTGCATTTGTAAACTTACATACACAAGTAAGTAATTAATAAGAATATCAATAAAAAATACAAAGTAACGTCAACACTAATAAGTAATTAATTTGTTGAAATTCAGCATGCTTACTATTCCTTTCCGCGTAAATGTGAAAGTGCTTATTTTGAAGCCATCAAAATGGAGCCAGTTTGCTCAGAATAATTGGAGGGGGTCGCTTTCATATGATTGACATTTACCATCGTTGAATTCCCCGAAAACTAGAAGTCTAGAACATGTGTGATGCATATTGCATAATGATCATCTTATTCACAACTATTTTCGCCTTATTTATTAAATCCATTATTATTTAGTCTATACTGACAGAGCAGTCGAAATATGTAAAAACAGCTGTATCAAGATACCATCTAGCTACTTGAATTTAAAACACGTTTCTTTTATTTTAAATTAGTAAACCATTAAAAACAGACAAACCTAGAAACCCATAATTTTTATTATTGCACACCTGATACCATTTTGATACACACGTGACACGACACACACGACACACGAGACTGATCAAGTACCAAACGTCCAAACATTGCAGAAAATCGAAAACACACAGACGACTAGTTATTAATAACCCTACAGTTTTTTCTAATCTCCCCTTTAGATCCATTAACAAGATTCGTAATACGTCCCATTCTGATCATCGAACAAGTGAAGTCCCTGAAAAACAAGTTCTGGCTCTGACTATAAGCCTCCACAAGTCTTTTCGTTGTGTTCACGGCCAAGTCACTTGAGAACAGAATCTGATCAGAACTCAAAAGACCTTTCCCTTCGAGGAGGTTCTTGAAATAATTGTTGTCGAAGGCGTCCGTGGAGTTGCTGTCTAGGGGAGCGGTTTGGTTTCCATTTCCTCCGACAGGACAAACAGTTCGCAGATTCGATAAGAGTGCGGTCGCAAGTGTTGCGTCCGGAGTTCCCGCGCCGGTAAAGTTGAACAGCCGGTTGCTGAAGAGATCACACTTTGCTTGTCCAAAGGTGTGAGCTCCTTTGTGATGCAACATGCGTACATGCATAAGTGATAAGTACTAAGAATACAAAAAAAAAATAGTAATTGAGGAAAAGGAGTAAAACCTGATAAAGATACGACGTCGGTGATGTTAAGGCCAACCGCTACAAACTTGGCAATAATAGCGTCTAAAGGCTCAAAGGGAGATGGGAGATTGTTTGCACTGCTCTGATTTGCCACTAATCCGTCTTTTCTTCCTAATGCCACTCTCCACTGAGGCCCTCCACTCTACAAAGTACAAACCAAAACCCATTATAAACGTTTGAGAATAGATAATCATTTATAAAGACAAACTTAAACGTAGTCATTTTCTTTATTATTAAATAAGTCATATTCTATAAATTGTTGTGACTTGAAAGCTAAAACTCGTGTAATATGAAAAGAAGTAAAAACCCTATCCCAAAATTTGATTGAACCCCTGAAATTAAAGTAAATATTAAGTGAGAACAAAAAGGCTTACCAAGAAAACTGAGTCCCGAGCGGCTAAAGTGAGTATGTCAGCACAAGAAACAACACCAGGGCATGCGTTTTCCACAGCGGCTTTGATAGTATCAATTACTTCAAATCCTCTCGCAGAGTTTGCGTTTGGGATCGCTAATTTCTCGCTATCAGCCCCATCCAACAACACAGACGCATCGCACCCCTGAAAAGATGATGCTAATTCGTTTTAACAAGCTGATGACAAGTGTTTGGAACAATTGTAATAATATTTTTACGTGAGTTTAATAGAAAAATACGTAAAGGTGGTAGTAATACATACATTAACAAAGCAGTCATGGAAATGAAGACGAATTAGAGAAGCAGCCATCCGCATCTCGGCCCTCAAGGCGATCATAACTTGTTTACGGACAATTTGTACAAGGGAAGGGCACGATTTAGCATAAATGTCTGGGTTTAGCTGTGCCGTAACCCCTGAACAAAGCATACACATAGTGAAAACAGCGAGCAAGACATGTCCTCCCATCGCCTTGGTTTGTGTCTTCATTGTCTAGATGGCTTGTTTGTTTTAGTGGCTTACTAGAGTGATAGTTTATTAAGATGTCGAAGAATCGGGGTTCTATTTATAGAGAAAAATAGATAAAGCTTAAGTGCATGTGCTTCTGTTAGTGGACTATTAAGATAATGATTAATGCATGGTGACGTATGGCGGCTAGCTTCATAAAATTGATTTCTTGTGCTCAAGAAGACGCATTAATTAATCAATTAAGATTAGGCTTTAGGCACTAATCCCTTGTTTCAAATAAATATTGCAAGATTAGACACTAAGAGATATTCAAATTCACAGATTCATGCATTTCTATCTAGTTTGTATAAGTTGGCCGGTTTTATCTTACGTTTAATCCACTAAGATTAGGGACAGTGTTTTCGAGATAACATGTAGTCAACTTTGTCTCAAGTAGTGTTGTATTTAAATGTATTTTGAGGACGCAAGTGGCTTTTGTATAAAACAACTCTCCCCAGTCCCCACTCGTATGTACATGTATTATGAGGCTGCGAGTCTGCGACTGGCTTCTCCTCCTTTTCTTTTCTTTTTGAATTTTGAGTATTTCTCGTTTTGTGCTTGTTTAATTATCATTATCTAAAATCGATTGTTAAAAAACGGAAATGGATAGAATCATTCATTGAAAATTAAATATTACAAAACATAAAAGTACTTAACAACTCCAAACTCCAAGTACATACATCTCTGAAGACTATCTTAACATATAACGATGGTACATTCCAATTTCCACGTGACAATATTCAAAAATTTCTATGCTTAGTTATAGCGTAGTGTTACATCTTACATCCCACTCGAACTTTGTAACTTGCAGAGATTTTAAATATTGTTTTTGGTTTACAAAGTGCATAGTCCAAAATAGGTTCCACTTCCCGCTCTTGGCAATATCAGCATGCCTAATAAAATATAGTATTAAGTCAAATATTGTATACTTAGCTTATGTAAATTCCATACGATCCCTCTATTATTTTGTCTGTATCTTACCATATAGTAAGCTAATCTTTCCAACTTTGTTGCAATTGGAGAAACGGATTTTTTTTATTATACTATATTTATATATGGGTACTTGTACATCATATCCTCATTTTCAATAGAATTTCATACTAAGAGATGTACAAGAGAAAAAAAAATTGAATTTTTTTTAATTCTAAAAAAAATAGAATTTTCAATAGAATTTCATACTAAGAGAGTAAGAGATGTACAAGAGAAAAAAGATTGACGATTGTAATTGTTCTTACGTGTTGCTTTTTGTTTTTCCTACTTTGGAGCTTTTTTGTGCATCTGAATATACGTAACCTAAATGCAAACATTCAGATAGAAATAACTCAAACCCACTAACTGACCCATATGGGCCCAAACTTGGTTGGCCTAATTATTTGTTTTCTCAGACGCAATCCCAAATAGAGAGAGGAGTAGGAAAAGCAAAACAAATCTTGATCCAACAAAAGAATCTGAATCCAACCAAAACAGGATTAAAAGAAGAAGCTTTTTTTTTTCATCTAGAAATTTTTCATTAGAACATTGAAATTGTTACATTGCCGGACAGAAAATAAAACCGGAAACTAAGCCGGCGGAAGACAAGATTTCCCTGGAGTCTAAGCCCAAAAGAGGGAGACTTTTTAAATTACAGAAACCCAAAGATCTATAAATACTAAAGGATCCAAGCTTGAAGAAGAAAAAAACAGAAACAGAAAACCCCCATAATGAAGCAACACCAGCCTAATTGATTCACCAACATAAAAGCTTGAAGAAATCCACGAGAACCCAATATTACTTACCGAAAGGTGCCTGAGGCGAAAACAGACGGTAACATAAGCCTCTAAGAAGAAGCACAACACAAACTGCGATTCAACACATGAATCCAGTCTTCACAGCCCAGCGAGACAGATCTAGTCTCCCGGCGCCTACGGAACTCCACAGAAGACACAAACTTGAACGGCGGTTTGAGCAAAGGAGGCGGAGAAAAACAGATCTAGAAAAACAGATCTAGGAGAAGAGGCGAAAAAGTGGAGAAAGTAGAGAAGCTACACCGTAAATCATATAGATCCGGAACCACCCGCCTAGCATCTCCTAGATCCGACCAGATCTGAAGAGGTAAACTGCAACTGCAACAGATCTTCTCTAGCCAAGAAACCCCAAGATAAAAAAGACAAACGAGAAACAAAGCCTAAAGCAGAGACAAAGAGAGAACCAGACTCCAGCGCTGAAAGAGCCGCCAGAGCCGGTTAGGAAAGAAAAACCAGCAGCGGCTGCAAAGTTAGAGAGAAGGAGGAGGAAATTAGGTTTAGAGAGAGGTCATGACTCGCAACGCTTCTTGTTCTTTTCTTTTTGACTTTTCGGCCATTTTTGGTAAATTTAATGTATTAAGAGAAGCTTAAAAACCAGTAAATTTTTTTATTCAGCTTGTGATAGTAAAGTGAAACATCCAATGTATTAAGAGAAGAAAATAAAATAAAAACTCTCATCATCCATAACTTCTTACACTACAATGAACTTTACTTTTACTACAAATCTTGTCATCAAACAAGATGAACAAGGTCGTATAGAAGTAAAAAAAGAAAAGATCATAACCACAAAATAAAAGAAGAAAAAAGCTTTACCATGTCTTCATTATATAAAACTCCTCCGGGAAAGCTTACTCTCCTTACTCTGATACCATAAGTGATGTGAGAGAACTAGACTACGCCTACCAACACAAGCACATTTCGACGACATATACATCACAGAGCTGCAGAAGAAGATCCATCACGTACACCATTGAAAGGGCAATTCAACTTTGCATCCACCGGCCTATGTTCCCTGTGCTTATGAAGCTCGCTTCCCTCCTTGATCCTCACATGGTTGTTCCTTGTTCTCCAACCGAATCATTCTCAGATGCATCTTCAAGCTTCTCAACTGCCATTTCATTTTCCTTACTCTGATCCATACCAACCACAACGCGATTAGCTTCTTCACCTGAAACTTCCCTAAAATCTTTCCCAGCTTGTTCCTTACCTTCATGTTGTTTCTCTTTAGCTTCATCCACATTGCTCTTGTTGTTGTCCTTGTTATCATCAACTTCTTTCACCACAGTCTCATCCTTAGCCGCAACATCCTGCATACAAACATCTTCTGCAGTCACATGATTCTCCTTTGTGTCACCACTAGTACGTGCATCGGATCCACCTGTATCATCACCATCACTTTCAGACTCATTCTCCACAACCTCCTCGTTAGCATCTTCAGCAACCATATTCCTCCTCTCCAGATACTGTAACCTTCTCCTCAAATCACCCATCTCCCTCTCCATCAAGAACAGCCTCTCCTTCAAAGTCAAGTTCTCTTCCTCCAGCTGAGCAATATGGCTATCCTGATCGTCCACACGGTTCTCCAAAACATTGTTATACTCAGAGCCACCGTAGTTCGGATAAATCATCTCAAACCGGCTCAAATCATGGTCTAGTCTCCTCTCAACCTCCACATGCTCCTCCACATCACTCTCACTCGATGCTCCTTCGTCTTCATCATCCTCATCATAAGGTCCAAGCTCATTTCCTTCAGATCGAAGCCTAATCAGCCCTTTCATGGAGCCGTAACCATCAACACCCCATTCCTCCTTCGCCATATCACCCAACACCTCCCTCGACGGCGAGAACATCGGCGTAGGCAGCACCGCCGGTGTCACAGGGCACGGAGACACCAGCTCAGCGATTCCACCGGATTTCTTCGCTCGGATGATAAACGAAGTCGTGTTCCTCGGAGCGTAAGGAACGTATCGATTTCCATACTTCTTCTTCGGGTAAAACTTTCTGGTTTTCAACCTGTTCTGAGACTGCAGCTCGTTCAGAGTCGGCGGCTTGTACCCGCCGGCGCCGCCAACAGGACCGACCTGAATACCACCGGAGCCAGGTAGTTGCTGCTGAGGGTTGTACATCGGAATACCAGAGTTATGCATCCTCCTAATCGGCTCCATCATTTGCGGCGGCGGCCTCTTGTCGCTTGTAATCTTCTTCCCTTTCCAATTGTTCCGGCTCATTTTCGACCCATAGTTATTAGGCTGGTTCTGATACTCCGAGCTCAAGCTAGGATTCAGGTTAAAGTTCCGGGGATTCATCATCATAGCCTGGTTGTTCATCATGACCTGTGGCTGCTGGTTCATACCCATAATCGGATGGTTCAAGCCTTGAGACTGGCCTAACAGCGGAGCTTGGTTCATAATCCGAGTCTGAACCGCGTTCATTACCTGCGACGGCGGCGGCGGATTCATCCTCTGCGGCGGAGGAGGCTGGCCTATCATCTGAGGTGGTGGCGGATTCATCAACTTAGAATGATCGTTCATCTAACAATACACACTAACGGAAATGGAATCGGATTTATAATATTAAAAATACCAAAACCCTAATTTTGGCAAATTCAGGAATCTCAGCAAATCAGCAGATGGATCAATGAACCAGAGATCAATCTGAGTGCTTGAGAGTGGAATCCCCAAACATAAATCACAGATCAAAGAAGAAATAAAACACAGAGAGATCAAATCAAACAAAGGCAATAAGAGAAACCCTCTGATTTGAGATTTTCGTAATTTAAGATTTTTGTTTGTTCAGTTTAAGATTGAAATTTGGGAGTTGAGAATCTTGTAAATTGGATCTGGGAACTTTTTTGGTTTGGCAGCGACGAGAATTAGAAGAAAAAAAATTAAAAGGCGAAGATAACCTATTTGTAGTTTGTTTGAACGGCTTAAGATGATGAGATTCTTTAAATAGAGGCGAAGAAAAGCTGCTGGGTCAAATCAACGACGGAGATGCGATACGCTAAACCAACGGTCGAGATTTTCCTTTTTATTAAAAGTTAGAGTCGGTTACGGGTTTCTTTGATGTTATTACTGTAGTTGGAATTTAGAAATAAGGGTGTCAAACCCGGTTTACTCTTTCTGCAGCGAGATAAAAATATTTTAGCCTTCTTTTGAACTTTTCCACTTTCTTCTTCATTCTCTTCTCTTCTTATTCCTTAATTTATGTTATTTCTATGCCTGTCTGCTGATTGAATATTGCCTAAAAAATGTTCTGGTTGGTCAAATAATATAATTGGAAGGTCAGCTAAAATTCCAAAAGAATGTCTTCTCTGCCACCAATACCATCACCCACGCAAAAGAATCTGTCTAACGAGTGAACAGTGAGGATGTATAGTCAAATTAAACATACTTGACTTCTCATGGGAAAAAAAAAAATGCTTGACTTAAAAATTCTCAGTCTACTAAGAAAAACGCAAACTTGACTTCGTGCTCTCTGTTTTGACGAGGAGAATAACATGTTTTTAACTTTTTACATTAATGTAATAGACTAGAATTAATGTAATAGACTAGATCTTGAACCTGAGTCAAGTAGGCTTCCGTCTCTAGGAAATCAGACCTGACCATGGTGTCTGCTTCAGGGCAAGAAATGGTTATGGACCCTTCCTGATATTATACGACCCACATATTAGAATGTTGCTTCTTTTTCTCATCTTGAAAAGAAAAGAAAACAAGAGTCAGGAAGAAGAAAGGAAAACATACTTCCTCTTCCTGCGATCAATTCCAGCAGGACCCATATTCCTCGGTTCGTTCTTAGGAAGCATATTACTGTACTGCATTGGAGAAAGAGCTGGGGAGAGAGCAGCAGCTGCAGATGGCGCAAGTGGCAGAGGAGCTGAAGGTGCAGCTGGTGGTGGTGGTGGAGCTACAGGTTCTGGAAGAGGCCGAGGTAGAATGTGCTTCAGCCTGTTGTTTCTGTAGTTCTTCCAGTAGTAAAACTGTTGTCTATGTGCCAGTTCCTGAAAAAAATCCCGGATTCAAAAAGAAGGCAATAGATTATTACCTATCAAACATTCTGATAAGAACATAAGGTCTGTAATATTTAAACCACTTATCGAATTGGTTTACCTTGTTTGCAGGATGGGCCATAGCAGCTCTGAAGTTTGGGTTTTGAAGAAGTTCGAGGAAGTATAGGCAGTGTGGGTACCTTTAAAAGATCATATATAGAAGAACATGAGAAAACAGATTAAACAAGCAGCGCATTAAGGTTTTTTTCTTTTCAAACATAAAATTCCAACTCACATTATGAATTTGATGTACTCTGGTCGCTGCCAATATTGAAGATACTTCAAGTAGCCAATAAATGCTTCGTCTTCAAAATACCGATTCTGTGCCAGGTCTGCCAAACACATCCCAAAGGCTTAGCGCAATTTTTTTACAGAGAAAAGCATGTAAAGGAGAAGCTGGGAAGGACTTCATGTAATATACAAAAAAAACACAGAGGATCTCTTATCACTTTCTAACTGTTATGAGTTCCATATTTGTGTAGCTTTTAGAGTCACCATATTGGTATTAATATCCGATAAGTAGGTACATTCTAAGGTCAGCAAAACTGTTTATGAAGAAAAATCTCACTCTCGACTAAGGGAAAATGTGAATTTTGCTGCATATGCATAATGGAGATTCAGAGAAACCTAGAACACACCAAACCAGTCTCGTGGAAGGGCTCTAGGAACAAAGCTTTCTTATACCAAGCACATCTGATCAAATGTAAGTACAATAATAATTTCCACGGAAGAAACCCTCAATTCTCAAGTAAAAGGCTAAATTGAGGCCCTTAGCACTAGAATGAATCCTAAACTCTAGAAAGGGAAAAAACCACTAGAGAAACGTACGGTGGATGTAAGTAGGATTGGCGAGACACTGCACGAATTCAAGTTCCAATAAGAATCGTTGCCGTCCATCGTCGGGATCCTTGTAAGTGTTTTTTGGCCTGTATATGCGAATGAAATTTAGGGACAACCGATAAAGAAGAGCGAAATTACAACACTAAACATCACACTGAAGAATAAGAAACTTGCAAGGGAGGAAAATACACTCACGGGGACGGAATTTCTGATGTAGCATCCATCTCCTCTGGCGAAGCCATCGACGAACTGAGCCTGAATCAACCAATCGAACGAGTTTATGATTTAACTGCGGAAACGAGAGGTTCGGATATGGATTCTCAAATTCTCCATATACATACAATAGAGGAATTACAAAGGAACTCAGACCTTAGCTTCACACACCTTATAGACTGTAAAAGGGGAGGAGATTTGCGAATCGAATAGGCGAGGGTTAGCCAACGGCGACGGCTATGAGCTCAAGTCACCACCAGAAGAGAGCAGACGGAGACGGAGGATTATGGTTCTGATTTCGATTCTGATTTCTGAATAGAGTTTTGGACCTTTTGGTTTATACCTAAACCGGTTCAGAATAAAATTTCTGCCTTTCTGGTGACAAAGAATAAATAAAGGGACCCAAAATTAAATTACAAAATCACGTTTTGAATAGTCGTCTTTATAATGTGCACCCAAGACTTAAAACTCATGAATTTTGGCAGTGACTTGGATTTAGCAATGCATGTGTGCTCCACAATTTTCCATTATTTATTGGTCTCAAGTAAGTGTTGTTTATGAATTAATTTCCTTCTATCTCAATGATCATACAGAAACAATCTTGAATTTTGAAGGCATGGACCTCTATGCAAACGTTTCTTAGCGCAAAAGTGGTTTGTTGATCAGTGAAATACAAAATTTGGGACTAGAATCCAATACTCTTGTTCATGCTAACTATAGACAACAATGGTTACTTGTAGAAAAGACAAAAAAAAAATGAAAATTTCTTCAGGTTGTAAACTAGAGCCAAGACTGTAAAAAAAGTCCCAAGGGCATTTGGCTCCAACCTGTAACGTTGCAATACCCACAAAAAAAGTTATAACGCCCTTGTGACAACTTGCAAGATCCATGTGGTTTTGACTTTTGATGATGTAGGCTTCTTCTATCAGTTTGTCACCATATCTTGTGAATCCCAATTTCTAAATCTGATGAGATGGAGACGAGTAGCTGAAGAGAAGAGTGCCACTCAGCTTTGAACACTCTCTTCTTATGAGCTTTAATCGACAGAGAAGGGCTCGGTGCATTGTAGCGGATATCAAAGATGTGGATCACAGGATCTGCAGAGCCAGATGAGATGTGTAAACCGTCTGGAGACCAAGACTGGTTGATCAGAGCCGACTGCGACTCGCTGCTTTCTTGCTTCCATCCGAAAGAAAACAGTTCCGTCTGAGGCAATCTCACATCATACAACCTCAGCTGCCGATCTAGCTGCCTGCAAACACACAAAACACATGCAAATCGAGTAAGGCATTTTCTTTGAAGATTATATATATCATATGAATCAAGAGATTGCTTTCTTTCATTACCTTGTGTGAACCATGACAAGATTAACATCACGCGGGTTTGGGAGCAAGCTTGTGCATCTGTTGTCTAGTCTATGCCTAAACGTGAGTTTTTCTTCTCGGGCATCATATCCGACAAATCTCCTATCGTCTCCACACGACAAGACGAGATTGTTATGGCGCATTCCAGCTACTCCCATCACAGCTGATGAGTGAAAGTCCTTGTGGAGAAGCGTCGACTTCCACTCATCGTTCTTGCTTTGCTCCCGCCACAACACTACTGCATGGTCACACCCGCCTGTGATGAAACAAGGATCATCCCAAGGCGTGAACATGATTCTGTTGATAAGACCTTTGCTGTGAGGCCTGTCCTTCATAAACTTTGACTCGCAACTCTGCAGATGAACAAATTCTCACTCGTGAATATATGCAATCATGATTTTGAATATGGTTATAACGCTCAAGTGCCTAACAGCTTTTCATTTTTTTGGTTTTTACCTCTCGAGCTTCGTTCAGATATGCAGCTGATATCTGAGGGTGACCATCATCTGCAGTATACACGGAGAAAAGTGCACTCTTGTGTGGATGCCAAGCTATATCTTCTGCCCATTTCTTCTGATCTACTGTTATCCTATTAACCGTCTTAAACAGAGTAGCTGTGGACCTGCTCAGTGGTTGAAGCAATGCTTGATAGGTTAGTATCCAAAACATCATGAAAACTAGAGTCTAAAAAAGATTGGGATTCATGAGACTCAAAATTAGCGAACATTGTACAAACTCTATGGATTTGAAGTAGTATAATCCAATAACCCCTCCGATAATATTTCCACTTAAGTAACCATTACTCAACTAAACCTCAAGAAACCAGCAAGAAATATCATAATCAGTAAAATCAGTAAACCAGCCATATTAAAGGCAGACTTACCTATCAGAATGAAGCTTCCAAAAATGAACCACCCCATCCAATGCACTGAAGAATAACCAAAAAACAAAACAAAACAAGGTAAGCACAGGGGTAGAGAGTATAATAGATTAGCTAACTTTTTCCAATGTCTTTCTTGGCACCCTCTTATACATAAAGTGCCATTTTCTAAGTTAAGAATCCAGACAAAGCCCCAATCTACAGTCGTGAGACCAAATTTCATCCACGAGACTGGCAGTAAATACACTAGCTCTGTAGGTCATGTCTTTCATTAAGTTTTGGAAAAGAAACAGCAAAAAATAACGTTAAAAGCACCTTGTAGCAAATAGCTCGCGGTTTGAAGGAGAAAGAGCAAGACTTCTCATTCTTTTTGTGTGGCCACTTGGTATCATAGCAACAGTACGATTTTGAATTGTGGCACGCAAAGAGCTCCTACCTATAATCGCTATCAACTCATCATGTCCTTGGAATTCTGCAAAGAAACAAAAGATTCAGACACAATGGCAAGCTACAATGTGACAAATGTACCCTGAACTTGTGTGGCCTTTTACCAGTTTTTTCCTGTTGTGGTTGTCCAGAATTGTTAGGAGAAACTCTGATCCTCGGCTTTGCAAAATCCTTACTAGTGTAGTTATCTCGATCTTGAACCTGAGTCTCCCTAACCACTTCATTAGGAATAGTACGAGATCTCTTGGCATCAGGAGCACTTCTTACTTCTGTTGGAATGTTATAATCCCTTGTAGCCATTGGTTCAGCTCGGCTGGTCTCACTCACTTCTGGTCTAACAGAAGCAGGAGCTCTTCGCTTGAAAGAAGGCGGTAAAATAATGGATGGCAACTTCGAGGATCTCGTCTCACTGCGTGTGTGTGAAGTAGAGGTTTGAGATTCCATCTCGCTGCGTGTGTTGTGTGGAGTAGAGGTTTCAGATTCCATCTCACTACGTGGATGTGGAGTAGTAGAGGAGGTTCCATTCGCAGGTTTCGCCTTGGTCCAGAACTCTGATATACCAAGTAAACTTTCAGGAGCCTTTGGTTTTGTCTTGGAAGAGGTTGCATTTTCAGCTTTATCAACTTGTATAAATTTGGCCTCCGCATCTGCCAGCAGTTTTCTCTCTTCATCAAGCTGCAAATGTTGATGAATTTGTTAAGAACAAGATCAATATAGACCAAAAAATAGGACCCTTGCATGTGCGTTCTTAGGGAATAAAATCCTCAGCAATCAGATAACAAATAACGGGAAAAGGTTATAGCTATTGAGTTCCAATTAGTTGCCCTTCAAAATCTCGAGCTAAGAAAATGACATTTGTATAATATATACGACGAATCGAATGAAAAAGTCCCAGTAATTATGTCGAAATCGAACCCCAAATCAAAAGCAAGTAGCGGTGAGAAACAAGAAAAAAGAAGAGTAAATCGCCGAATTAGCCACACAAAGCAAAAGAAAAGAGGCGAAAGAAGAGACCTTTCTCTCGAAGCTTGAAATTTGGTCTTTAAGGCGTTGAATTGAATTCGCACGCTGGTCCATGTAATCCAATAGAGCTTCTTTATCATTTGGGATTTGGGTTGAGGACGAATTCGCTTCTGTATCTGCTTCCCCTTGTTCAGTTTTCGGCTCTTTCAACGCCGTCGTCGCCATTTCAGTCTCCGGTCTTCCTCCTCCCAATTTTTCCGCGCTCCGATTGTTCGAAGTTGTAGACTGATTTTTTTGGATTTTCCCTCTCGTCGTTTCAATTATTCACAACTTTAGCGCTTTTCCCACTTCACTTACTAGGGCTTATTAGGTAGTCGTGCTTTCTCAACGAAGTTGCCCAAAAGAATCTTTAATACGAATCTTTTTAGTCTCAAGTTTGGAGGAATTAATTAAAACAGTCAAACTTAATCCCTGAATATAGAGTTTATTCGAGTTTAGAAGTCTTTTAATTTGACTGGTGTTATCAACTAAAAATGAAAATGAAAACGAAAACAGAATATACGAAAATGATTCAGGATTGTTTTGTAGCTGCGATTGTTGCATACATACACTGAACATGAGACTGATCTCAACATACAACAGTATTAACTTCCAAGGAGTTAAATCGAAATGTGTACCAAAAAATGGCTTCAAAGGAACAAGTTGCTAGCTTCAGCATTCAGAAAATGTACATAGAAGCAATGGAAGTCAGAATTGAAGTCAAGAGTATGGAGACAAAGTTGACACCATTGTTGTCGAGAATGTCCACACCTGATATCTTCTTTACGGTCGGGCCCGGTTTCCCTACAACCTGCACACATAATCCGGTCAAATACTCTTCCCCCTTACAATTCCACATATTTATTTACATGTGTACTTTTAGACTTGCCTTGTTCCGGACAGAACAGAAGCCACTGAATTGAATGGTTGCTCCTAGCACAGAATCGATGAGGCTCCCACATAATCCAGCTAGTGAAGCGAGTGGAATCACCGATAGTTGCTTGAGTGCCACATCATTCGCACATCTTGCAGTAAAGAGTCCGAACACAAGAAAAGTTACTCCAACAGTGGCGCCGGCTGCAACAGCAGCTAAGAGTCCTGTCTTTGTAACTCCACCGTTCGTGCCCTTTTTCACCGGCTGAAAGTAAGAAACCAAACGTTTAGCCAAACAAGAAATATTTATTAGCAACTTGCAAAAAGGGTAAGGAAGAAGAACCTTCAGCGTTGTGATCAGTCGAGGCTGAGAATCACTTAGAACCCCAAGCTCCGAGGACCACGTGTCTCCATTACAGCAAGCGTAATGACCAATGATCCCACCGATAAGAGCTGTTACAGTTTCTGACTGCTTCGAGTCCAAGCACTTGTCTTGCCAACCCGTTAACGTACAAGCAATTACAACTAGAACCGATGCAATTCCACCATTGCACAGCACTTGTATCCTGAAACAAGATATTTCACGAATACCCTGTCAAAGCAATTTTTGTTGGTCAAAGAAAGTAAAATATCATCATTTGCTAAGTTAGTGCTGACCAAAAAGAAACAATCTCTTCATTGAAGTTATATCTATCAATATCAACATCAATTAATCAAGTAACCATATTTATCGATCTTATTTATTGAAAATTTACCAGTTTCTTTGTCCACCTTCCTTGAACTCAACATCAACGCGTCGTTTTTTATCTTCGCCAACTTTCGTAAGCTTCGAGGAAGTGAGAAAGAATACAAGCAACAGAGCTCCGTACCTTTCAGATTCAACAGATTGATCCGATCAAACCCGTCGGATAACAATAGTAAACACTTTCTCAATGAACAAACAATGCAATGTAACGACAGGAAAAAAATCAAAAGCGGGAAAAGAAACCTGAAACCGGCGGTGAAATGGATGGTCATAACGAGGAATCCAGCAACTCCGCCGGAGACGTCAAGCGACTTCCGCTTGTACGATCGGAATGCGATGAGAGAAGAAATGAATACGGCGATGATTAGCCTGAGCTGGGGCGACGTTTCCATTTTTCCGGTGGCGGAGACTCTGTTGATGAGGGAGGTTGAAAGATTCAGTTGGTTTGGTTCTCGGCGTCGGGAAAGAGTAAATGACCCCCACCACAACTCATCACTGACGTTTATATCAAAGTTTGGGCCTCTAATGGGCTTGCCCGATCGTCTATAAGCTTTTTTGGGTAAAACACTTTCCATATTAAACCCGACAATGTCATAAGTAAATATTTTTGTTTGTTGACCTTAATTACCAGTTTACCATAACAGTAACAAAATTGGAAACTCGTGGGCCAATTATTAGATTGGTAAAATGGACAGACGAGATAACGCGGGAGAACATATCTTCCTACGTGGCAGGAGGGAATCCAATCAGCGATTTCTGTTATGACGTGGCACCACTCAAATCACGATAACCGTATTTTTCTTTCCTCACTCTCTCTCTCTTTGAATTATCTGTTGCTGCACTCTCTCTCTCTAGAGTTAACAATGGCTACGGCTGGTTCTTCCCTTACAATAGCGTCGTCGTTCTCCGAACCCCGGACTCAGATCCGTACCTCGAAGCGCTCGAACCTCCCTCTTCAATTCTCCATCCCGTACAAGGCCGATTCACGGAGAAGGAGCAGAAGATTAGGACTCGTCGTCAGTTCCGTTTCAGCACCCAAAGTTGAGCTCCGTACTGGACCCGATGATCTCATTTCCTCCCTCCTCTCTAAGGTATGTATCTCCCACCGATTATCGACGATGTATTTACTTACCGGTAACATCCCGGCGTTCTCAGCCGCGGAATTTACAGAAACTATACGCCGATCTTATTCTGGTTTAATTTGGCGCATTTATTTGAAATTTCTCGGTATATAAAGTTAATCGCGCATAGCAAAATCCAGACGAGTTGATGATTATGGAGTGGTGTGGAACAGGTTGCGAATAGCGACGGAGGTGTGACACTGAGCCCGGAGCAACACAAGGAGGTGTCTCAAGTGGCTGGAGAGCTTCAAAAGTACTGTGTGAGCGAGCCTGTTAAGTGCCCTCTCATTTTCGGAGGTGAGAACTAAGAACCTAGCTGCGATTGCTTCTTTTTAAATCAAAATGTGAACTCCGGAAGTTTTCTGCTGCAGATTGGGATGTGGTGTACTGTTCTAGACCGACCTCTCCCGGTGGAGGCTACAGAAGCGTGATAGGCCGACTCTTCTTCAGAACGAAAGAGATGATCCAAGGCATTGATTCTCCTGATATCGTGAGGAACAAAGTTTCCTTCACTGCTTTTGGTTTTCTTGACGGAGATGTCTCCTTGACAGGTGAATTGCGAAACCCAAATACTGTAGGTGTTTTGGTCTAACCCAATATGATGATCATCTTTCGGCGTTTAATGTTCGACCTTGTGTGTGTGTTTGTGATCTTTGCAGGGAAGCTGAAAGTGTTGGACAGTGAGTGGGTTCAGGTGATATTCGACCCTCCGGAACTGAAGGTAGGATCTCTGGAGTTTAAATACGGGTTCGAAAGCGAAGTGAAGCTTCGTATCACGTACATTGATGAGAAACTTAGGTTGGGATTAGGCTCTAGAGGATCGTTGTTCGTCTTTAGGAGACGTCAATAACAATATATACTAAAGTGTCTCCTCTATCTCTCTCTCTCTCGTCCATTTGTTCTTCCCTCGTGCATCTATCAAATGCAATTCACTACAGAAGAGAAGAAACAATGTATGGGGAAACCTGTGAGTGTGTGTAATGGTCTAAAACCACAAAGCTACACGAATGGTATAAGATTAAGATGGAACTATTTTGTAATGTAAACTTCCTTCCAAGAGTGTCTCACTTCAGATGAGTCATTAAGAAAGATACAAATTAAGAACCTCTCATCAAAATCTGAGACACTCGAAAAACACCATCTACAGATTCAGAGTTGCCACCTGTGAGGAACAAAGCAAACATGAGTAATTGCCGAAGAATCCATAATGCTTTCAATACAGTTCTACTCTAATATATGCTTACGACGAAGTCTCGTTTATATTACCATAAGCCTGGACAATTTCATTACAATCTAACCACGTCCTCTTCCCCGCCTATGTCCTCGCCCTCCTCCTCTTCCTCTTCCTCCTCTGCCCCTTCCGCGGCCAAAGTTTTCTTCTGCTCTTCCGTAATCAAACATATTTAGTCTGATATCTGCAGCCCCGGTTCCCTGCACCTCCTGTCCCTGAATACCAAAGTACAATCACAACTCTCTATCATTGCAACCATAGTAAACTATTGAATGGTAGATAAAAGGTGTGCTAATTGAAATAATGGACTGGCTAATTAATTTGATGACCAATTGAGCACACAGAAGACGGATAGTAAAGTTTGTTGTGACTCACATAAGAGTCTTCCAGATCAAACTGATTCTGAAGCTGCCACGCAAGATCTTCATCGCGGGTAGTGTCGCTACGATGGTCAGATGTTGCAAGAACTCCTCCACCACCAGTATTCCTCTTTTCCCACTCGTCAAGTGTAAAGACTGTAGAGTCGTCTTCGTCTCTTCCCCTTCCTCTACCCCTACCCCTACCTCTACCTCTTCTTCCTTGGTATTGCCGTTCGTTTGAGCTCGAATTTTTCATCTTCTCAAGAAGTACCTGCGCAGCTGCTTGGTTCTGTAAAGGAACAGCTTCCACCACTGCAACATGGGAGATGTTATGTTTACTAAGAGCACTAAAGTTACATGGCTTTACAGGGATGAACGAAAGATATATCATCATAGGTTTCAATGCAATTTTTAGATGAAAATGCCAAACTAACTTAACGCGTCAAAACGTTTCTGCTATACAATGAGTTTTTGATCTAGAACGAGGAAAGAAAAAGTAGATGGCACACCTTGTTTCGGTCTTGTATCGGAACCGCTTGGCTTTTCCTGACTTTCAACTTTCACAGATAATTTTGGATCAGAATCTGCAGAATTCTTATCTTTCCCTTTGATGTTCCTATCAGCTTCACTACTTTCACCTTTTTCTCCACCGGCGTGTTTTACGGCGCTTTCTGCAGCAGTAGGTACAATATTCCTAGAAGTCGTCATGTAGGAATCTGTCAACGATCAAACATATGCAGACGAATCAAATTTTCTGATGCATTCTCCAAACTTCTATCACAACACTTGATGTAAGCCAATATAAATGAAGAGCAATTCAAATATACCATCATTTTACCACACCATGAAAATGCAGTCACTCAAGTTTATATATTTAAACAATGGAGACCAAACTGCGATAAAGTTGGATACCAAGCCAAGGAAAAACATAGATAGGATATCTACATGAGTCATCATAACCTAAATTACCAATATGGCTATGCATTTGCTAAAGTGCATTTAGGTGGAATTATGACAATGCATAGGCATGATATCATTTAAAATTTTAAACACACTATCAACATGAAAAGCCAAAACTGGTCGATAGTTCTATTTGTTAACAAAGATTGGCCAACCATTACAAAGCGAAACAAACATGCAACTATTTACTAAAAGAAAAGTGAATGACAACGAGCAAAATTAGAAAACCTTGCTTACCACGGTGATGGGAACCTGTTCGAATCTGCAACTCCTCAAAAGGAGGAGGGCCATCGCCAGCTTTGCTTTCCTGAGATGAACGAGCCAAACTAGAGTACTTTTTCTTCATCTGCCATTCTTCTGTGAGTGATTGCACATAACCGCCCAATACAGTCACCTCTTTTGGAGTCAAACAAACTAGACCGTCACGTATCACAGCCTTATTTTCTAGACGGACCTGCCAACACGACAGTACAATATATCAACAATACAACGGTGTTCGGATTTCCATAAGACACCCTCCTGATGCATGATAAACACAAATGCAATACCTTAGTACCAGGAGTCACATCATTGTTAATTGATGGTATGTGAGAGTACTCAAGCGCTGATATCTCTGTCTTCCCATCGGTCAGAGAGAATTTTAGCACTCGTTTACCACTCGAACTTCCCAGAAATTCCTCTGCATTACTTTTTGTAACATCCCTCACAGAGCTTATCTATGCTCACAAAAGAAAAGCATTGAAAAACAAAATTAACACATTACAGAGAAACTGTAAGCTCCAAAACTAAAAACTAGGAATATCCAAGAGCATGAATCAACTGCAAGAAAACTAAGCATTCTTAAAATCTCACTATATTGGCTTATTATGATTCTCTTTCTGTGAGAGTCAGCTTATTGAATCAGCCAAAAGCAAAAATTTAAGGATCATAATAAGAATGTCAAATAAAGTCTACGCATCTGGTTCAATGTCATTGACTCTTTAGCTGTTCATTTGCAGTGAATGAAAAGAAGAAAACTACCTGGAGAACTTTGGGGCCTTGAAGATGAGAAAACCTGCGCAGCTCGGTTGCGTCGGGGAGGGACTTACCTCCGATTAACCTAATATCCATGTTAAGCAGCTCCGCCTCCACTGACTCCACGACCGCGCCTGTTTTATTACCGCCGCCGATCAAGGAGGAGATTTCAGTGACCAGAGTCTTCAAGTAATCGACGTCTCTGAAGCACCAGCCTCGGCTAGTAAGAGCATTAATCACGACGGTGTAGTTGTGGCCGCCGGCCGACGAGCTGGATGTTCCCTCCATTGTCTCGACTCGATCCGCCTGAGAAGTTGCCAGAATTTTGATTCGACCAAAAATGCTACAGAAAAAAAAAAAAAAACATTAATTTCCATTTTTGTTAAGTGGGCCTAAATAGGCCCAACCAAAATTCCCAGATTTAGACAGTATGATTGACTGACTATGGTACCTGACTTGTTTGTGGAATCCCAAAGTCGATAAAGAGTCATGACGATGGACGACGGGAACTCCGTCTACGTCGGCGGCCTCCCTTACGACGTCACTGAGGAGGATCTCCGCCGCATATTCTCCATTTACGGCTCCGTTCTCACTATTAAGGTCAATTTCCCTTTTCCTTGTTGCTCCAAGTTCCTAATTTGGCAATTTTGTTCCGGATAGTTCATAATTTGTTTGAGCTGGTCACTGATATTAATCTTATTGGATGATAGTTATCTACTTACTTGAGCTGGTCATTGATTTTTTTGGCAGATTGTGAATGACAAGAGTGTAAGAGGAAAGTGCTATGGCTTTGTTACATTTTCAAATCGTCGATCGGCTGATGATGCAATCGAAGACATGGATGGAAAAGTAAGAGAAAATTAAGCCTTTTTAAATTTGTGTTTTTTCTTACTATTTATGTTCTTGACGGTGTTGAGCTCGTAAATCAGAGTGTTGGTGGGCGTGTGGTGCGTGTGAATGAGGTGACAACAAGAGGTGGGAGATCGAATCCAACTCGGGAGCGGTTTCAACCACACGGTGGCGGCGGCGGCAGCTGGGAGAGAAGCCCTGAGCGGAGGAGGGAATGCAGTTATGAGAGGGATCGGTATGGTGAGAGGTCCAGAGAACGGGATAGGTCTCAGGACAGGAGGAAAGATCACTATGTAGAGAAGGAAAGAGCGTTCGAGCGTTCGAATGATTTCGAGAGGAGAAATGATGGTGATATGGTGGATAGAAATGGTTTCAAGGAAAGAGTTTTCGAAGGCGATGAAGGAGAATGGCGCGGGGATAGGTCTTACGGGGGTAATGGTGGAAGAATCAACGAGACCAGTGGTCACGAAGGAAGGAGCCAAGAGGGAAAGAGAGACGAGAGGTAAACTTTTTTTTGTTAGAAGTTATGTAGTTGTAGACTTCACATTGGCCGTTTAACTTTTAGATTGTTTTGGTTTTCTTGAGGTGTATGAATCCTTTTGTGGTTTTATTGAATTGACAGTAACATGATTGATGGTGGGCGTGGAAGAGATCACTTCTCTAATTCAAGTGGAGATCAACATTTTCAGGTAAATATAATGTTTGTTATAGCCAAGTATTGTTGTATAGTTTGTGTGAAAATTTGCGTTTTTTCTATATAGGTGAAAGAAGAATTAGAAGCGCTGATTAAGATGCGTGAGGCGCTTCAAGATGAGGTATGAGATTGTTTCTTTTACTTTCGGGAAACTTTGTCAGTGTTACTTTTGACATAGAAATATACAGAGCAATAATTTATTATGTACATAATCATGAGCGATGGGAAGAATTTATGGTCTAGTTTGAATTTGTGAAGGTACTGGTGATGGAAGACGGATTGGAAGAAAAAGAAGCAGTGTGCTCGGAGCTACAGAAAAAGTCCAAGGTATGTGTCTAATAAAACTTACGAAGCAAAACAAAAATAATTTACAATGGATATACAGTATTCACTCATTTGAAATGGTTAACACAGAGATTAGAAGATTCGTTGATCAATGAAAAGAAACTGACTTCACAACGCCGAAAAGAATTGGCAAAGGTAAACATAAGTTTGGGTTCTGTTTTTGTAGTTACTAGTTACTTTTGTTGACTAAGTTCGACATTTGTTCTATGTTTTCTGTGGTAGCTACATACATCGTTTTTAAGGGTTAGAGAGTGCACGGACAACCTAAAAGACTGTGAACAAGAACTCCAGGTTAGTTTCTAAATTTTCACATTCTAGTGATTGTGTCGTTGCATAAGGACTTAGGCCTAAGCCGAAAAAGTCTCTGGGTTTTTTTTTCGCAGGCGCTTGTTAATTCAGCAGCCACAGAAGGCGTTGCAGTTGCTGATGAAGGACTGGGAAACGGGTATGCATAGTACAGAAGCTCATTGGCATGTATTAAGTTTCTTAACTTTTTTTTCTCCTCATTTTAAACAAAATTGTTAAAAAAATCTTTTGAAAAGTGACATGTTGTTAATGTATTAGATGAAGTTGACAGATTTTTTTTCTCTCTTACTGTATATCGTTTTGCTTTATTCTTTACTATTCCTAAGTACTGTTAAATTGGCAATAAGAAGTTGTTTAAAAAAAGAAGTTAAATTGTTAAGGTTGATCATCCGACCATCATCTCCACCGTCCATTTAATCGTAAGCACAAATTTTTTTAGTGTGTGAAGATGTGGACACCCTTTGACCTATCGTTGCTTGTAAAGCCAAGTTAGCCAACCAACACTCAAATCATTGTAAACGACGATCTTATTAAACCAACCCCATTTAAGATACTCTATGCTTTTCTTCTCGTTTAAACTTCTATATTGTAATAGAAGAGCACATAAACAGTTCGTGTCTAATCCGTATCCATGTTGCCAAAAATGGTCATGAAATTTGTTTAGTCACAATCCAAACGCCACAAAACAAAAAAAAAAAAAAACAAAAAGTCAATGCATATCGAGAAGGCATAGCCGCATAGATGCAAATGATTCAGTAGCTCATGCGTGCGGCATGAGTCATGCCCATATCAACTTTACTATTTGTCACTATGTGGTTTCGATGTTTCTTTAAAGAGTCAAAAAACTTTAGCATATCAAAACCTCATTTCATCATGTAATTAACTTTGCTTTGACCTAACAAGTGAGCTTGAAAATGAGATTTGAAGTGATTTAGGGTGATTTGTATTAAAATGACAAATCCATTGTTGTTCAAACTTAATTCTAAAAAACCCTTTTAAAATCCAATGTTATTGAACTTGTGAATTTAAAATCCACTTTCAAATCCCACTGTTATTGGAAATGTTTTTAAAAGTGGGTTTTAAAAAATAGATTTGATTTTAGAGTGATTTGGTGAGATTTTCTTCTTAAAAATAAGATATTTCAAATCACATAGTTTTAGATGGGATTTTAGAATGATATAACTAAAATTACTTGAACTTCTAAGATTCACACAAAATCATCTAAGAAGTAAGAACCCTCTAAAAATCAAATCATACTAAATCATTCCAAATCCCTAATTCAATACACCCCTAAAATATTTTATATTCCCACCACAAATTTAAATCTTAAACAAAACACCTTAGATTTTATATTGGCCATTATCATAAGAAAATAAACCGGTCTTCTATATAAACCTACAACATAGAAGTTGATCCTTTTAATTCAAAACACCCAAAAAAAAACCATAAGAAATGGAGAAAAGCCAGAGATGTAACAAAGACACAAACACGAACATTGGCTTTTGCCTTCTTCCCTCTGAGCTCATACAAAACATATTATTCCACCTTTGTATACCTGAGATCATCCGAATGAAACTACTCAACAAGTACGTTTTAACCACAATCTCCGACCGGAGTTTCATCCGTCAACTCAACGATGGATCACAGAGAGACACGTGGATCTTCGTCTACACAAGGCGTTGGCGTCGCGACAACGGTGTCCTTCACGGATTCTCCGACCGTTCTGTTCGGTGGTTCAGGATTCCGGTTGCTGAAATTTTGACCGGAGAGACGTTTCCAGGCGAAGACTTGTATCTTTTAACAGCTAGCGGTAATTTCCTTCTATTTGCCTCCAATACGCATAGTGGAATCATAGCCGTTGATTTGGTGGACAAAAGCGTTAGAAGAATCAGCTCATGTCCGTTAGGTCCACGTGGAACTTCGTCTTGGAGGCGGTCCGGTATGAAGCTTGTGCCGGATCCATCAAATCCAGGACATTTCCGGTTTGTGTTCGCTGAGCTGGTAAATAACCGGCCGGTTCTATTTACTTATCATTCTGATACTACCACGTGGCATACTAAAGAAGCAGATAATACAAGTAACTGGGATTTTATGAAAAACAGTAACGTTTTCTTAAGCTTATCCAATCGACCTCACGAGAGTCTTGTGATGAGCGTGGACGATGGGTCAGTGATAAACCGGTCTCCGGCTATTTTAAGGCCGAGGATTAACCAAGACGCGATCAGAGAATGCCCGTCAAGCGTCGGATTCAGCAGGAACGATCTAGAGAGTCAGTTCTTGCACATACATGGAGATGAATATAAAGTGATTATTAGATTAGACACAATAGGGTTATCAAAAATGAAGAAAATGAAGAATTTGGAAGTTTGGGAGATTAGCTCAAATGGTGAGAAGTGGGAGTTAGTGTCAAGAGCTCCGAGTCATGTGATCAGCAACAAGCCTTGTGGTGTGATGATGGGATGCTTGGAGAGGAGACTAGGGGTGATCAGAGTGGCTCTAATGACTAATCATGAGGGTTTATGGAATATTATTTGGTTGGATTATGATAAGGAGAGGGATAAGTGGGAGTGGGTCCCAATGCCACATTGTAGATTCTTGCAAGGCTCAAATATGGCCGGGATTAGCTTCTCTTCTGGCCTCACTATTTCGTTGTAAAGTTTAATATATATAAATGTCGGTATCAATCACCCGACCATACGCTTTTTGTATATGATTGTTGGAATTAATAATGAATTTCACGAGCTGGGACAGTGTCATGCTTCTTGAGGATTCAAGTCAACCACGGATGCAAACTCTATGAAATAATTGAATCACGGGCTCAGAAAATGAATATAATGAAGAGAGAAAGAGAAAAAAACTGTGATATATCTGTTCAAAATTTCCAATTATATGTACTTGTTTCAGAGCAATGGGATGATCAAGCGGTAACGTTCCAAATATTTCCAAAAACCCACTGGTTCAATTTTTTTTAACCGTGACATGATAGATATTAAAAGTATCGCCTGTGATTATATTCAAATCGTGTAAACGTGATGCATCTTATCTTGCAATATATCATATTTCAAGTATCAACATTTTAAACGACTTTTCTTATATATCTTGTCAGAAAAAAATACTAGAAAAATACTATTAATATTCACATATTGATAGTGTGGGTTTGTGTAGGTTTTTATAGTACTTTTCCGGATGAATAAAGAATCATGATCTACATGTGGTGGTTGGTGTCATTCTGTAAATGTAATGGATACTAGAAAACAAAATATGTGAACCGGCGTTGTTATGCAGCATGCATCATCCACAAAAGATGGAGATCCAGTCAGATTGCGTCCAACTCACGACTTTAACTTTTCTTAACTCTTTAGTAAAGAGTCTTTATAAGAAGGGTACGTGGAGCTCAAGCACATTGCTCTTGCGTATAAAGATAATAATACGATAATAAGTCACTAATAAGTGCATAGACGTATGCCAAGTGCATAGGCGAGTGTTTAAATGGCGAGACAAATCAACGAAACAGTTTACCTTTTTTAACATAAAAATAAAAATAAACAAGATTTGAGACGCAAAAATCCATCTAAGTACGTGAAAGAAGCTGCCAAATTAAGAGATTGGACACTAGTTTGTAATAATCCGTGTAAAGTGGACATCTTGTGTTGATGGGACACACATGTCGTGGTCCGAACTAGTGTTTCTATGGAAGTTGCGTTGTTCATGTTTGTATATTAGTTTTGAAAGTACACTTGTATGGGGTTACAAATCATTTGTCCAAGTCTAACGGAGCTATTGGTTATGTTGTACTTAGTCGTGTGGTCTAAATTACGAAAATTCATGTACTTTTCATTAAAATTTTCAAAATTTCATGTCTTCAAAGGCTGAGAGCAATGTAAACTTCATAGTCCTGAATTCCAAAATCGATCAGTAGTACAACTATAGAATGCCGTGACACATTCATATTTACTGAATCATCAAACTACTATCAATACAAACCTGGTTCACATGTCTCGACAGTTATGTTTCAACTGTATAACTCTACACCTGAGATTCTAGTAACTGACAAAAATGCAAAACAGTTCAAAGCATGAGACTCCAACTACTTGATAGTCTGCACACAGAACAATCCAGTTCTTTGCCAATTAACTTGAAAACATTTGCATAAAAACAGAACAACACAACACCGAAGACCCTAAACCTCCATCGTAAAGCAGAGAAGAAGATAAACTGATTCTGTATAATTGGATAGGAGGATGAGAGCCAACAAGTTTACAAAATTGATACTATAAGAGGCCAGAAACCAGAAAAGTTACTAGAAACCTCATCAAATGTAAAAATAAGGCTAAGATATTCAATTCCGCAAATCAAATGCTAAACCTTGTAAACAATGTAACCTCTCTCATACATTAGAAGCTATCTTCCCCGGAATCAGCTCCATCAACTCCCCATCATCAACCTTCTCGCTGTTCGACACTGGCAATGGACCGTTGCTCGGTTTCTTAGCCACGGTCACAGACTGCTGATAACCAACACCTCCACAGATGGTCACAAGGAGACAAACCAATCCAAAAGGAGTGGCGTGCTTATCCCAAATCAGAACATTGATCACAACCGTCAAGAACTTGTTCACAACTCCAGTCACCGTGAAAGCAGTGGCGGAAATAGCTTGCCTCGCAGCGAACCCGAAGAAGCTGATGAGGAAACCAAACACACACGACAACGCCACTGCGAAAAACGCCACGGGCTCAAACACATCGCCACCGTTGGCGTTCACGGCGGTGAAAACCTCCGTGTGTTCTCCGGTGAGGAACCAGAAGATCGGAGCGATCATGAGAGACAGGAGGTTGTTGTAGAGAACGAATCCCCAGGTGTTCAATTCTAGACTAGAGACCATATGCTTAATGTAAACCATCTCGGTGGTGATGGTAACGAGGTACGCTAAGGCCCAGGAGTACGCGGTTAGAGTAAAAGCCGAGTCGTTGGCGACGTACCCAACAGCTCCGGCGAGAATGACCAGGAGCGAGAAGAAGGTGAGCCTGGAGGGACGCGGCTGGCCGCGGAAGACGGTGTCGGCGATGGCGACGAGGAGCGGGGTGAGAGATCGGAAGACGATGAAGGTGTCGACATTGGCGTGGCGGAGGAGGTTGGTGTTGGTGAAGATGGCGAGGTAGAAGACGACGGCGGCGGGGAGGAATTTCTTGGCGGTCTCCCAGGTAAAGGCGTCGTGGTGGAGGAAGCCTAATTTGCCGAGGAGCCAGACGCCGACGGCGGAGGTGAGGTACTGGAGGGCGGTGAGGAGGCCGGGGTAGTTGAACCAGGTGATGGCGAACTTGTTGATGACGGCGAGGAGGCTGGAGCAGAGGGCGTAGCCGAGGACGAGGCTGCTCGTGGCGTAGTACGGTTTGCTGGAATCGAATCGGGAGGAGGACATTGTTTTGGGTTGCAGAGAGGTTTTTCGAGATCGGAGGAGGAGGAGGAGAAGAGAGAATTGGATCTGAGATTCGTGGATCGAATCGGATCAGAGACTATTAGAGGAAGGCGACGACTTCATCAGTGTCGTACGCGATTGGCAAATCTTTTTCATTTTTAACTCTTTAATCATTGCTTTGAGTTAGAAGAAAGAAAGCGTTAATTTGGTCAAATGACCGTAATTGGAAGCAAATTAACAATGTGATTTTTTATATTAACATAGTAGAGATTTTTATTTGTTATTCTTTAATACAGAACATAGCTTTGTGATAATTATACACGATTTGTGGAAGACTTCAGTATCGTACAGGATTGGCGGCAATTGCCTGTAATCACACTAATCAGTGTTGTTAAGTTGGTCAAATGACCATCTACGGAAGCAAGTTAACAAAATTTCTTTTCTCCCAATAACATATGTTTAAATTCAGCTCTAGCATAATCCACTATACAGTACTAGATTTGGATTTGGTCCCAACAACTTGGTTTGCCATTGCCGGTAACCAAAACTCGGTTTAAGTTCGACATCAAATTTTTTTTAACCAAAATCGAATCAAATTTTGATGTTCCGAACGAAACTAAACCGAATTTCAATTTTGCTTTCATCCAACAAAAACTTCCTCAAATCGAAATACCGAAACTCTGAACCGAACGGAACCGAATGTAATGTTAATTTCTATTTTTTTTATAATCGTTTATCGTGTACTTGGGTGAAATAATTGTTTGCGTGAGAGGGTTTCAGATTCCGATCAAAGAAATCAATCTCTCCTCTTCTTCTCTCCTTCTAGTTCTTATCAGAATACTTGAGATCTCTCGATTCGATAATTCGCTGCAATCACTGAGGAAATGGCCGCCGTAGGAGTCGAGGTGAGGCGTCCCGAGACAGCGATGGAGGAAACCTGCAACGTCAAGGGGTCGGTGGCGAAACAAGGGGAGGGGCTTAAGCAGTATTACCTCCAGAACATCCATGAGCTCCAGCGACTGCTCCGCCAGAAGACTAACAACCTCAATCGCCTTGAAGCTCAGAGGAATGAGCTCAATTCTAGAGGTCTTTCATTTCTTCTTCAACCCTACAGGGCTTTGTTTGTTAAATTGGATGCTTTGATCATGTTGTTGGTTAAGTAATCTTCGATCTCGTGTTAGGGCTTTCGATTTCGTTCTCGTTGGAGATTGGTGCTTTAAAAAGATAAATTTTCGAAATTGTTGGTATAGAGGTTTTCCGATCTGGTAGTGGTTGGGTGGCGATGGGATCTTCTGTGTTGCTATTCTTATTTCCTGTTATCTCTTTGACACTATAATTATTTCTGAAATGAACAGTGAGAATGCTCAGAGAAGAGTTGCAGCTGCTTCAGGAACCGGGATCCTATGTGGGTGAAGTGGTAAAGGTGATGGGAAAAAACAAGGTCTTGGTTAAGGTATGATGAATCTTTATATCCTACTGTATTGACTTTGTATTGTGTTGTAATCTTATTTACATAACTATCACTAAGGCTTAATCTCCCATTTTTTTTCAGGTTCATCCAGAGGGAAAGTATGTTGTTGATATTGACAAAAGTATAGACATAACGAAGATCACACCATCGACAAGAGTTGCTCTTCGTAATGATAGCTATGTTCTCCACCTGGTCCTGCCAAGTAAAGTAGATCCGTTGGTTAACCTTATGAAAGTTGAGAAGGTTCCAGACTCCACATATGATATGATTGGTGGTCTTGACCAGCAAATTAAGGAAATAAAAGAGGTATGCATATCGAAACATGAAAACGATGCTAGATCCACTGATTTACTAGCTATCCCTTCTGGTGTTTCATGCTTTTAAATGTTTTTATAATATCTCTAATTGTTCTTCAGGTCATTGAGCTGCCAATCAAGCATCCTGAATTGTTTGAGTCCCTTGGAATTGCGCAGCCAAAGGTACGCATGCGTTTCAAAGCATGTTCTCTATATTGTGACTATCTTAAGTGGATTACAGATGATTTCATCTCGCTCTCTTTCTAGGGTGTGTTGTTATATGGTCCACCTGGAACCGGGAAGACACTTTTGGCTCGGGCTGTGGCACATCACACTGACTGTACGTTCATCAGAGTTTCTGGTTCCGAGCTGGTCCAGAAATACATTGGAGAAGGATCAAGAATGGTCAGAGAACTTTTTGTGATGGCAAGGTTTGTATATGCTAAACCCCTAGTATAAAATTCAAGCATGGTAAATGGTGGCGGGTATAAAATTGTGGAATTGTTGACGAAGTATCTGAAGGGGACATGTAGTGTTTTATAAGTTGAGAAAAGTATCCTTTATTGCTACTATGAATACGGTTTCCATAATGTAGAAAATATCAAGATGAATATCGTGTATATGATTAGGACGTTTATAAATATTATCTATCATGGTCCTTAGCATTTAAGCCACAGTACCAGGTGTTGTTCTATAAGTAGCAAAGTACACATATATGAGATGATTGTGTTGAAAAATACTTTTGCCAATCGGCTTACCTACCTAGTGGTGCTGATTTATGGTTTTTAGGGAGCATGCACCATCAATCATCTTCATGGACGAGATCGATAGTATTGGGTCTGCTCGTATGGAATCTGGAAGTGGAAATGGTGACAGTGAGGTGCAACGGACTATGCTTGAGCTTCTCAATCAACTTGACGGATTCGAAGCGTCAAACAAAATTAAGGTACGTTTTAAGTTGTGAAGGAAAAAATAAAATCACAGAGTATGTGGTATCGTAGTCTGAATTCGCATGCAGGCTCACTTATTCTCTTTGATGATTGTTGCAGGTTTTGATGGCGACCAATCGTATTGATATTCTGGACCAAGCTCTTCTCAGGCCTGGAAGGATTGACAGGAAAATTGAATTCCCTAATCCCAACGCAGATGTAATGCATGTGCTTCTCAAAAAATGATGTTAGAAGTAACTTGAACATGTTTGGCTAATGTATGTTTTCGAAAATGTGTTGCAGTCACGTTTTGATATCTTGAAGATCCACTCGAGGAAAATGAATTTGATGCGTGGAATTGATCTGAAAAAGATTGCAGAGAAGATGAATGGTGCTTCAGGTGCTGAGCTTAAGGTAAAGTATTTTCATTCCCCTGCTTCTCTCCCCCTCTCTCTCTCTTTCTGCAAGTTGGCTCTGTCTCTTATGATTTTGGTTATTACGGTCAGGCTGTGTGCACAGAGGCGGGTATGTTTGCGCTGCGGGAGAGGAGAGTACACGTGACGCAAGAAGACTTTGAGATGGCGGTGGCCAAGGTCATGAAGAAAGACACTGAGAAGAACATGTCTCTGCGTAAGCTCTGGAAGTAGGGAATCTCCTTGTTGCTTGTTGTGTGTACTCAAAGGCAGAGCCACTGATTCGTCTCAGACCTGAGAAATTAGGATTACTTTACTGTCTGTGGTTCTTTCTGAAACCTTTCGGTTTGTTCTTTAAGCATTTGAAAACAAAGTTTTTACTATCTAAACACTAGTTTATGATGGTCTTTAAGCACTACAACAAAAGTTTACATTTTGGATTTGCTGTTTCTCCGACTTGGGTACATATATATCCTGCATAGGGAAGTTTGTTGGGGAGATGTGGACATCTCAATTTGGGAGTGTACTCAGACGAACCAAAAGTTGCAGACTTGCAGTCGGTAAGTGGAACAGAATTGTAGCATAGTGCTCAGGAGACCATTGAGGCATGTTAACTTGGAAAGACAAATAAATGAACTTAAAACTCAAACACTACAAAGCGCTTACAGCTGCTTAGTTTCGTTCAGTAACAAAGAAGAAAATAGCAACACGTATGAAAAATTCACGCTTTATGATCGACTAAATTGAATTTTTTGGTCGTGATCTAAAATACTGTAATGCAATATTCTTTTTCATAGTTTTTCTCTGAGTTAAAATTGTAATTTCGCAGACAGAGAGTAAAATCAAGGCTTTTTCGGTTTTTCCAGAATAAAAAGAAAAAAGGAAAATTAAAAGAGAAAGATGTCTTGTTGGATAATCCAAGATTTTAATTTATATAGGGTTTATTGCTAAAGCTATCGTCTCTGTGATCCATCTTAAGCTAATACTACAGATCTCTTTCTTCGATTATCTGAGCAATCACCGAAAAAATGGCGACCGTAGAAGCGGCGACGAGGCCTCCTGAGGCAGCGATGGAGGAAACCTGCAACGTCAAAGGTTCGGTGGCGAAACAAGGGATGGGGCTTAAGCAGTACTACCTCCAGAGCATCCTTGAGCTCCAGCGACTGCTCCGCCAGAAGACTTTCAACCTCAATCGCCTCGAAGCTCAGAGGAATGAACTCAATGCTAGAGGTAACCCTAATTTCTTCCTGTTTCGATTGAACTTCCTACAAATTTCTCTGTTAAATTGGATTGTGTTCTTTAGGTTAGTAATCTCGGATTCCATGTTAGGGCTTTTGATTTCGTTCTTACTGGTGGTGGGTCGCTTTAAAATTTCAGAATTTTTGTGGTGATTTTAGTTACCCTAATCAGATTTCCTCTTCTGAGTTCTGAATGATCCTAAGGGTGTGTTAGTATGTAACTATGTATGTATCAGCTTCTGTCTTCTAGTTGTGATTTTAGTTACCCTAATCAGATTTCCTCTTCTGAGTTCTGAATGATTCAAAGGGTATGTTAGTATGTATCAGCTTCTTTCTTCTAGTTGATTGTTTAGCAAAGTATTTGACTATCAATTGCGAAAAGGAGCTGTTTCATGTGAATTTTGCTGTGTAAAAATTCACGACCGTTAGTATTGCTACACTGGTAGAACGACACAATGGCCTCCTTTTCATGAAATTCTAGTTCTTTGTACTTCCTTGATTGAGTGAACTCACGGAAGAAGTCCATATAAGGAGACAATTCCACTTATCCATGATTTTCGTTACACATTTAATGTTATAGAGCAGCCTCGGTTTACATGTTTGATACCTCTTTGACACTAGAATTCTTTCTAACTCAACAGTGAGAATGCTCAGAGAAGAGCTGCAGCTACTTCAAGAACCTGGGTCCTATGTGGGTGAAGTGGTTAAAGTGATGGGGAAAAACAAGGTCTTGGTTAAGGTATGAATCCGTATATCGTATTGTCTATGATTAACTTGGCTTTGGCCTTTGTATTGCTTTGTCTTCTGCATAGCTTTTAATTAAGGCTTAATCTCCGATTGTTTCAGGTTCATCCAGAGGGGAAGTATGTTGTTGATGTTGACAAAAGTATAGACATAACAAAGATCACACCAACAACAAGAGTAGCTCTCCGTAATGATAGCTATGTACTTCACCTGGTCCTGCCAAGTAAAGTAGATCCGTTGGTTAACCTTATGAAAGTTGAGAAGGTTCCAGACTCCACATATGACATGATTGGTGGTCTTGACCAGCAAATTAAGGAAATAAAGGAGGTATGCCTAGTGAAACAAATAAAAAGAAGCTAAATTCACTGGTTTATTCGCTATCCCCTCTGCTGTTTCATGCTTTTAAATGTTTATATCATATCTTTAATTGTTCTTCAGGTTATTGAGCTGCCAATCAAGCATCCTGAGTTGTTTGAGTCCCTCGGAATTGCGCAGCCAAAGGTACACAAACGTTTCAAATCGTTTTCTTTATGTTATGATTAGTGGATTAAAGATCATCTCCCTCTCTTTTTAGGGTGTGTTGTTATACGGTCCACCTGGAACTGGGAAGACACTTTTGGCTCGGGCTGTGGCGCATCACACCGACTGTACGTTCATCAGAGTGTCTGGTTCCGAGCTTGTCCAGAAATACATTGGAGAAGGCTCTAGAATGGTCAGAGAACTTTTTGTGATGGCAAGGTTTGTATATGCTAGTCCCTATTATAAAATTCAAACATGGTAGATGGTTGCGGGTAGGAAAAGATGGAATTGTGGAAAAGTTCATTATTTTTACTTGTCCACAGTATCTGAAGGGGACATGAATGTGGTGTTACATAATTTGAGGAAAGTGTTCGTTGTTGGTACTATGAATACTGTTCTATGGTGTAGAAAAAATCAAGGATGGGTATCTTTTGTTACTAATATTTTTTCAGTCAGCTTACCTTCTTAATGGCGCTTGGTTATGGTTTTCAGGGAGCATGCACCATCAATCATCTTCATGGACGAGATTGATAGTATCGGGTCTGCTCGTATGGAATCTGGAAGTGGAAACGGTGACAGTGAGGTGCAACGAACTATGCTTGAGCTTCTCAATCAACTTGATGGATTCGAAGCTTCAAACAAAATCAAGGTACGTCTTAAGTAGTAAAGGAAAAGAACCATGAAGCTGGAAAGGATGAGTCTTTAGTCTGAATTCGCAGACAAACTCATTTATTCTCTTTGATGATTGTTGCAGGTTTTGATGGCGACAAATCGTATTGATATTCTGGATCAAGCTCTTCTCAGGCCTGGAAGGATTGATAGGAAAATCGAATTCCCTAATCCTAATGCAGATGTAATGCTTGTGCTTCTTAGAAAGTGATGTTACAAGTAACTTGAACATGTTTTGCTAATGTATTTTTTTCTATAATTTGTTGCAGTCACGTTTTGACATCTTGAAGATTCACTCGAGGAGAATGAATTTGATGCGTGGGATTGATCTGAAGAAGATTGCAGAAAAGATGAATGGTGCTTCAGGTGCTGAGCTCAAGGTAAAGTATTTTCATTCCCATTCTTCTTTCTCTCTCTCTCTCTCTCTTTCTACAACTTGGCTCTCTCTTATGGCTTTGGTTATTACGGTCAGGCTGTGTGCACGGAGGCCGGTATGTTTGCGCTACGGGAGAGGAGAGTACACGTGACACAAGAAGACTTCGAGATGGCGGTGGCTAAGGTTATGAAGAAAGACACTGAGAAGAACATGTCTCTGCGTAAGCTCTGGAAGTAGGGAATCTTTTAGTTGTGTACTTGTGTGTGCTCAAAGGTTTCTTTATTGTATCTGGTTCTTTTCTGAAACCTTTTCGGGTTGTTCTTTGAGCATTTTAAAACGAAGTTTTTAATACCTAAACAAAGTTGTTCTTTAAAGCATCTGAAAAAACAAAGTTTATATTCAATTGGTCTTCAAGCATAACAGTTTCTACCTCTTTTGTCGCCATTGCCAATACAGAGATATTATGCAAGAGAGAAAAGCAAGTCTATGTATACGTTCACAATAAAGAATTGTTATTGTCCAGTTATATCATGTTGATTAAAATCCCAGTAAAAGGAGATATATGATAATATCCCACAAAGGATAGACAAAACAGTCGCCATTTCCTTAAATATGAGTTTCACAGTCAATCCTCCTTCATCATTTCCGGCAAAACCGGCTTCAGTCTCAACGTTACAAACAGTGGTCGGTCATATAAGGTTAATAATAATTGATTTTGAACGTACATTAAGGTTGTGAAAGTATTTTAACTATACATTTTTGAATTCTAAATAGGTGATTCAAAACTATCCGTTACGAACAAATAAATATTGGTGATATTCCAGATTTGTTGTAATAAATAACTATGATTTAAAAAAGGAGTGATGCGAGAAATAAAGGAAATTATTTAATTATTTTGTCAAAACCAGTGTATATTAATGAATTTAAATTTCGAATTTGGTAAGGGAAAATTAACATCTATAAAAAAAAGTAAATTAATGAGTCAGGGGAGACCCGCATAAATGAGTGCGCGTGGACCTAAAGCTAAAATAAAGATCCAACGGTGGAGAAAGCTGCGTAAAAATTGCAGTACCAAATAAAAAGATCTGACGGTCGTAAGTATAGCGTCAACACAAAGCTAAACCCTTCCAATTTTCTCTTTTAAAAACCCATCTCTCCTCTCAATCTCCCTCTCGCCGCTTATTAGCTTCTTACGACCGCATCGCCTGATTTTGCTCTCCTCTCTCGCGATTCCTTAAACATGGTAAATTTTCTCTTCGAATTTCCTGGATTTCTTCATCGATTTCGTTTCTTGATCTATGGTTTTCACGGTCTCAGATCCGTCGATGTCTTTGTTTCTATCTTCTCTTCTCTTTGGCTAAATTCAATTTTGATTATCTGTTTCAGGCTCTACCTAACCAGGAAACCGTCAATTACCCCAGCTTCAAGCTCGTCATTGTCGGCGATGGAGGCACAGGTACTTTTTCGCCGGATTTATTGATCGACCAATCGCTTTTCAATATCGCAATTGAAATTCCGATGATGCTGCCGTTGTTCCTTTGCTTAGAATAGTGCTCCTCCGTTAATATCAACACTTAGGTTATCGAGATTGAGATCCTACCTTTGCTTAGATTTTGCGAATCGATTGAAATACACTGTTGTTTAATCGATGATTGTATAGTTCAGTTTGCTGAGCTTCTCTCTCTCTTTTGTGATTTTGCAGGGAAAACAACTTTCGTCAAGAGACATCTTACTGGAGAGTTTGAGAAGAAGTACGAACGTAAGTGTATAGTAAAAGATTACTCGTGAATACACAAATTGTTCATGTCCTCAATAGATTTTCTGATGTTGAGCTCTAATTTCATGTGTTGCAGCCACCATTGGTGTTGAGGTTCATCCTCTAGATTTCTTCACGAACTGTGGCAAGATCCGTTTCTACTGCTGGGACACTGCTGGACAAGAGAAATTCGGTGGCCTTAGGGATGGATACTAGTAAGCACTCTCTCCTAAGATCACTTATGACTACGCTTTCTTTATGGATATACAGCTAAATCGTTTTGTGTTTGTGTTCTTGCAGCATCCATGGTCAATGTGCGATTATCATGTTTGACGTCACAGCAAGGCTCACGTACAAGAACGTTCCAACATGGCATCGTGATCTCTGCAGGGTGTGTGAGAACATTCCGATCGTTCTGTGCGGGAACAAGGTCGATGTGAAGAACAGGCAAGTGAAGGCGAAGCAGGTCACGTTCCACAGGAAGAAAAATCTCCAGTACTACGAGATCTCTGCCAAGAGCAACTACAACTTCGAGAAGCCCTTCTTGTACCTTGCCAGGAAGCTAGCCGGAGACCCAAACCTCCACTTTGTCGAGTCACCAGCTCTTGCTCCACCGGAGGTTCACATCGATATCGCCGAGCAGCAGAAGAATGAGGCTCAGCTTATTGAGGCTATGGCTCAGCCACTCCCAGATGATGATGATGAAGCATTCGAGTGAAAATCTCTCCGTCCAAGTGTCTCTCTGCCGTTGGAAGCTGTTGCTGTTTCTTTTTACTCGTCGGTTTCTTCTCTATGTTGCTTTCATGTTACATATAAATCAACCGGTCCTTTGTTTTCTGAACCCAATGAGAATTTGCAGCTAATGTTTTTTTCTGCCCAAGAACATGCGGTGATTCGATTTGTTGACGACTCTTGAAAGTTTTAATTCTATCCGATTTTCTAGATCTTTGCTTGTTGTTTGATCTCTCACGCTCCTAATCAATCAATAAACTAGTTTACCATTGGATACAAGATCTTATAACTTGAAGCATCATGTTCTTCACATTTACATGTACAAGCTGGGAATCAAAAGGATAAATAATCACACCCTGATTGAAAAAAGAGCAACTTTGTACAAACTACCCTCATTTTTTTTTTATTCTATGAAGCACAAAGTAAAGTTGACAATGATTATGCTCTGCTATCTGTAAGCTGTACTGTGATCATCGGAGATGAGGTGTTTTATCTGCATTAGATGTTCTTCATTCGAAATGTTCAACCTGAGACGGAGATCTGTGATCCAAGTTTCTTGCTCCCAGGTTATGATTGGTCCAGATGCGTGCAATCTCTCGATGCTGCTTCGGTATTCATCCAACTCTAACTTATGAACATCAGCAGCAGCATCTGAGACTTTTCTTGGAACCCTGAACTTCTTCATCTTGATCCTTCCGTAGCCGCAAGAAGACGACTCTGTGTCGCTAGAGTTACCGGTTTCGATGGGACTGAAAGAGACACTACTTACACCACCATCCATATCCATGCAACAGCTACCAACAGAAGACGCAACACTCTCTCTATCTTCTTCTTCTTCTTCTTCCTCTGCTCTAGTTTGATTGTTTGGTTCAACCAAAGTGTAGGTCCGTTTCTTTGGAGTTTTTGGCAAAAGAACATCAGACTCGTCAAGCTTGTCTTTGCTCTCAGATGAAACATAGTTACCTTTTGGATTCACCTTTCTCCTTAACTTTCCTGTTGAAGTCTGTGCGCTTAGCCTCGATGTACCCTTTAAGCCAATGGTATAATGTAAAGAATGTCAGATCAAAAAAAGGCTTTGAAAGAGATAATAATCAAAGAGGAAAGAAAACAAGTACCTGCCCAATCATGATCCACTCGTTGTCTTGCCAAGACAGTCTAACACGAATGTCGGATTTGTTAGCCTTGATCTTCAGTGAGGAACCAAGCAATCTAATCAAGAAACAGCCTTTCTCCAAAACCTTGGAAACGATTGCCATCTTCCACGAACAACCTTCCAAAACCTCAACAATGTCACCGCGAGCCCAAGGAGCTGTGACTTGTACAGTAGGAGGCTCAGGCCTCATAATCTTCTTCGGTACTCTCTGTGTAACATCATTGCTATCATCGTACATGACAGTGTAGTAATGTCCATTTCCTGATATTATCTCTCCAGACCTCCAAGCACCAGATGGGATTGATGATTTGCTCAACACTTCGACTTTAGTTCCCTTCTTAAACCTCATGATAATGATTCCTGCTTCAAAAAAATCATCTTTATCACAATCTAATTGCTTATATGATCACAGTTTAACATCACACAAGCTAAAAAAACTCGACTTTTTAATCTATAAGCATTCCTTGAGTTGAAATGAAACCACAGAACAAGAACAAGCAAACATCAAACCAATTCTCCAATGAAGCAGCCAGCAGAATCACAAAGTTTTCATATCAGAATAGATTCATGATCATGATGATGATGATGAGGATCCTGACAAGCGTAATTACATTCAAATGTCCAGAAATAAGTTGGACTAATAGATCCATTAGAATCTTACACATCCAGAGACTTCAACTTTCAATCGATTTTGACATAAAATTTTCAGATTCATTTGCTTCATCATCACTAGATTGCAAAAAGGATCCTCAATTGCAAACCAAAAACAAACAAAAAACAGTCCAGAAACATATAAATAGATTCAGATGTTACAAAATTGAAAATATGATAAGACTCAGTCTCTAAGATCAACCTTCATTGCTGAAAAATCGATTATGTGAAGAGAATCACTAATGAAAAACTTTGAATTTGCATCGACAAGCGGATATCAAGAGACTAACTCAGAAAATTCAAAAAAGGGGCATAACAGAAAAACAAAAATGGGGTTGTGATTATTACCTTAAAACGAAGTTTGGTCAGTAAATGTTCAGCACGCAAAGAAGGCCATGATTCTGCTGTGCCAGAAACAACAAAAGCTTCACTTTGATTTTCTGGGCAACCAAACAAGAGGATCAAAGGGGCAAAGAGAACAAATTGAAACTTATATGCTAATAATTAGAAAAGGAAAAAAAAAGAGAAATTTATATTACACATCAGCAAGCCAAAATTCTAAATCAATGATTCATAATCAGCTTAATTTTAAATGAAAAAAGGATTTTAAAATGAAGGGGAAAAAACACTGTTCAAGTGGCGAACCTGGAAATTTTATCTACAAACCGCATGAGAAATGAGGATTTCTTTCATCTTATTTGATAGTACTAGATCAAGGGCTTGACTTGTTTTTAGACAAAGGTATATGAAGTTTATAATTTAGATCTTTTATAATCTGTAAAACTGAAAAATAAAACACAAAATTAAATTGGATGTAGTCAAACGTAATATAAATAAAATTGAGAAGATCGACGAAACTACCAAAAAACAAATCTAATAGTTATTTATATATATTGATTTTTAAAAATATTTTACTATCATTTAGTTTTCTAATTAAACTTTATCACATGCTTATGTTTCAAGTTTTATTTAAATTAATTTATTTTATCTATTTAGCTAAAAAAACTATAATATTTCGACGAATTGATTACTGTTCTTTTTTGAATAAGATTTACTTGGTTAACAAAAAAATAGTTAATTTATAGCTATAGTTAACTTTCACTTTTTATGTAAAAAAGTTATATAGTTGTTGAAATATGAATGATTGACTGATACGTGACGCAATAAATTAAATGCATTCAATTTTGTAAAATACTTGAAGTGTATTTTAACAAATTTAAATTATTGATTGACACGTGATGATACGAATTAGTAAAAACATCAAATCATCATAGTAACTTACCAAAATATATATACTTAAAAACATTTTAGTACAATTTAGTAACTAGGATTTGATGTTTTTACTATAACACATGTGAAAGATTATGTAATTTCTAAATATTTTAAATCTTTTAAAATAATTCTTGTAACATATGTTATTTTGTGAAAAGTTTTGCTATATCAAAGCATTTTGTTTCCAACTAGACTAGGAGTCTATGATCCGTGTGCTGTACAAATATTAAAATAAAAATATTGATATAAATGTTTAGACTTTGAGTTGATATAGTATATATTCCTAACATAATGAGAGTCAATGGATAAATAAACAAGAAGGTCTAGTTGTATGTTTGAGCATGTTTCATTTGGCTCATAGTACATATGGAATTTTTACAGAGTTTTAATAATCAAGTAAGGGGATATATATCGTCGTGGTATACCAACGATAGGGGATTTGAAAAGTCTCAAAGTGTATGAATTATAAAACTCAGTGAAAAATGGCAAGGTTAAAAGTACAGAAATAGACTTGCAAGTTAAAACAGTTGGAACAGAACTTGCTGGAATAGAGTAAATTAAAGCATAAATGGTAAGATGATGTAGAAACGTGTGTGTCTCCGTGTTAACTGATTCACCACATAATAAAGAGGAATTATCTAAGGTTTTCTTTTGTTCTTAGATTTGAATTAGAGGCGTATGTTTCATCGAGTTAGTAGAGAATAATTGGTGGTGAAGCTAAGAGGTGTCTTAGTATCAAAGAAATACTAATTAGGCAAAATCTTGTTGTAAGAATGTGTAAATGCTTTCAAGCATCTGTTTTAAAGATTAAACGTATTCAGTATTCTGCTATTCATTAACAATTTGTCAATAGAGAAACGTTAAAGCGAATATACTAAGACGATGAATATCTGTATGTTATTGTTTGTTTGTTTGTTTGTTGGTGGGCACGAGCAAAGTGCGTGATCGGGTGTGCCAAAAGTTTCGACATAAATTACTTCTATATGTCATGACAGATGACTCATGAGCAGAGCAAAAAGTTAACGAGAAGGAAAAGGGTTATGGGGATGGTCAGGTCAGGTGGCTTAGATAATTCATAATTCCCACTCCACTTTTGCTTTATAAACAAAATTGAGATCGTAGGGTCCATAGTTTGGTTTCTGACGAACACAAAATTGTTTTAGTAACCAATGTCGTTGTCATGTGAGTATTTTTATCAACGGATAATGGCACCACCAACTGTTAATTGTTCCCAATATCCTATGAACATATTAATACAAACTCGAAATGCTCATAAACATGGAGTACATTTGAGATTTGTGTGTAAAATAAACCGAAAATGTTTGTTCACACGAGTAATCAAAAGGCATATAATCTATCAGGAACAAAAATACAAAAAAACACTATTTCTGTTTTTGGTTTTGGCTTCTCCGGACAGAATGAAGCAAGCAGCGGCTATCTTGCTGCTACTTCCACGGTTGAGACTTCGTCACTGTTACATCCTTCACTTCTGATCCACTCTAATACGGGAGCACAATCTTCTCGTCCTACGAAATGCCTTGATAAAACAGATTCACCACAATTCATAACCAAATGATCAAAGTGATACACTAACCAAAACCAATGCTTAATTGAGAGTATTTTGTTTTTATCTCTGTCTACCTATTTATTGGGCGGTAACGCTTTAGAACATCAACATCTCGACGGGATGATTTGTCTTTGCTCATCCTGACAGAATCTGGCACCACCAGCGTCTCTGCTTCGTTCTCATAAGCATCATATATGAATTCAAGTATTGTATCCTGCAAGGACCAAGAGTTATCTATCACCATGCTCTTGACAGTTGACATCAAACCAATAGTTAGTTACATAAGAGATATAATAGAAGAGAACATTATACCAGAGGTTTAGAAGCGTTAAGCCAGTGGTACTTAGGCTCACACCGGAACCATGTCATTTGCCTTTTCGCAAAGTTTCTGTGCATCAAAGCAAACAAAGTCTTCTAATTTTAGCTTAACCTTCAGAGCATTTATCAGAAGAATTTTTCACAAAACGATTGTTCATGCATAGGAATCACCTGGATGCTCGCTGAAAGTTGTTCAAAAAACCGTAAAATTCTCCAGGGGAACTTATACCTTCTTGTCGACGACACTTCAGTAGATATTCCATGGCCTGAAAAACCAGGAATCATATTTCCATTGATATGGTAAACTCATAAGAATAGCATTTCTCATTTCTCAACCAATTCGGTACATGTGGATGATGATATTACCTGTCTGTAACCAATGGCACGAGTTGCAGAGCTTGTGTTTGGAAGAAGACCAAGATCAAGAAGCCATCTAGCTTCTGACAAAACTCCATTGTCACCTAAAGTCGATAGACAATAAGCATCAATAGACAAAGAACTCATAGGGAAATGCCGGGCAAACATTTACAAAAATATGTATGATGCAGTTGTATCCTTGCAGGTTATTGCTAAAACTAACTAGTTGCACTTATTTACCTGAAAGCATATCTTCACATCTGAAATCAATAGATCTGTAGAGATCAATCCTCGGGCTTGACAAGAAGAAACAGAGGAAGTCATAGTCCAAATCTGTCTCTATGTTTTGGACAGAGATATCAGCAAACGGATCAGTCTCATCTATGTCATTGGCATCAGAAGAGTTCATATTTTCTCGAAAAGAATCATATGGAAGGCGAATGGAAGACGGTGGAGATCCTGTTGACTGCCACAAAACATGAAAAAACTAAGTTTCAAAATCTAAATATGGCCGAAAGCATTCATCACTCATTATCTATTAAGATTCAAGAATGATAAACAACAGCTGAAGCAGATCATTGACAAACCTTGAGTATCTCGAGGCTACGCCGTAGTCTATACCAATTATTACGAGGTAACAAAGAGGCTTTTTGATCACCAGCATTGACCACAAACTCAACAGCTTCATCCCAGTTCTCTTCGAATTGAAAACCACCTATCATATTTTCGACCTCAGAGATTACCTCTGGAGAAGGTTTTGGCACATCCGGCTTCCCATAGATAAACCTAACAACCACACATTAACAAGCAGATAGCAATGCTGGAATTCAGATTTCGCAAATGGCACTAGACAAGTATATATAATCTACTGCCATAGTCATACCATCGCAGGTACAAGCCAGTGCCACCTGTAACTATGGGAACACGCCCTCTGCTAAGAATATCTTTAGTAGCTTGCCTTCCATCGTCGAAAAAATCCCCCGCAGAGTAGTCTAATAAAGCATGAACAAAGTCAAGTTTCAGGATTTGCATTAATCAGTATCAGAAACCTATACACTACTGGTATTGTAACATCAACAGAGTGGAGACAGACCTTGAGATGGATGCAAAATGTCGATAAGATGATGTGGGACTTCCTGAATAAATTTGTAAAAAGATACGACTGTCAAACTCAAACGTATAGTATCAATTATTGGCACCAGCATCAGTTGTGAATGAATAATTCTTACCAAATATATCAGAAGGATACCTTTCTATCTTCTGCTGATGGCTTAGCTGATCCAACATCAAGGCCTTGGAACACCTGTGAGTCAAGTATAACAAAGCAAGAACCTTTTTTTAATATAACAACAACAAACATATATGCAAAAGTTCAAGAATTATCATTGGATTCAATCAATTAGAACATCAGATTACTAATCTGGTTTAAAAACAGTCTATTGGATTAAGTAAAGCCTTCATTTTTCTGTACAAGACCTTATTAATTGGCCTCAAAATGGTTCAAATGCAGAGTTGTAGGAGAGTGAGTAAAATTCAGATTGGGCAAAGAATGGAGTTGGAAATGGACCTGAACAGAGTCAGCACTGATGATTTCGCCATTGAGACGCTTAGCGAGCTCCATGGCAAGTCTGCTTTTCCCGGCGCCGGTGGGCCCAGAAATCACAATCACCTTCTCCTTGTCGGATTTCTTCTTCTTAGTCGGCGTGGTCTCGTTCAGAGAAACAGAGCAAGCTGTGGCTCCGCAGAATCTCCGGCGCAGTGCAAGGAGCGGTGTTTGCAGCCTCAAGCAACACGAACGAGCCACAAATACGCCACTGCTAATCACCATTTCGGGTTTTTCGAAGTGGAAAACGAAGCTTTAAAGTCCAGAAATCGGAAGATAGAAGAAGGAAGCTGAGGAAAAAGGTTGATTGAAGGAAGGATGACCCGCGCAAAAGCTAATCTTCTCGAAGAGAGACGAAGACAGCGAGCGAGGGATTACTCATTAGAGAAGTTCGGTTCGGTTAGGTTTACGAATAAACCGAAATCAAATTAAGAATCAAATTGGAAATGGTTAGTTATCGTGCCGGGAAAAAAACCGAAATTACAAATTGTTCTTTTGGGTTAATTAATACTCCATGTTCCCAAAATTGAAACAATTGCTTAAGGTTTTAGATTAGTCACTGGGACAATGATTAAGGATGTTACAAGTTTACAAGTCAAAAGCCTACGGTTTGATCTGGTTTCTGGTTAAAAAGTAAGCTTTTACCAAGAGACCAAAATCAACTATAACCGTGAGAGTTACATTACCAAATAAAGAAATCCAATTATAGGCAAATACAGTATTGTAATATCAAGTGATCACAAATTAATAAAGGTTATACTTCCTTAACGTTGCGTACGTTATTTATTTTTATTTTATTTTAATGTTAAAGTTGCGTACGTTATTTATTAGTGAACACTTGAAAATGCCCAAAGAAGAAAAGCGCAGAGAAAGAGAACAAGTGGGATTAGGTGAATAGCTCTCTCTCCATTAACAGACTTGTAAGTATTGCTGTGAAGGGGCAGTTCCTTCTTGGCGATGTCATAGACCACGTGGCTGTCGGGGTTTGAAGAATCCGGCGAGAGGTTGATCAGAAACTCTTCGGATGGCCGAGAGCCTATCTGTATCCTCTGCATCGTGTGGCCTTAATTTGGAGCTTGGAAACAAATATTATAGTAACGGTGTTTGATTATAAGGTTTGTAACAAGTTTGCAGTTTGATATCAGCACAAATTCAACGATATATATAAGTTTTCAAAAGTTAAAGCATATGCTAAGAGACATTTAATGTTGCATTATTCAAGCTCCTGAGGTTATGGCTTAAGTTATGATCGGTGAACTTTGCTTCTAAACTTATAAATTGTTAAAATAACTTTCAGTTGTTAGACTTAAGATTCGGTTAGTCTCTCAAGTTGAAGTATGAAAATGAAAGAAATCAAAATTCTGTACATGTTGTATCCTTTCGCATTGTTGGGATAATTCTACACTTTGGTACTCAATCTTTCCAGTATCCAAATTACTGTACAATGTCTATATAATAAGTGGTAGATGTATATCCTATATATATGATGATTTTTTCATTTCACTATAAAAGGATACATAAATGTTTTTTAAAATAAAAAAAAAAAAAAAAAAAAAACAGTGCTGCACTAGTTATAACTTATAATTGCATGGATACATTATAAATCAAGAATTCGAGCGTTGACAAATAAATATGGGTTGTAAAACTCTTTCAAAACTTTAAGCTTCGCATGTGTTTACTTGGAGCCTTAACATGAAGGTGCACATGTGAATTTTTTATCCTTCATATTTCTTGATTGTAATCAAAGCATAAACAAATCTCTAATCAGGAATATTTGTTACACCATAATACCAAACAAAGTTTGTTTCTACGATAATTCCAAAGTTTATCGATATCACATTTTCATTCACCACTTTTATTTCATATGAATATATAGACTATTATATCACAGTTACTATATATATTTGTATGGATGTAAGTACAAAAAGACATAAATCTTTATTGAAATGTGTCCAACATGCATAGTTATTGTGATTTGTATGAAATAATTTGTACCAAATTTGTCTAATATTGATGCTTTTCAAAGTAGTTTTTTCCAGTTCTCTAGCCTATTGGACATGTGATTTATGTACAAATCTTATTTGTATCCATCTTCGCATCTCCTCACAAGTAGCAGAGAAGTTTGATGGATATGTACAACCAAAGCAAGTAAATTCATTATCAAAGCCACCCAAACTCATTATGCCTCAACATGATCATTGTTTAAGTGAATATCAAATTTCAGTTGCATGCCAACACTTAACATTTATTTTGATTACTCTACAATTTAGCATGAAACTTATTATTTCTTTTTATTTCTTGATTGTAATAACAAATATATAGTTGGAATATCTGCTATACCATAATAATACCAAAAGTAGTTTTTGTTCCGATAATATCAAAGTTTAATCGATATGACATTTTCATTCACCACTTTCATTTCATCTGAATACTTCTAGCTAGTATCTGTCTTTTGTGTGTGGTCAAACTTAAAAATACGTATATTGTCTATGGAGTCGGAAATGCTGTTTTTATCTTTGTATATATGGATTGTATGGATATAGAAGTATCAGAATTCTTTATCGAAACATGTCCAATATCCGTCAGTTAATATGCCATTTTATTTGTTATAACTGTATAATTTGATCATTCTTGTATACCTTTCCAAATTTTAAATCTATGTTAAATATGTGTCATATATAATATAGTCCTTCAAATTCTGCAAATTTATCTACTATTAACGTCACTTTACTTAGAAATTAGATAACTTACAACTAAAATCAATACATGGAGCAACTTCTTTTGAATAATCATGCTCAGCTGAGTCTTGATCTGGCTTTTTGGTTTTCTTGTGGTTAAAGCTCTCTCTGATTAAAACGTAATTCGAAGAAGTCAAAATTCAAAGTAGTATGAGAATTTCTTTCTTTTTTCTTTTAATGAAAAAAATCGAAGCGTAGAGTCGATCAACCAATGGGGCGTGATATCGTATGGATGATATCCGTTGACCAAATGTGATGAACGAATGATCAGAGCCAAAAAGCAATAAGTTTTTTGTTTTTTTTTTGTTTTTTTTTAACTAACCACAACAAAATCGTTGACTAAAAGATAAGACAAACACACTCTTTTAACTCGAGCTGAGTTGTTCAATTCTACAGCAAAAATAAATTCTTCGTGCTACTAAGCCTACTATATTATTTCATATTCTCAAGGGGTAAAATTGATCGAAGAGGACATAGTTGTTAAAAAGTATAAATGAGCAACGTGAGTCAAAAGATCAAGGCAAGTATATATTTCCGACCGGCGAACTTAGTCTCCGTCCTCCGAAACAACCTAACTATTAATTTATTCCACTTCAGATTTAATTTTAAAGTGAACATACGTTAACATATGCAAGCATATAATTTTTAATTAATATATCAAATTTGACCAGGAAGATTTAAAATATACTCCAGTTATTAATTACAAAATCAATCTGCATGCCGACTGATTGATTCGCAGTGGTAATCCCATAATGGCAATTTTTCATAACGACCTTAATTTCGTTTCAGCACAAATCCAATCGATCAAACAATACAACCTGGCACAACTTGCAGATGCTCCTTTTCACATCATTAATAACCAACCTCCATTTTGTACAATATGCACGACTCTATCTCATTATATGAGCATGAATTCAACAACAACTATTTCTGCTTTGAATATTAATATATTACGGAAACTCGATAGCAAACAAATTTTTTATTATTCAACAGAAGAAAAAAAAACAATAAAATACAACTGCTAGTGTAATATTTCAAATTGTTTTTCCTTGTTCAACACAGCTCACAAGTCGCGATGTTCATCTGAAAAATGAAGTCAGAGAAGCTCTAAAACCTCTAATGGAGGACAGGAAAGCAAACATCATCGCTGCTGTAACTATCTTAGCCCTTCTCGCGGTGATAATCGCCGCCCGAGTTTGCCTGAAACTCTCCAGGACCTTCTTCCTCATCGCCGGCGTGGACATTTCGTTGATCCTCGCCGTGATCTGTTTCCTCATAATCCGCAGCCGTTACAACAGAGAGAGGAAGCTCTTGGTATCCAAGTACGTCTCCGAAGGCAGAGAGCTCCGAATCGAGTACAGTTTCCTCAGAAAAGTCGCCGGAGTCCCAACGAAATTCAAGCTCGAGGACCTCGAAGAAGCCACCGACGGATTCCGATCCCAGATCGGGAAAGGCGGGTCGGGATCTGTGTTCAAAGGAGTTTTGAAAGACGGAAGCCAAGTCGCTGTGAAGAGAATCGAAGGAGAAGAGAAAGGAGAGAGAGAATTCAGATCCGAAGTAGCCGCCATAGCTTCCGTGCAGCACAAAAACCTAGTTCGTCTTTTCGGCTACTCATGCCCCAATCGCCAGAGATTCCTCGTCTACGAGTACATCCCAAACTCGTCTCTCGATATCTGGATTTTCCCGGATAGAGGAAACAGGAGAAGATCCGGCGGCGGATGCTTGTCTTGGGACCAGAGGTACCAAGTCGCAATCGATGTAGCGAAAGCGCTTGCTTATCTTCACCATGATTGCCGATCGAAGATTCTGCATCTAGACGTGAAACCAGAGAACATTCTCCTCGACGAGAATTACAGAGCGGTAGTCACCGATTTCGGACTCTCGAAGCTTATCGCTAGAGACGAGAGCAGAGTCGTGACGGATATCCGCGGGACTTGCGGGTATTTAGCACCGGAGTGGCTTCTAGAACACGGGATCTCGGAGAAATCCGACGTTTACAGCTACGGAATCGTGTTGTTAGAGATGATCGGAGGACGGAGGAGTATCACAAGGGTAGCGGTTGAGGAAACGAAGACGAACACGACCACGAAGAAGAAGGAGAAGAAGAAGTTGGAGTATTTTCCGAGGATTGTGAATAAGAAGATGAGAGAAAGGAAAGTAATGGAGATTGTAGATCAACGGCTGATAGAAGACGAAGAGATAGATGAAGGGCAAGTGATGAAACTGGTGTGTGTGGCTTTGTGGTGTTTACAAGAGAAGGCTAAGAGTAGGCCTGATATGGCTATGGTGATTGAGATGATCGAAGGGAGAGTTCCGGTGAATGAGCCGCCGGATTCCGAAGTTGTCGTGGTCGATCTTTTGGCGGCTGATGATGATGCAGCTACAGGTGTTCGACGGGTTGTGAATATTCCGAGATTGCACATTCAGAGGGAGAGGAATTTTCGTTTACCGTCCATTTGCTCTAGCATCATATCTCCCATCTCTCCACGCTAGAATGTTTATGTTGTGTTACAATTCATCTTTTTAAATGCATCATGCATAATTTATAACAAGGATTGGACTAAGCATATGGTTTCTTACTTGAAAAAAAAATATATATATGAGAAACAATTCTTATCTTTTTGTTAAAAATCCACAATTTCACTTTGTCAAAATGATTGATTCTCTCCCTATACTCTCCCTTTTTTTGTTGTGTGGTTAATGTTTGTTTGAATAGTAACATCTTAGAGTCACGAAAACAACATAAAAGGCATTCTGGCTTATGGGCCTAACCGAATCTGGTTGTTCAAAGTAAACCGACTCTGATCGAAACAAAAGGTCTGGGGACTAAAGAAAAAGGAAATAATAACGAAGGACGAAAAAGGCAATATAAAGTCCAATCCTCCCCATTAAAGTTTATGGATTGCTGCTGCTGAGCTCGGATTCTTTTGGCTTCCTTAGACTTCTCCGTCGATTAACCTCGCCGAGCTACTGTCTCAGGTAAGATCGATCTCTGATTTAACCTATGCGCTTCACCAATTCATATAAGCAGCTGCTTTGTAATCTACAGTTATAGTTTTGGTTTGCAATTGCTTTTTAAAAGACAAAGCGATTTTCGTATCTGTGTTTTCGGGAATCCTTGGAATTTTTGTTGATCGAATCGGGTACTTTGTGTTTCAATTCGAGTGTATTCACCAGTGCAATGCCTGAACGGACTAGAGATTTTAACGTATCTTCTCTTTTTAGAGCTCTATTGTTGTTCTCGCAGCTCGTCTGTGAATTTCTGTAACGTTATCTGTCTTACGAGTAGAATATAGTTGGAAACAAGGGATTGTGTAATCTCACTTTGAAGTTTTCAAGGGTTATTTGTTTTCTGCTGTGTCCCATGGATTCATCATTCACGACTTCACGTTATATAAATATTCTAAAATATCTTCTGATGTTAAAGATTGATGTATTCGTTTCCCAGCAGGGTTTCACCAGGTGCTTGTTCTCAGCATTGATTGTCATCGAATATGAGTTTCTCCGGTGCTGCAGTTGGTTCAAATTTAAGAAGAGCGGTGGAGTTTGGGAAAACTCATGTGGTTAGGCCCAAAGGGAAACACCAAGCAACCATTGTCTGGCTACATGGCCTTGGCGACAATGGCTCAAGGTAATTCAGCTAATATAATAGTTGTTTATTGTGCATGGCTTCCATATTACGGTTTCCAACTTTAGATCCGAGGCTATGTGGAATGGTGGAAATTGTAAATAAGTTATAGACTGTTGACTATCAACAATGAATGTAACTTATGATAGTGTTATAGTGCCTTGTCTTTGTACCTTAGTTTTCTTCAAGAGATTTGGTATTTTTTTTGCGCAATGTCGTTTCACAATCAGCTGAGAAAGATAACTGATCTCGACTTTATAACACCCTTGCTTATTTTTAAGCTATGTCTTTTCTTCTAGAGAAGAAAAAACTTTGAGCTTTTGTATTTGATTGATACAAACTTAACTCGATACACTGTTAGTATGAAAAGTTGGCAGTCATGACCCTAACTCCTTTTTTTGTCCTGAATGCAGCTGGTCCCAGATTTTGGAGACCCTTCCCCTTCCAAATGTGAGTTTTATAAGCTTCAGTGATCTCAAGCAGTTGCCTTAATCCGGACGTAGTTACTTTACCTTTATCAATACTAACCCATCTCTCTATTCGTAATGTAGATCAAGTGGATATGCCCGACTGCTCCTTCTCAACCAATAAGTTTGTTTGGTGGTTTTCCCTCCACAGCTTGTAAGCATATTTGTTCCATAGCATTTATCTGTCATTGTGTTTAGTGGAAACTAGTACTAATGGAAATAGAAAAGCCGGTCAAAGAGAGTTGCAATCAAATTTAATCATGTTCTTGCAAATGAATGTGCCTTGGACCACTTAAATCACAAATTTGGTTTGAAATCCGCAAATTATGAACACGAGTTACTCTATAAGACTCTAAGAAAAGTAGTCAACCAAGTGGTTTGGAATAGATCATACTCTATCACCAGTCTCGTCCACGAATGTCAACTTTGAACAGTTAATTTTTTTGTGTGTGAAACATCTGATGAGTTGCTACTGTCATTTATGCAGGGTTTGATGTGGTGGACATCAACGAAGAGGGACCTGATGATATGGAAGGACTGGATGTGGCTGCTGCACATGTTGCAAATCTGTTGTCAAACGAGCCTGCTGACAGTAAGTTTACTTCCAAACTTGCATCTTCATTCCCCTCCACGTGGTCACTGAAATAGTATATTACACATTCCTTAACTTCTGAGGCCAAGATTGCGAGATTTCATTTCTAAAACTTTGTTATCTTTCGTTTCTCAAAGTTAAGTTAGGTGTTGGAGGGTTCAGCATGGGTGCGGGGACATCTCTATATTCTGCAACTTGTTTTGCTCTCGGTAAATATGGAAACGGCAATCCTTACCCTATCAATTTAAGCACAGTCATAGGCTTAAGCGGCTGGCTTCCTTGTGCAAAGTATGTTTTCCTCTTCTTCTAAGGTTCTCCTAAGTCTAATTGGAACATTTGAGTAACTTTGGTACGTTTATGATCCTCACAGGACATTGGCTGGCAAACTAGAAGACGAACAGGTGAAAAACCGAGCTGCATCGTTGCCCATTTTAGTTTGTCACGGAAAAGGTAATTAAGCAAATTATTACCCTTAATCATGCTTTTAGCTTTGAATCTTCATGTTCTCATGTTTGGTTCATGTAACTTGGGTTTTCAGGTGATGATGTGGTACCGTTCAAGTTTGGGGAGAAATCATCACAGGCCTTGACTTCGAATGGGTTTAAGAAGACGACCTTTAAAGCTTACACTGCACTTGGTCACTACACGATCCCACAGGAGATGAATGAGATGTGCGCGTGGTTGACATCTACTCTCGCCCTCGAAGGTTGAGAGCTTTTCAATGATTCTTGCTCTCTTATGAAAAACCTTAAACTCTCTTGAGAGTTTTATTGATTTCGATTGGATTTTTTCGGATTTTCACTTGAGATGTTACATTGGAGTGTTTATGTATGACATTAGACTTATTCGTCTACTAGTAAATCTTCTCGTTTGACCCCCAACGCGTAGTCTGAAAGATTATATTACTACCAATTCAATGAATCAATATTTGTACAAGCCAGATTACTACCAATTTAATGAAATAAAAGTAGCTTCCGACACTCGCGTCTAACCGAAAGGGACCGATTGCAAAATTTAATTAAACGTGGGTGTGACATAGCTTGACACGTGTGAGGACGAGACTCGTCTGAATCATCGTTTCTCATTTCTCACTCCACTTGGGCTCTCTAACATGAAGCGCGAAGAAATGGGGAGAAGAAAACAGAGATGCTTGCACGCTTCGTCTCCTCTTCTTCGTATCCAACTCTCTCTTTCCTCTCCAGATCCGTTACTCTAGGCTTAGCCAGAAGAACAACACTCTCAGCTCTCACAATGTCGATGAACCTAAGAACCCACGCGTACGCAGGCAATCCACTGAAATCCAGAACCCCGAAATCAACCGAGCCCTTCTCACCCGCTTCCGCCTTCGAATCTCTCAAATCCCTGATTCCGGTAATCCCTAATCACCCAACACCTTCCCCCGATTTCAAGGTCCTTCCCTTTAACAAGGGCCGGCCACTGGTGTTCTCCAGCGGTGGAGACGCTAATACGACGCCTGTTTGGCATCTGGGCTGGGTTAGCTTGGCTGATTCCAAGGATCTGTTGGCGAGTACTGGAGTCGATCTCAGCGAGAATTCGCTTGTGTATTTAGGAGCCAAGGTGGAGGAGGATTTGGTATACTGGGCCGTTGATTTGACGGAAGAAGACGGTGTGGATACTGAATTGGGAGGTAAGAAGTTGTGTTTCGTCGAGCTTAGGACGTTGATGGTAGCTGCTGATTGGGCGGATCAACGCGCCATGGATGAATTAGCTATCGCCGGTCATGTATGTGAGCTCTTTCATTTTAACCGAGGTTTTACGTTGTTTATATTCATTTTGGTGGAATGATGGCATTATTGGGCGTAAGGAAGTCAAGTAATGATATGCTTTAAGAAATTTGAGGTTAACGAACTCATCTATGGTAATGGAGTCGTATCCATGGCTGAGAAAAGTTCTTGAATGTGGATATTACTGGAAGCATTGCTGCATTTTAGAACTTAGTGGTGCTGATACAGTGATACCAAACTATATATTGTGACAGGCCAGGGCATTGCTTGAATGGCACAACGTATCACGATTTTGTGGAGCCTGTGGAGGTCAAACTTTTCCGAAGGAAGCAGGAAGGAGAAAACAATGCTCAAATGAGACATGCAAAAAGCGAGTTTATCCTCGTGTTGACCCGGTACTGTGTATATTGATGCTTCTTCCATCCTTTTTTCTTTCTTCTAAATTTCCCCAATAGTATGACATTAGGGAACTTCTGGCTGATTGTTCCCTCTGTCCATTCACAGGTTGTTATAATGTTAGTTATTGATCGGGAGAACGATCGCGCACTTCTAAGCAGACAGTCTAGATATGTACCGAGAATGTGGAGTTGTTTAGCTGGATTTATTGAGGTATGAAGACCTTACTGCTAAAGCCATCTCTATTTACTATTAATATTCTTTTTCCATCCCAACAACTCCCGTGAATCGGCCCTTGCACTTGATTTGATTCTCGCATGTGAATTTTGTATGTATGCTGCTTCTGGTAGCCAGGGGAAAGCTTAGAAGAGGCTGTGAGGAGAGAAACATGGGAAGAGACCGGCATTGAAGTAGGAGAAGTTGTCTATCACAGCTCTCAGCCTTGGCCTGGTAGTTCAATAGATTCTTGTTAGTTTACGGTTTCTGTTTTCCATTTCTTGTGTATTAGCTTTTGGTGTATGATCCATGTCATCCATGAGTGCTTTTAGTTGTCGAGCAGATATTTTTCTCGGCATTTTGATATAAATGCGTGTCTTCAATTGATGTTGAAAGCTTAAATCTGTTTTAAATTGGCAGTTGGACCAAGTAGCATGCCATGCCAATTGATGCTCGGTTTCTTTGCTTTCGCCAAGACGCTTGAGATAAACGTAGACAAAGAGGAGTTAGAAGGTAAATTAGCTTAAACTCTTTGGTAATGCCATACTTTCTTAACATGTCATCAGATTGAGCTTTTATCTTAACAACTAGGAACATGGTATTGACCACTTTGAACTAATTGTTGCGCAGATGCTCAATGGCACAGTAGAGAAGATGTGAAGAAAGCACTGGCGTTCGCAGAATACAGGAAGGCCCAAAGAACAGCTGCTTCGAAGATAGAGCAGATCTGTAAAGGTGTGGAGAGAAGCCAGAGTCTAACAACCGATTTCAACGTCGAAAGCGGTGAGCTCGCTCCTATGTTCATCCCGGGGCCATTCGCCATCGCTCACCACCTCATCTCATCATGGGTCGATCAAGGTCCTCCTGGCGATGCTCACTCAAAGCAACAAGCCAGTGTCTCTCTCTCAAGTTTGTAGCTACTTATTTCGAAATGCAGAGTCCTTAGTGTGCGAACTTGCTCCAAGTCATTTCTTGCAACAACAATTTATATCAGCCTCTTGCCTCAATAAAATCTAGTTATTCTTCAACACTCAGTATAATATAGTATTGTAAAACTATACATTTACATGAGATGATTTTCAATGTGTGGGGAGTTTATTGGTTGTGTAATCTTATGGTGATGGAAATCCAACGAAATCATGTGTTGTTATTCGCTTAGTGATTTTGTAAAATAATAGTTTCTGATTAGTTCATGCAATTCCACCGTTCTTACGTGCACAAGTCCGTAGGGTAGAATTGACTTTCTCTCCCCAAGTCTGTCGCTCGTCGTCGTCTCTCACTCGATTCTAAAACCCTCTCAGCTTTGGGAAGCTGATACCATTTCGCTCCCTTTGTCATTCTCATAGATCTAAACCACTATGGCTACCTCCTTCTTCCGCCGACTCGCTAAATCAGCTCCGATTACATTTCCCGTCGCATTCGGATCCCAAACCAAATCTGGTTTCGGCACTTCCCGATTCTCTGCCGGTGCAATCGCTGCACTTTCCGGCGGGTTCTCCTATTATTACCTCACTACTGGCAATAATGTGGTGAGATTTTATTTTGTTTTCATCTTTTGTCTTCGATCATTTTAGATTCCGTTTTATTTTCTGCCAAGCTGGTTTGATTCCTTCCTTTTGCATTTTGTTCACATTTTATCTGACGAGTTTAGACGAGCAGATCACGTAGATCTTTAAAATAGCGTATGAGGCCTCTTTTCTCAGCTAATACGGCTCGTGGTTATTGAAAATTTCTGAGAGTCGTTTGTGCTTTATGATCTCAGGTTTATCTAGATCAAGCTAAGGAAGAGACGGGACCAAAAACCGGTGAGCTGTTCAATACACTTACAGCTCTTTTCCTTAATCTTGCTGCGAGAGCTCTGAAACTTTTTTGCTACTAGCCTACATACTATAATCAGATTTTGATGTGTATCTTACTATGATCACTTATTTTTCCCTTTTTTTTTGGTATCTGTCGAAGGATAGAGGAGGAGGAGTTGCGTGTATCCCTCCTTTACTGAAAACTTATTTGTATTTTGCTGTCTGGTTTCAGCTCTAAACCCTGATAAATGGCTCGAGTTTAAGCTTCAAGACACTGCTACAGTTAGCCACAACACCAAGTTGTTCAGGTATTTGATTGACTTGCTAATATTTTCAGAAAAAATACACATTGGCTTTGGACTAGTGATTCAGTTTGCTTAACCCTCTAAGCTTATAAACATCTTGTTATCCGCAATACTCCTGTACTCAAGTACATTTCTTGAATCATAAATATACAAAGGTCATGGCGATAAACTTTGGTTTTCTTATTTTGGCTTTTCCTTGAAATCTAGGTTCTCATTTGACCCCTCAGTCAATTTGGGTCTACATGTTGCTTCTTGTCTCCTTACAAGGTATGCTGTGGTCACACTTGTTCCACTTTACAGTAAAGAAATTTATTTCATACAACTTGGGAAATTTTCTCAACTAGAGTGGTAAAATCTTACCTGTTCCTTTTATTTTTTAACAGGGCTCCTTTGGGCTATAATGCTGAAGGGAAAACGAAATATGTCATCAGACCGTAAGTTCAGCTAAAAATTACTTACCAGCTTTGCATTGTATTTCCTGTCCGGACAGACAAACATTGCTTTGATTATATTAGGGAACCGGATAGCCTAACTTTCATGGCCAATTTTTACAACTTTCAGTTTCAATCCAGTAGTCTTGTTACCCTCTGTTTCGATTGATATTCCTTTCGTTTTTGGTTTATGCATTGTCTGAAACTTAAAGGTGAAGGTTGTATGCAGCCATTATCCACCTTCTAAAATTCCACTCTTTGGATTACTCGAAATTTATCTTGCAAACTACATCTTCCAGATCTTCAGTTTTCTTGCTTTCGACTATAGAGCTCTTTAATACTTGTACTTATGTACCTGAGGCTTCTATTAATCTTATTTATCTTATAATACTGTTTTAATTTCAGTTACACTCCTATATCAGACCCAGAGGCTAAGGGCTATTTTGATTTACTGATTAAGGTATGAGTCTCCTGTTAATATCCATGTGTATCTCTCCGCTTTTGCTTCTCTAGCAAAGAACTGGATGTGTTATGATTGCACTTGTTTACTCAATTTGTTATGAATTTGTTCTCATGTAATTCACTGCTTTTTGCAGGTATATCCAGATGGAAAAATGAGTCAGCATTTTGCCAGCTTAAAACCGGGGGATGTGTTGGAAGTAAAAGGGTATAGTTGCTTGACTGTTCCTCTTCGTTAACTACTGTTGGTGATAGTTCTTTATGGTATATGCTGTTTAACTAGTTCTACCTTTTGTCTATTGTAGACCCATCGAAAAGTTCAAATATTCGCCTAATATGAAGAAACATATTGGGATGGTATATCCTTGTTCCCTTTATTCAAATAAGTTTATTGAAGGTCTATTCTCACATACAATATGTTTTGTTTATATGGAAGTTGAACTTACTGGTTTTGTGTTGGCTATCCCTTTGCTTTTTTTAACTTGAAGATTGCTGGTGGTAGTGGGATTACTCCAATGCTTCAGGTTATCGATGCCATTTTGAAGAATCCTGAGGATAACACACAGGTGACCAGTTTATTGTTTTCGTATTTTTTCCCAGAAATGATCATTTATATCCAACATTGAGCATGTAATCAGTGCATATAAATTGCCGAACTGCTACACATTCTAGCTACTGGTTTATTTGCCAAGATCTTGAAAATTCATCTTCTTTAATTCATTTTCAAAATCAGCCGAGACTATTCAGAAAAAAGGATATCCTAACATGGAAATTTACGTTCTTTGTGTGCACAGATAACACTGCTTTACGCCAATGTTTCTCCAGATGATATACTTCTCAAACAGAAGCTCGATGTACTTCAGGCTAACCACCCAAATTTGAAGGTGACTATTAATTAGCATACACATTGGTTGTTTGAGCAACTGGTGACTATTTAGCATACACATTATTTTTAATGTTTGTGATGTGAAAATCGACAGGTATTCTATACTGTTGACAATCCTACTAAAAACTGGAAAGGAGGAGTAGGTTACATTTCAAAGGATATGGCTCTGAAAGGCTTACCTCTTCCTGCGGATGATACTCTTATCCTTGTAAGTTAGCTTACAATACATAGCTTGTTTTTTATAAGAAAGTGTTGCTACAATCTCTTTCCGTCACTTCTTCCCTCGTATGCTATTGAATATTCTTCTTCTTAATGACACCTGAAAGAAAATCAAGAAATAAGTCACTAGTTCAATTAGTCGGTTTTTTTTCTTCTGATTTTGGAGTATGCAGATGTTTTATCAGTTTCCAATTTACTGTGAATTCAGGTATGTGGTCCTGAGGGAATGATGGAGCATATATCCGGAGGCAAAGCTCCAGACTGGTCACAGGGAGAGGTTTGTACCAATCTGTCAGCATCTTATCTTGGCAATCTAATCACGTGAAACCTAAAAAGTAGTCAATATTTATACTTATGTGGGATGTCTCTGACGGCTATTAGTAAAAATGCAATGTTTGAAAACGTTGATGAGCTGAAAGAGGACTTTTAGGGAATGTGTTCAAAGAAAGGCTATATATTCTTTGTTATTAAGACACTGTTGATAAATTTGATGGCATAAGAAGTTGAAATAAGTGATGGAATCTGTTGGTTTGGATTCGCTTTGTAATTAATTGAAGAAAAGCAATCAATTAAGTAGCAAAGATGCAGAGCAGTTCATGTCTGATTACTCGTTGGTTTGTTTCACTGCAGGTCAAGGGGATACTCAAGGATCTCGGATACACAGAGCAAATGGTTTTCAAATTCTGAGAGGAGTTTGAGAATCAACTCAAGGAGGGTTTCATTTCATTTAATAAAGTAGCCCCAAAAGCAAACATTTATTGATGCAGAATGAACTTGACACACGAAACGTGCCAAAAGCTTTGAAACTAAACAAAGCAAAACAGATCAGTTTTAGTCATTTGTCTCAGCAGGTTGTAACGAAAGCTTTCCTGTACTTTGATTTTGATGATAAATTTCTATGCGATTGAGACTTGCAAGATATTGAATAATGGTACGAAGAATGAAAGTTGTGCAATTTGCATTCATGTCAATGTTGCTCTTCTTCATTTGAGACCGTTTAAAATCTCTTTCTTCGTCTTATACATAAGAAAGAAACGTATTTACTTGCAAGTTGGAGCAGATTAGGTGCGGTTGAAGCAAAGGATGTAACCATGTAACATCGTTGAACATATTTTTCATTTACTGGTTGGGATGTCTGAACAGCACTTTGAATGGACAGTGGACTGACGCTGGTCCCAAATTTTATTACAAGCGGTTACTTAGAGAAACAAAAGAGAATGTTAATGAAGGATCCAACAAGTAAAGCAACCATAGCTTGGGGACACAAAAACAACACGTTTCAAAGAAAATTCAGATGGATGGATTCAGTAATTTTCCAAAATCAAATGGATGGATCCGACTGTTCATCAGAAAGCAGCGTTGAAGAAACTTCTTCCACATTTTTGGTTTACTGAGACGGTTTCTCCTCTTCTTTCGTGGAGGATAAATACCTGCATCACACACGTTTAGGGGATATCAGAGTAAGCTTCAGAGACAAGGTAAAGTTAAACGATAGAAGCCAATTGCATAACTTGTGAATAGGATAAGAAATCTACTGGCTTATTTGTTATTAGTAGCAGTAGTAGCAATTTCCTTAACAATCTTAAACGCGAACTTGTATTCGAGTTTCAAAAGACTAGTGATTCGCTTGTTTCGAGTGCATATGTTTACGTATACAATCTACACCTGAATACATGGTTCTCTGAGAATGGAACTTACCCCTGGGCTCTTGCCCAACGCGAGAGCTGATAGAGCTGTACAGTCTCATTGGAAGCATGGCACGCAAGTAGTAGATAGTTGCGAGGTTGCACCATCCAGGCAAATCTCATGAACAATGCAGAGTAAATGCACATCGCTGTACCAAAACAAAAGGATAAATCAAAAGATGCCGTGAGAAACGTAAGCTGAAAAATGTTGCATACAATAAGATTGTCAGCTCTTTCCTTACCCGAAGACATGTTTCCAGAGATCATTTCCGGGGGCTTTTGCATATCCACCAAACCCTATTGTCAAATCAATTCAAAATGATAGTGAGTGAATGAATGTATGGATCAACCAAAAAATGATGGAATGAAAATCAAAAGAAATGGAAAGAGAAACAAACATACAGCAGCAACGAAACCCCAGTTAGCGATAGGACCCCAGAAATGGGTTGTTTTAGGGCCAACCGGGCTGTTCAAGAATGCTTGGAACCTTGATGTTGCCATTTCTACCCAAACCCCGCCTGCAACAATAAAAGTCGCGGTAAAAAGGATACAACTAATCAACGCCCAGAAATCAAGAAACTGTGAAAAGCTAAACAAGACTCGTGATTTCATTCAACAGTTTATATGGATGTCAACTTAAGACTCATGATAAGTAAGAGGTTCAATAAGATTCTTCTTCTTCAAAAACTCAGCACATAGAGATGCAACAAATCATATACAGGATTTGACTGGAGGGAGAATCAAATTTGGGATTTCTAAGTCTAAATCCAAAAAAATGACTCCATCAAAATTCAATTCGATTCCCAATCTTAAACTTTATGACTATTAGCTCGAGTAATTCAGGTAACAGAAAGCAAACAAGTAGGCTTAACGATTTCTTTGTTAGATGACTCCTAAGACGATCTACCTTGAAATCGACACGAACCTGAGTGATGCGAAAGTCGGATTGGTCTAAAAGAAAAATCGAAGAAGCTTGCTCCCAATACTGCGAACCAGATGGTGAGGGAAACTGAGAGAGAGAAGAATAAAAACAAACGAGTCAAAAGCCAAAAAAAATGGGTTGGGCTTCGTTGTTTTTTGGTCAACCGGAAATAAATTAATTTAAGCCAAACCGGAGCTAAGGAATCTCCAAACCAGCCTTAAAATTCAAAACCAATGGTATAAATGATTAAAACCAACTTTGAGAAGCAAAAAACTCGTCTGGTCGTAAATAATTTCATTAGTATGATCTACTCGTTTATAATTAGGAAAATGGTTATACAACAATTTCTTTTGTTGATTCGTGCAAAATGAAATTCAAATTGTTAATGACACAATGTCCAACTAAACTAATTTGACATGTATTTTTACTTTATTCTTCGAGAGATCCACTGCGACCGTTTTATTTCCTTGAGCATTATAGGACACACAAAGAAAGATTTTGGTTACAAAGCCCAAGAAAACAGACAGTAATAAGTTTCTCTTTCGTTTTCCTATTTTCGTAAATAATCTTAATTTACTAAAATTGTCAGTTTTAACTTTTTTTAACTACAAATGTGAAAACAATAAAAGGAAAATAAGTTTCCCAAAAAAATAAAAAAGAGAACAAGTCTTTGAAAAAAAAGGAAAAACAAAACATAGTAAAGAAAAACCGTTTTCCATAATTCTCTTGTTTTTCCATTTCTCTCTTCATTCGTTCCAAAATATTTGTCATCGGCTTGTAAATTTATTTTCACAATCCATCGAAAGAGAAACCAAAATCAAAGAGAGAAGAAGAGAAGCATGGCGTTGCAGAGATCTACAGCGTCGTTTAGGAGACAAGGATCTTCAGGACTCATCTGGAACGACAGATTTTTGAGCGGAGAGATTCGTAACGACGAGAGAAAAGAAGATCGCATTAACGATCATCGTGACGGATCAATGGCAGCGACGGCGCCACCAGTGAAACGGAGCGCATCGGACGGAGGATATGGCCACAGTGGACGTTTGTCTGAGATTTCTCCAACGTTTGATCCACCTTCCCCTAAAATCTCTGTTGGATGTGGCTTCTGTTCTTTGTTTTCGTCTGATCGGAGAAGAAGAAACAGAGTAAGGAGAAGATCAAGCGCTGGAAGTTCATAAAGGATGAGAGCAAGTAAAATAATTATGGTTTTATTACAACTATGTGGATGCATATATCTTTTGGTTGATTTTAGGATTTGGTTATGTTCTTCTCTTATGTGAAAATATCGAAATTCTGATGGACAAAGTAACTTTTTAACGTTTGCTTTTCGTTTATAATCATGAATTATGATGTTTGAAGAGAAGGCTGATAATAGATTTTGAATTTTTCAATGCTTCTGTGTTTGTGAAACATTCAGGCAACAAAAACGTCAATTACCAAGTTTGCAATAATTTTCATTTTTCACAGCCAGAAAAAAATTTCATCGATTTTAATCTTCATCAAAAGAACTTTTGTTTGGTTAAGCAAAAGAAATCTTAAATCAATGTATTGATAGTATATTTACGAGGTTTCCATGTTGCCACAAGGGTGCTAATTTCTCAAAGTAGGAGTTTTCTACAAATCTGTTTTGGATGGTATTTCTGAATGCGCACAGAGGTAAACTTACGTTTTGAAAATGTACCACAAATTACTAAATTTTAATGTTTTAGTACATATATGAATATTTCTAGCGTTTGTGGAAAAGATAACTCACGCCAAACAAAGCTTGCCTTCGTGGTAAAATTACGTTTTGAAAGTGTACCTCAAATTTTAATATTTTAGTACTAGTAGAATCAGAATGTAATCAAACAAAGCTTTTTTTTTTTTTTTTTTTTTTGAACAAAGCTTTTGAGTCATGTATAACACCAAGTCTCGTTCGTAATAGAGAACATTTTATACAACGAGGTCAAGGATAAAGACTTTGTCTATGCTACATCATGCTCTCCTCCTACATAGGATTTGTCCCCCAATTTATTAGTGTCCTAGCTCGTTATATTAAGCTCCACGCTTGCTCACTTAGCATTTCACTAATAATATAACTAACTCGTTATTTTTCAAAATCTTAATCACGTTGCTTACTTCAATCTTTGACGGGATAGATGTTCCGAGATTAAGTTTTTGTAGGGCCGCACGTACGCTCGTATAGTAACACTTAAAAAACGGAGGAATAGTGAATTTACAGTGAGCCTTTTCATTACGATTGGTATAAGTTACAGTCTAATAAGAGAATAAAAACAACAAAAATAATAAAAGGAAGAAGATATCAATGGGGAGAAGCAGGACGGACTTTGGTTCTGAAGAGGAGAACGTAGAGTTTGTCCATTGAGAAGTAAATAAAACAACCTGTGGAATGTGTCACGAACGACCCGAAACTTGACCCCACTATGCAATGCCATGCTGGTCCATACCCTTTGTCAAATTCCTGCATATTTATTCATATCTCACTTACATTATAACCTATTTATGTATACACATCCACTTTCTTTATGAAATCAGATGAACATTTTTTATTGCAAATCATATCTTTCTTACAAGAAAATGGATCTGCTCAAATCTGAACGTACATACTTTTGAACATCAAACTTCTTTTACTAATTGTCTATAAGAAACAAGTGCCAAACGAACTACTAATAGTCAAAGCCACAGTGATCCATGACGTGTAGTTTGAGAGAGAGACAAAAGAGGGATCCAAAAAATAAGTTAAAAAAAGGAGATAAGAGTGGAAGAGGACCACATGGCTCTGTTGGGTCATTCCCCTTTGATGCCCTTTTCAACATTAGCTGGACCATTTCCCATCACTCTGTTTTGTTTATCTAATTTCCAATATTCACTCTCCCCATCCATTTTTGAGATCCAAAATTTGTTTATTCACCCACTTTCATTATTGTTTTTTTGGTTTTAGTTTTGCATCCCATACATAGAAACACCGGCCGTTTGTTTGATATTGACATCTAATATCATGAAAAAGCATTTGGTTAAGACTTGAGAGAGGTGATGCGTCATTTTCCTCACATACTTTGTATTTATTTAGATGTTTTGGTTTTGGTTCGTATATGTGTGGCTTAAATGAAAAAAACAATAAAAGCTATATTAATCTCATGAATTTCTATGTCTATTCCAACTACTTAGTCGTCTACAAAAAGAATTCAAGACTCTTAATATTCCACGTTGAAAGGACAAACAAACATTAATTAGAGACGTTCCAAGACTGTAAAATGTTAAAATCGAGTTTAACAACCTAAAACATTGACCGAACGATCCAATCTGTAATCATAAATTCAGACGAAAACTTGTTCAAAGAGTTATCATCTACAGTGGTCAACATGAACAACAAAATACACGTAATTCGACCATTGAACGAGATTTCAGTCACTAAACCATTATGATTTCTTGGAAGTGTCAAGATTTTTATTATAGTTTCTTTTTTTGAAAAAAGCATTACAAGTTTTGGCATCGGAATTTTTTTCTTTACAATTTTTTTTTTGTCTTTTACTTCATGAAAATCCGCCTCTTTGTGATAACATATATTCTTGGATAAATAAATAAAATGATTAAGTAGTAGAAAGGGACAAAAATGAAAAAAGAAATGCGGGAAAGAAAAAAAGAGAAGAAAAGCGTTACCTTCTTGAGATTGAAAGCCATGTGCTTCGAACTGAACTTCTCCAAACTATCTAAAGTCGTTCTCGCACACCTAAACGCATGTGCCTGCATAAACCCCGGCATGTCCGCAGCTAATATCCTCACCGTTAACATCTCCGCCGCCGCCGCTATCCTAGCCGTCGTATCTCTCTCCACGTGAGACACCGATTTCCTTCCTTCCTCCGCCGCACCACCACCACCACCACCGCCTCCTTTCTTTCTTTCATTACCACTAGTGATCTTTAACTCGAAGATGTCTCTCGTCAGATGGTTTTGTGCTGTTTTATTCGGTTGGACGATTGGTTTTGCAACATCTTCTTGAGGTATTGATGGTGGGATCGGGATTTTGGTTGGTTTGGATTTAAGGTTTGTGAGTGACTGCTTTGAAGTGTTGGTGGAGAATTTGTAGAAGCTCATGAGACTTCTCTTCTTCGGCTTTTTGGTTGTCTCTTCATTAGCCATGTTCATTTTTTATTTTGTTTTTCTTGGAAATATTTGTGGAACTCTTTAATGGCTCATATGCGTTATTTATAAGGAAGAGTCAGAGGAGAGAAATGAGTCCTCTCTCTATTATTCACTCTTGCAATTGAAAAGGAACAAATATATAATTTTATACATCAAAATATAATACTATAGAAGATATTATTTTAAACTAAAATGGAGTGCATCCTATGCGTTCCATTTATAAAATTTTCATAAGATTTATTATTTTTCAAAAAATGGTCCGGAAAAGGATAATAAATTGAAATCATAGCTCAGTGTACAAAATGATAAACTAATCTAGCTTCACATGTTCATGATTTCCCTATCAGTATCTAAAATAGGTTCATAATTATGGCTTACGTATTATTCCCTCTGTTCCATATTATAAACTGTTTGACATAATGAATCTGCAATTTTCTTGATGTATCTGGATAGAAACATCCAAAAAAATTACAGATTCATTATCACAAAACATCTTATAATATGGGACAGAGGGAGTATAAGTTTTGAACAATGTTCGTTTTTCTTCATTGTTGTTTAGAACTCGCATCTCACTCAGTAAGATGAAAATCTCATGGTGGTGACACAATATCAATAGTAATGTTTCAAAATCACTGAGTAATACTCCTGTAGGATATCTCGGATTAAATAGCTCTCAGCCGTTTCAACACTGTGACAATAATAAGAGTGGAGATAAAATATAAAAAATGCGGATTAGAAAGTGAATAGGGTGATTAGGGGAATCAAACCATGTGGGTTGTTCTAAGTCAAGTGAAACTAACCACTTATTTCTTGTCAATCTGTGTTATCAACATAAATTGGATTTTGGAATACATATATACAAAGATGGATATGTTTGTTTTTTGTATTATAACTTGTTGTTCTGTTGACAAAAAGCACTTATTGTTCTCAAATACTGTGTGTTTCCGGGTCCCCAAATCTGATATTTTATGCTCGTTAACCGTATCGATTTATGTTCAGCAAATCAGGCAGGACCCGGTCATGGATTGGTCCCTCTTGGCTTTTGTTCTTCCAACCAATTTTGTTAGTGGCACTAGCAATTTGTTTTTTTGTTAATCATTTATAATTATGGGTTCTAATCGCATATATTTTTGTGGTTAAAGGGTTTAGTCCGTGGCAAAAGCAAAATTAACCACGTATACCAATTAATAAGTTAGTGGTTAAAGAATAGTGCCAAAAAAATGTGACAAAGAGGCAACAAAGTAGGTACGGTGAAAATTCGTGGTCATGATTATAGATTTGCCACAATTACATCAGTGGTGGCTTACAAAAAAGGGTGGTTACGGATTTTAAATGCCATTCTCTGACCATTTCTAAATATGTGGTTAAGTAGTCACTACATAACCACTGCACATTCATGGCAATGGACTACAAAAATATCAATAGCTTTAGGCTTTAACTGGTCACGAGTAACAACAGATTACTTTAGAAACAAAATGAGATGTGGTTTTATGAAATTTAAAGGAAATAAAGAAAAGGGAGCGAAACGACGTCGTGTAGTATAATCTGCTTTCGAAACGATTCAGTAGTTAACCAGTCTGCCTCACGCTCACTCTTCTTCCGTTTCGAAAGCTAAAAGCTTCCTTCCTCAAATTTCTAAGAGAGAATTGGGATCGATTCTTAGGGTTTTCACCAGGCGTTCGCGACGAGCTCTCCATTGAGGTTATTGATTTCTCGCCATCATCGAATTTTTCGTTTTTCAATAGTTTCTGATTTTCTCAGCTCGGGTCTCTGAATTCCCCGTTCTCGATCTCTTGATACGTTCGATCTATCGAAAGCTCGATTCTACGAGATTTTGTTTTTGCATATTCTGGAATGATAATGCTGGTGAAATTGAATTCATTTTCCCTGATGAATTTCGTTGCAGTCTCGTTGGTGACGCAAGCATAGACTTTTTTTTTTGCGGGGATCGCTCTGTGATGAGACGAATTTCAAAGTTTGGTATCTTATACTCGCCTGAATCGGTCGTCTAGGGTTTGTTATTTGATCTGTGGGAGTATAGTATAGAGGAAACATGTCTGGTGGAACTCCGGTTGGTGGTGGTGGGTACATAAGGCAAAGACATAGCCAAGGATATGCATCTGGTGGTGATGACATTGAGGACGATGCTTGCTCTAGGCTACAACCTTTCGCCTTAGAGAGTCCTCGGAGTAAAACGTGGGTCGAGATTCTGGAGAATGTTCTTTGGATTGCATCTGCAGTTTTCATTATCTACTTTGGAGATAGGCATTCTAATATGATATACATTCTCCTGCACGATGCTCGGATCAAGAGGTAATAAGTTTCTTAACACGGCTCTTTCTATTCACTGATTTTTTTTTGGCTTAGTGCTTGTGTTTAAGATGTTCGAGTAAAAAGAGCACTTATTTGGCTTACTTTGAACCTGATAATGTCATAGAGGTTTGAATTCAATATTCTTGATTATGGTGGTTTATTGTGTAATCAATCAAAATAGGATAAAGCTTGAGTTAGTTTGCGGAAATCAGATGTTAATATGGAAGCAGAAATACCAGAGACTTGTCATCTTTCAAGTGTTAGGAGTATTCTTAACACCCTCGGATATGTTAAACATGTTCTGTAAAATGAGTATTGAGGATTAGCAAGGACATGTGCATAGGTAAGGTGACTAGTTTTTGAAGGCCTTTACTGTTGAATGGTTTGGAAAATGCAGATTCTCTTGTGATGATTTTGTGTGGATTTTTCTATAATTTCAACGTTGGTTGGGATGATGGGTCTTGCTGAAAACACATCTAAACATAATGCACTCATTGCCTTCTTTCCAGGATGCCTTTATATTTCGGGATGTTTGGAATAGCTGTGAACATAATAATCATAATCTACGAAAGTATGATATCATGGAGCTTGAGAAGGTTTGATGAGAAATGGGAACTGTGGAGTATCTCTGCTCTGCCTTTCATCACCTTACTTGGCCTCGTTTCATTTTGCTTGTAAGTAAAATACTAAAATCACATTGTTTTAGTCATCAGGAACTACTGGGAGTAACTATCATATATGTTATGGTTGTGATAAATTCTGCAAAATGCAGACTCTCCTTTGCTCTGTGGCCTATATGGGGCTTCTTGACTCTCCCTCTTCTGGTATGAACTCAGTCCATAATACAAAAAATATCCAATCCATGTAGACAATCTCTTATCTGGTAATGGAAATATATGTTTTTTTGTTTTGATGATTTGCAGTTCACATTGTTCATGGCCTGCCTTGTTGTGTTCCCACATCTCATGATCATCAAATTCAGGCCTCAAAACGACGAACTACGCATAGATTGATATGTAGAGAATGAAGATAGCTATTGGGAGAGTGATAACCTTTTTTTTCTTTTTCTTCAGAAGTTAATAAATCTGAAAACTGTAGGGATACGGTTGGGTTGAGGTATATATAGATAGGTGAAACTCATTGATCTAAAGGGATCTTTTTCTTTCACGTTATTGGTCTCTGAGATTCGTTCATGTTCTTGTTTCATTTCCCAGCTCAGTGAAGTAAAAAAAAATTCATTTGGTTAGTCCAAAATCAAGTTATTTATCTCTCTGACTTAAACCGAACCGAACCAAATTATAGATCCTCCGGTTTAGCTGGATTGAGTTCAGAAGATCTATAAATTAAATTCTACACAGACATTTTAACTTCCCTCCCGCACAGAGGAAACGGAGAATCGAAAATGTCAGGCGTGGTCGCAGCTTCACCGTCGCCGAGATCCGCTTCAGACTTCTTCTCAGATCCTTGCGACTCCCATCCTCTATGGTTCAAGCCTTCCCTCTTCCTTTCCCCTGGCTTCGACTCCGAGGCCTACATCTCTGAGCTCCGTACATTCGTTCCCTTTGACACTCTCCGATCCGAGCTCCGGTCACACCTTTCATCCCTGAACCGCGAACTTGTCGACCTCATCAATCGAGATTACGCAGATTTCGTGAATTTGAGCACGAAGCTCGTGGATATCGATGCGGCAGTAGTCCGCACGCGTGCGCCGCTCCCTGAGCTCCGCGAGAAGATCACTAGGTTTCGTGGATCCGTGGAGGCCGCACTTTTCGCGCTAAGGAGTGGATTGCACCAACGTTCCGATTCTGCTGCTTCCAGGGAGGTTATGGAATTGTTGCTCGACACTTTTCATGTGGTGTCCAAGGTACACGATTTGCATTGTAGATTCGTTTCTCATCGATTGCTTTTCTGATTTTAGATAATCTGAATGCTTCACGTAAGTAATGACTAATCCTTGTAAATGCAGGTTGAAAAACTTATAGAAGCTCTACCAAGTACTCCTGATGATTGGCCAAACGAGGATGATAATTCCATGGGAAGGATTTCTATGAATGATGAAAATTCCAAGCAGCAAGATGGCACAACCATGAGAGAAGCCAAGAGCATGCTTTTGGAAAGAATCGCTAGTGAAATGAATCGGCTCAATTTCTATATGGCTCATGCACAGGTCTCCATCATGCTTTTACTCTTCTTTGGTGTTCTGCAAAAGTTCTTGTATACTTGTTAGCTCTCAGAAGACAATAGAAAGTCTTGCAATTGATGCTCGCTATTTTTTTTTTCTGTTATGCCCCAGTACAGAATTTGCCTTTCATTGAGAACATTGAGAAGAGGATTCAGAGCGCTAGCGTGTTATTGGATGCAAGCCTGGGTCATTGCTTCATCGATGGGCTAGACAACAGCGACGCAAGCGTCCTTTACAATTGCTTACGTGCATATGCTGCCATTGATAACAGCAAGAATGCAGAGGAAATTTTTCGTACAACGATTGTGGCTCCATTTACACATAGAATTATTGGGCATGAAACGTCAGCGGATGCTGCTGGAACATCAGGAGATGAACTTGAAAACGATTACAAACAGATCAAGCATTTTATTGCCAAGGATTGTAAAATGCTGCTATTGATATCTTCGACGGGTAATTTGCTCAAAAGCTCTGTGTGATTATATTTGTTATATATCCCCAGTCACTTTTTAGAGTTCCATTTTTCTCTGGCAAATAAGTTTTCCCGTTATATGTTCTAAGAAGAATTTACGCACCTACACAGTAATCTAAATTCCATGACTTATTATCTTCATACTTTAATGTAATACCAATCATGCTCGCCAATTATAATTGAACATTGTTTCCTTCTGAGTGTTGTCGTTTTTCTCATTGTACTCTTTTCTTGGTATCTTGTTGCGAAAACAGACAAATCGGGTTTGCATGTCTTCAACTTCTTGGCAAATTCAATCCTGAAAGAAGTTCTTTTCGCAATCCAGAAAGTCAAACCAGGAGAATTTTCTCCTGGAAGACCTGCCCAATTCTTGAAGAATTACAAGGCAAGCTTGGATTTCTTGGCATATCTTGAAGGTAGAGTAACTGATCTACATCTTGATCGCATGGCTTATCAGATGCATTGTGAACTGAAATTATTGTGTATTATATAAGCAAATAATTTATCTTAATCTCTGGTGATGAAATTATTTGCATAGTTTTCAGTTGAGTCATACCATAGACTTTCTGTGAAGGTTATTGTCCGTCAAGGTCTGCTGTAACCAAGTTTCGAGCTGAAGCGGTATATATCGAATTCATGAAGCAATGGAATGTGGGAGTGTACTTTTCACTGAGGTACTTGAGAAATATCATAGACGTTTGTTGACTTACCATTAGAATAGTGGCTTCTCAGCTTCCATAACTCGAAAATGCATAATTTCAGGTTTCAGGAGATAGCTGGAGGCTTGGATTCTGCTCTTACTTCTGCTTCTCTGGTTTTCATTCACGACTCGGACTCATATCAAAGGAGTTCGCCCAACTTAATGCTCAGACAGAGTGTTACTCTTTTGGAGAGCTTGCGATCATGTTGGAAAGAAGATGTTCTCGTTTTCTCTGCTGCTGATAAATTTCTTCGCTTCACCTTGCAGCTTCTTTTGAGGTCTGTGAAACTCGACTATAATATTATTATCTCTCACTAGTTTTTGTTTCAGGTCTCATAGTGATAATGTGTTAATAACATGTAGATATTGCAATTGGGTGTCATCTGCGGTGAATACTAGAAAGAGTAATGCCAGCCCGAGTCCTGGCTGTGAATGGGCAGTTTCAGCCACTGCAGAAGATTTTGTATATGTAAGTCACTTTTTACGTGGATTGTTTCTGAGTTTCTCTTATTTTGAACTTTTTGGGACTTCTGCAGTTTCGTGTTTACTAATTTTGCTGTTGTCATGTTCTGTGGGATAGCTTAAAAACTGTTTTCATTTTGTCTTTTGTTGTGAACTTACTTCTTTTTTTTAAAGAGTGAAAAATGCTATGGAAAACAAGTAAACTCGAAATTTTCATTAATACATGAAATCTGGTCACGTAGACGTAGACCATATGGTTGTTTGCTTTATTTTCTTAGAATATTTACATGTTCCTTCCTTGCAGGTTATACATGATGTAAATACTCTGATCTCAGAAGTTCGTGGCGATTACGTTGGACATATATCACAATATTTATCTTCATGCTCCTCTGAAATTCTGGATTTGGTGAGGAAGAGCATCTTACAGGGTGGAGAATCATTAGAGAACCTCCTACCTTTACTTACCAAGACAATAATTGAAGTCATTGTTGATGAATCTGTTGAGGTAAAGTCCTGGAGAAACATTAGTCCCATTGTTTAACTTATGCACTTCAAGATTTGTTTCACTGCGATAGTGGACACCTGAGCAAGAACAGTGTTGAGTACAGTTTGCTATATAACTGAACTATTTACAGTTAATATCCAAGTACCAAGTACTAATAAATGGTTTCTTCTCTCTTATAGGGCCTAAGGCAGCTCAAGGGAATAACCACAACAGTTATGATGACTAATAAACCACTGCCTGTTAGGCACTCATCATACGTCGTTGGACTTTTGCGTCCTGTAAAGGTATTCATTTTAGATTTGGAGTTGAGGTTTCAAATTCACAGTTACTTGACTGATGAATTCGGAAATGTGGATTGCTGCATCTTCGTATTGGTAGGCCATTTTGGAGGGAGATAAGGCTAGACATTACTTGACCCAGGAAACAAGGGAGGAGTTATTGCTTGGCACTGTCACTGAAATTACAAGGCGGTATTATGAATTAGCTGCTGAGGTAAGTAAATTGTCTGAAACACATGATGCAGAAATGGTTGGTGAGTACTATATATGTGGTAAAAGGTGGTAATATGTAACAGGCAAGAAATACAGAGACGTTGCTTCAGAAATTTCGACAAAGTGCACAGAGACGAGCAGGTGCAGCATCAGGTGTATCTGAAACAGATAAGATGTGTATGCAGTTGTTCATTGATATTCAGGTAACCTTCTTCATCGTGTTGTCTGAAAATAATAGCTTTTACGTTTTAGAGAGAAGTAACACTGACATATCATATCTTACCAGGAGTATGGCCGAAACATATCTGCGTTGGGGTTGAAACCGGCAGATATCACGCCTTACTGTTCCCTCTGGCAATGCGTAGCACCTGCGGATAGGCAAAACTCTATTAGCTTCTGAAGACTCTCCGCTGCAATTATTGTAGTGGTATCATCATAGCTTATAATAAGAAGGGAGTAGCTTCTTTTGTTTCGCTTGTGTTTCGTTGCCTAAACAGTGAAGAGAAGTTTTGTTAAAAGAGAGAGAGAGAGAGCGATCTATGAATGCCAGCTTTGGCCATTCAATACTTTTGTATGACACATCTTCATCTTCAGTATAAAGAGAATGAAGACATTTTTTATTAGAGCTTCTTCGAGTCGGCAGATCTTCCGTATATAAACTAAACCGGGGAAATTATATATGGTTTAAACATGTATTCAACATATCCACATCTAACAGTAATAAAAACCACAAAAACTTTACACAGATAAACCAATAATAATCCAGTTTAAGAAAATGCTCGCTGTAAATTATTTTTGTCATTAAACCCCCAAAAATTTATAAGCAAATTCTATCAACAAATATCTGTAAGCAAAGTACAAAAAGTAATTTGGTGAAATGTTAAAAAGGCATTGAGGTGGGTGAGATAAGGGGAAGTGTGTGTGAGAGAGAGAGAGAGATGGGATGCGTAACGAGGCTGCTGATAAACCCTCACTCTTCCTCGCCGCTTCTCGACCTCCGGCACCGGACTCTCGACCCCAACTCTGTCTTCTCTCTCCGAACCGCAAATACCAAAAGCAAAGGAAGAGTCTCTTGTCTTTTCTCCGGCAACCAGAGGGAGGTTTGTTTATTTATTTGCTCCCATTGATTGTTTTAAGAAATGGTTTTCATTTTACAACATCCAAAGGGAATTGCAGAAACGAATTGTTCGGCGACCCTACGAATCGATTGAAATTGTAAAATCGATTCTGCTTGTTACTCACAGATGAGTATTACTAACGATGTTCGAAATTTGAACCGATTAGATTATTTAATCTTACAACAACTTTTTTTGATTCATTTGTTCAACTTGAGTTTCTCACTTTCAAAGTGAACCATACTGATCAGGTCTTTAACAAGTTTAGCAGCTCAAATCTTAGCTAGTTCTACTGGTATGTAGCATATGGTTACTTGGTTAGTTTTATAAGGATGTCTCTCCGTAGATCGTTTGTAGATGTTGGTTGCCCATTTGGCTGCGAGTTTATACAAAACTCTGCTCAGGTTTGGTGAATTGATATGAGAATCGCAGTTTCAATCTCCGGATATTAATACAGGACACAAATTGTTAGATTTCATCTCTTTTTGCAAGCAATTCCACTTTACTGTTTCTGATAGCAACATATGTTCGACTTCCTTTGATTTGTGCAGGAGCAAGCTCGTAAAGCGTTGGAAAGCGCTCTTGATGGGAAGAAACACGAGTTCGACAAGTGGGACCAAGAGATCAAGAAAAGACAAGAGTCCGGTGGAGGAAATGGTGGCAACGGAGGAGGAGGAGGTGGAGGCTGGTTTGGAGGTGGCGGTGGTTGGTTCAGTGGCGATCATTTCTGGAAAGAAGCTCAACAGATTACCATTACCCTCTTAGCTATACTTGTCGTGGTAATTATTGCGTTTTTGCTTGCACAACAACCATTCTTTTTAACTTAACAAAAATGCTTTCTTTGTTGATGGGTTTGTGTTGTTTGCTAATGGTTGCAGTATTTGTTGGTTGCGAAAGGTGAAGTAATGGCTGCATTAGTGTTGAACCCGTTGTTGAACGCGTTGCGAGGAACACGACAAGGTTTGACTTCTCTGAGCTCCAAACTCTTGGGAAGAAAAGTGAGTGTTGATCATTCAGAGGAGCCATGGAAGAAGGAAGGTTTCAGTAATGTCTCTGCTAAAGAGAGCGTTGTCCGTAAATGGGGTAGTGACTGAAACAAACGTTCCCTTAAAAGTTTTCTAACATCAATATGAGTTCAAATGCATTTGACATTTTCAGTTTTGTAATGAAGGATATGTACTCTCTTGTGAACAAGATGATGATTAATTTTGTTTGTATTATCATCGTTAATCAAGTCTCGGCTTTGTCATATATTTTATGCTTAATCATACACTCAAATCAGGAATAATACTAGTACCAAATCCTGTATGACAATATATTATCTACATAATCAAAATACAAAATACAAAATAAATTTTCAAACTCTGAATACCCATTACTATTCTTCTCACTATATTTAAGTTCAACTCGGTACTTTTTGCAAATAAAACAATCAAAATCTTAGTATCTTGGGCGTCAGCAAACCCACTATCTTATGTATGTTTTAATGTATAATTTTGACTAGTAGTTTTAACTTTTAACATATAAATTTGAAAAGTTGAAAAGTTTCATAGAAGTTTGCATATAAGAAGAAGATTACAGAAAATGTCAATGGAAGGAGACAAAGAAAATGAAGATAATGTGAATGAATGGAGACGCGTATTGGAGAAACTCAATAGAGTCGTTGTCTTTGGATGCTTAAAAGATGAAAGATGCCGAGGTTTATACCCTTCTTATATCATCGAATATTCTCATGGACCAACTTATCACCATTTCCATTCCTTTCTTTATACTCAAAATAAAAGTATTTCTAAATCAAAAGTGGGTAAATTGTCAAACTACTTGTTTGTATTTATGACCAATGGAGTGTCATGGAGACATAGATCATGAAGACCAAATGTCCCACGTGTTTTTGTCACAATCTCTGAGCTGGACTGGATAATTATCCAATATTGTACAGATCAAAAACACCAATTCACTAACTAACATTACATTTACATCAGTTATTGTTATGATAAGTTTATGTATATGTGGATAAAAAAAACTAAATATCCGGTTACCAAATGTGGAGTATGTATGTAAGGTCCCATATATGTAATGATAATTGGATAGAGAAGCTTTTGTAGTATGTGACTGATAATATTTATGAACCGACAATTGCCACTGTGTTATAAATTATAATCTTCTCACCCGCCACAAATATCAAAATCAAAGAAAGAATAAAATAAAGAAAATGAAATGAGTGAGGAATAAAACCAAGAGATATTCTCCCGAAAGAAGGACACGAGAAAAAGGATATTCGAAAGAGAAACCTTAAGAATATTCTCTTTGATCAAACCACTATATCTCCAACTGTATTACCCCTTCTCTCTTCTTCATTTCTCCCTCATTTTCGAAACAACAAGAAACAGAACAGAACAAAAAGCAATGAAGTTTGGTAAGAGTCTGAGCAATCAGATCGAGCAGACACTCCCTGAATGGCGTGACAAGTTCTTGTCTTACAAGGAGCTCAAGAAGCGACTCAAGCTCATCGACTCCAAATCCGGAGATCGTCCCGTCAAACGTCTCCGCCTCGACTCCTCCTTCGTCTCCGGCGACGAGTATTCCGTTGGGATGTCGAAAGAAGAGATCAGTTTCGTCCAATTGCTAGAGGACGAGCTCGAGAAATTCAACAATTTCTTCGTCGAGAAGGAGGAAGAGTATATCATCAGATTAAAGGTAATTTCTAAAACTTTCAAATCGATTTCTTCTTATCTCGCTAATTTGGTTCCAAAAATCTAATTTGCGTCTGGTAAAAACAGGAATTCCGAGATCGAATTGCAAAGGCTAAGGATTCGATGGAGAAGATGATTAAGATAAGGAAAGAGATTGTTGATTTCCATGGAGAAATGGTTCTTCTCGAGAATTACAGTGCTCTTAATTACACTGGTAATCTTTCAATTTCAGACAAAAGTAAAACATTAAAACATTGATTGTGTTCTTAATTTGAGATGTGTTCTGTTCTGTTCTGTTTGTTTAGGTTTGGTTAAGATACTGAAGAAGTACGACAAACGAACCGGCGATCTCATGCGATTACCATACATCCAGAAAGTTCTTCAGCAACCATTTTACACGACAGATCTATTGTACAAGCTCGTCAAAGAATCAGAGGCAATGCTTGATCGTTTCTTCCCCGCGACGCAAGAATCTGAGACAACAGAGTCTGAGAGTATCCAAGCAGAGCTTTCAGAGCACAGGTTCATGGAGAGCCTCCACATGAAAAGCACAATCGCTGCTCTGAGGGTGTTGAAGGAGATCAGGAGCGGAAGCTCCACCGTGAGCGTGTTCTCGTTGCCGCCGCTTCAGTTAAATGGATTGGACGAGACGTGGAAGAAGATTCCGTTGTTGGAGCAAGAAGCCAAGTAGAGAGCGAGACAATCACTCACTCTCTTTTACCACTTGTATTTTTTTTTTATTTACAGTAGAAGCTAACAGATTAAAAACCATTATCAATGTATACAAAAAGGCAAAAGAAACGTTAGGATCTTAAGTCCTTAGGCTACGAAAGAAATGCAATGTAACTTTGTTTCTGTGTTATCTTGATACTACTACAGATTAGTCACTTGAATCTCTTTGTGCAACTTTCAAATTTTAGTTACCTTTGATTCTTAATGCAATGTTAAGATAGGGTCAGAAAGACATAACTCAAATCTTTAAGCTTTTAAAACAGTGTGCGTTCGTTTGTGGCCGGAAAGGTCTCAGTTTGTAACTCAAAACAATTTCTTACTATAAAAGATGACACAATGATTCGAGACAACACCAAAAACACGTTAAGAAACTAAATTGCAGTGTATAAATATGAAATCAATACGTTACAACAAACTTTAAAAGTGAAGATAGAAATATGGACGGTTCAGTCAGAGCCTTCCGTTTGCGCGGAGACCCATCATACCGAGCAATTAGTTATGAGATTTGACTTAGATCAGGAGCTTCTCAATAGCATCCTGCATGAAATTTTGGCAAAAGAAAACGATTAACAAATGTTTATACTGAAATGTGGAATCAATTGATTGTTTTTGGTACTTAAAGAGAAGAGAAGAGTGAGAGGGCTTTTGTAGTTTATACCTTGAGCTGCTGGATTTGTGTTTTCAATTGACTAGCTTCGTTTGATGTAACTGAACAAGCGATCACTGGTCTTGTAACACCACATGCTCTTCCCAATGCTTGCTTCGATGGCACAAAAACATATGGAACATTCTGCAATTCGGAAAGAAACATGAAAAATTAGTACAAAAGAGCTAAGAAACCATTTCAGACAACTCTCAACCTAAAGAATCAAAACCTCTATTTCAAATTAACAAAACAAACGACTTATTTAAGTATCTCGAGAACATGTATATAAAACTAGGTAAGTCACACAACGAATATCAAAACTGTTTAAAATTAAGAGATAAAGATTACAATTGATAAAGAAATTGGCATCTAATAATAGAGTAAAGAACAGTGAGATAAGAATCAAACCTTATCCTCAGCAAGTAAAGGTAAATGAAGGATAATCTCTAGGGGCTCTGCGTCTGCAGCCATAACAACAAACTCGGAGATACCACGATTAAGAGTCTTCGTAGCTGAGAAAAACCATCAAATTAAAAAAAATCAGTAACAGCTTCCCATATATCTAAACCGGAAAAAAGCAACAGAGACGAGTATATGATTGACAAGTTACCTTCATTAGCACCCTTCTTGAGCTGCTTGTAGTTAGCAGCTTGTTGAACGAGATCGAGAATCGTTATCCCCAACTGAGAATCTGCAAGCGGATACGCCTTCGGGTTTACAACTTCTCCGGTCTGCAAGATAGATAACAACGAAAGACCAAATTAAAACTCAAATCAAACAATCAAAGGGAAAGAAGATGCAATCAATAACTCAAAACAGAGAGAAAGGGTACCATCTTGAACTGGGATGCTAGGGTTTCAGAGAGGATTAGGGTTTAAAGGGAGACGAGTTTCTCGGCGTGATGATGATTCTGAACGAATTTTAGGTAAGCTGTCTTAAATACTCGTATACATATATATACATATTTTATACTGGGCCTAGATATTATATTTCGGCCCATGTGTTTTTTAATCATTTCCTTTGCTCGAATCATTTACCGACATAACTACTGTAGTTTTGTCTTAGGAATATATTCGGAATGTACTTGCATAGCCACCGAGCCTTATATACCGAGCCTTGTATAGTGAGAAACTGTTTATTAAATTCATGTTCTATGCTCGGTGAGGAGCTAAGCACATTAAACTGATCGATTATCGAAATTGATTGATAATTAGTTATTTGCAAACTTTCTTACAAGTGATGATTAGTTGTCAAAGATGAGAAACTTGAAGCGCTTATGTGATCACTCTCCTCTGTTGCGATTAGGCTTTTAATGGCTCAAATGTTATACGGTTGGGCTTATAGACTTTTATCTCACATCAAAAACAACACACGATCATTCCAAATACAAGACCAAACCCATAATCCAAAGAGAACAATATTCTACTCTTTTCAGTTGCATCAACCCCTTGGAATATTTTTGCATACAGAAAAACTGAGCATGTCGAAGAAGTAAAATCTACACGAACTGGTTCTGTGAGAAGTTGGACACTCAAAAGAAAATGATGGACACACCCATCATGAAGCATCCCGCAGAGACCCAAGGGCTCAAACGCTCACCTGTTACAAGTGATGACAAAGGCAAGTTTAATTAACACAATGTTGGGCCATTGAAAACAGATCACAGAAACTGTTGGGAGGATATAATCTGAGACTTCTGACTTTACTATGCGCCATTATAATAAAAGATCACCAATGTATCTAAGGATTAGAACTCGGTACTAAGTAAAGTTCAACTATTCGTAGCTGCACTGATTACCTATCCAGCCTATCACTTGTATCTATAAGAATCAAGAACATAAGCAAAGAAACCACAATGTTTTCTACAAGGAATTGGGAACACGAGAGATAAGCTCAAATGGGGTGCAGAGGCGTACCTATTCTAGCAGCCTTCCAAAAGAATCCTCGAAACCTGCAATTATGAAGCATAATACGTTCAAGCATGTAACATGTATTGGCCAAAAGTGATTAACGAAGGCATTAGATGTATGAGATAAATCCACAAAGCACTAGGGGATGAAGAATCATTTGCAATCTTCAATTTGGTCAAAGACTAGCTAATGCTTGAAAAGAATAACCGGTTTCAAAGCTCCATATGTGTTAAATCCAGGAGAATAAAGAAGGTACAAACCCAGTTTTCTGCTCCAGAATGGCAGGGAACTGCATCTTCAGATATGTGCAAGTGCAGATCACAAGCAGCACCACCGTCAGAAACGAATGGAAGTTGAACAAAGCTGACTGCGATTGTCAAATATAAACAGCTCTTAGCTCAAATCACTGAAAAAAATCATATCCAAAAAGGACCTGAGAAGGCAATGCTTACCATTGTATCACTGCAGCACTTCAGAAGCTAATTGCCTCCCTTGAATCTGAAATCACAAGGACACACAATGATGGTGATCATAGGATAATCGATTGGAAGACAGACACACTCGAGAAGAATCATAACTACCACACACAAAATTCAGTAAACACAATCATTAAAACCTGTCATATTAATCTCAATCGAGATTTGAAGAAGACAATCAAGAGGTATGCTCATCTATCGTCACTTCTAATCTAGATTCTATAAACAGAAGCATCCGGTGGGCATCAACATAATCAAATTATCAGATCATAAAGCGAATCGAATTCCACAACCTTCCTATTCATAGTAATCAGCTAAATCGAGAGAGAAGAAATCAGCAAAGCAAAGAGGAAAGTGAGAAATTATCGAGAAGAAGACACGAAACCTGAAGTTGAGCTGAAATCGATGCTAATGGGTGAAGAAATTAGGGTTTAGAAGCTTGAATCTAGCAACAGATCAGCGACGTGAAGGAGAGGGATCGAGAGACGCGGAGAGAAACGTTTTGTGAAAGTTTATTCTGTTTTTCCACATGTTCCCTATTATACCCCTCTCTCATGCATATGAACACACACACGCACACAAAAAAAGTCCAATGGCAAACAACAACAAAAACAGTAAAGATTTTTAAAAAGGAGATGAAAATAACTTAAGAATCACACAGATTTGTCACAATATCAAATTTAAACAAAGCTTCGTCTAACAAATTTTAAGTAGAACAAGATATATCCATGTCGAATTAAATTACTGTATGTTCATTGTGGAATGTAAACAATTGTTCAAATTCAATAGCAAAGTCCAGTTGATTACCAATTCCGATCACATCTGATTTGGACTAAACCGAACTGAGCTGACAATGCACAATCCATAAAGTCCACACTTGATCCATCACATTTCCAACAATCCAAACAGGTATCATTTGTTTGGGCACATGATTTAAGAGTCTAATAAAACCATTGAATTTTACAAAAACATGTTCTTTCGTTGTATTCTTCTTTTACAAACTCTCTAAAGCATTTCGACCACTACCACACAAATTGATCAAGTCCATGAGAACAGAGTACAAGACATCCAGAGACAAACGACCCAACAGCTTGCGACTCTCCGACACCTCTTTCCTCTCCTCGGTGCAGCCATTCTCCATCACAAGCCACCACGAGATGCATCCTTTTGCGTCTTCAGGGTTTACTTGAGCCACAAGGCTCGCTCTCTCCCCTTCCACAATCTCTAACGACAGAGACAGAAAATCCCTGCTCGCTTTTGTCCCCACCGTCCTCGCTTCCTCCAGCAGCCAACACACAATCTGACTCGCCACCTTGTCAAATAAACGAGCGATGTTTAAGGAAATGTTGCTATGAGCATGACCAACTTTAGGAGCACAAAGAAGAGTTTAATTGAAAATATACCTGTTGGAGAATGATCACGGGAAGGTCGGCCAAGTCGCACTCATATTTGTTCGTAGAGAATAAATCGCAGGAGGTGCTTTTCAGCAAGCCAACGACGTTGGGCGTGCATTCGGCTTCAACACTAATACAATCATCCTTCACCACAACTTTCGTCCGGAACTGCGTCTTGAGATTCCTCTTACCATCTGTAGACTGAGTTTCAGAACTTTTCTGGGGGATGATTGATGGAGGAACAGTCATGAAGACAGTCCATGAAGATGTCCGAGAATTCCATGTAGGATGAGATATCAAATGGAGATATGGGACCTTGCAGACCTGTTCGACAAGAAAACAGCAATTTTTATAAAGATTGCAGGAAGAAATTTTGATTTAGAATGCACAAAAGGTTAAGGCAGCAGGGAAATTACCACGCTTTCCAGATGCACAAGAACTCTGTTTGAGAAGATTCTATGAGACAAGGATAAGCAGAAATGATCAAGAAGTCCGGAGCTGTTGTTGTCTTTTGCGGTTCGATTGGATGTTCGGTTGCTTTTTGACTTGGGCTGATCTTTTGCCTTTCCAAAGAGATGCTCATGGAAAATCTGTTGCAAGTATATTTCGTAGCTGGCACGGCTAGGGAACCCTAGCTTCTTCACGCGCGAGTCTCCTTTCTCTGGTTCTAGTCTGCCACCAGATGATTCAATGGGCACATTTGCAGATTCCGACTTCTTGTTGCTGGCATTTTTGAGAGATACAAACAAAGAAGCTCCTTGGCCGATGCTCATTTCCATAAAGTTTTCTCGTATTCCACTAATGCTGAATCCCGCACCTTCGTTGAATGCTTCACGGTTTAGCATGTCAAACAACTGGTAAAAAAGACCAAAGAAGTGAGAAAATGCCATGAAGAGATATGAGATATATGACCAAAAAAGAAAGACACCTGCTCAGCAAAAATCGATTTATGCACCTCCCTCAGTAGCGTATGAGTTTCTTTAACAGATTCATCGTCACTTCCTGACTGCTTCTCTGATGTTATGTCCTGACCGGTAGGGGAGCCTATGTGCTCGGAAGAGTCGTTTGGTTTGTCTATCGAATTTAAGCCAACAAACCCAAACCGAAGAGAGTACCATGAGTCTTGGGGTAGATTAATGGCCAGCATACCAGCTGAATCATGATCTATACGAATAGTGGAAAGTGTGGAGGGACGAAAACCAGAAGTCGGAAACGAACTATCAGAAAGATCAAAGGTGAAGCCCTCGTTGCTGGCGGTTGAAGCAAGCACACGCAGTCGCTTGACTTTCCAGTTCTGCTGCAACCTATAAGCTTGTCAGCATATCAAAAAGAACCATTTGCAACTATCAAACAATCTATTCTGGAATCTGAAGTCAAACTATTATTTTCTCAAATTACAAAAAACGTTGTCAACGGAGTTTCTCTAATTTGAGTTGGCATAGTACTAAGAAGTCCCTCCGGATGTTCCTATAGTACAGTACTATGAAGGATTTAGCAACAGAATCGGTGAAGAAAACCAAATATAAAGTTTTCTCACATCAAACAGGACTAATAAAATGCTTCCACGTCTATCACATCCATAACATATAACAAAACATGTGATCGTAATCGTCCTATATCCAAAAATAGGAAATCATTTATCTGAGCACAACACAAATAGCCATGACACTGTAATCTAATTAAAAACTTGCATTCTCTAAGTAGCAAAATGGCATTAAGAGAACAGAGGCTGCCCTAAAGTTTCTTGTTCACAAAGTAGGAGCTGACATTAAATGGAAAATTTCTTAGCAAAATCTCGAACCTGATAAGAGCACCATAAAACCTTGCTTCACGATCGATTTTCTGCTTTAAGGCTTTTTCTGATTGCTTGAAGTATTTTCCTAAATGCTGCAGGGGCAACAAAGATAACATGATCTCACAAGATTCATATCCAAAGAAAGTTATATAAAGGCCAAAGCTCTTTACGTGAGCAACTTCATTTTTTTTTGCCAACAGTTTCTAACAATATAAAGTGTTTAACTAATACAATCTTCACAATCGTTCCATCTTCAATCAAAGTTAATTAGCACATAAGAAAGCAAGCTACTGATTACCCGGTAGCTCTGTAACTTGGTAGCAGTAGACACAGCAAGATCTGATAGAATCTCATTCGGCATAGGCTTAGGTCTCGTCATCCCAGCAACTGTTACTGCATCATTCGCTTCGACCTACAAAGTTTATTTTTGTCACACAGTAAGAAACTTTTGTTCAAATCTTTGACAACACAGAGAAACTAAAACTTCAGCTACTTCCATCAAGCCAATAAACAGTCACTAAAGAGCTATAATCGCTGCATCAATCTCAGAGTATTTGAATATGAATATCTCAACAAGCGTATGCAGATGAATTTCTATATCCTCCACAGTTACTCACAGTGTTGATAAGGTCTATGATGATAGAGAGCTCCTGATGAGCCAACTGCAAATTCTCCACCATACCCTTCCACTCCCATTGCTCCGGGATCTCCTTGGTGCTCTTCTTCTTCTGCTTCTTCTTCTTCAGCTCATCTTCCTCTTCCAACGCCCAGGCGAAGTCTATCCTCCGAATCAACGATACTCTCTTATCGTCGTAACCAACATCAGAAGGGAAACGCTCGGCGCCGTTTTCCTCTATTGATTCCAATCGCTTTATGGGAAGCCTGTCGAGAGAGATTTCCATGTCGCTGTCCATCTCGTACGGAAAACTTTCCCGGTGAGGAAACCCCAAATTTCTAGCGCATAAAAACGGAACGTCGACGGTGACGACTTATCGGCAAACACTTCGCCGCTCTAAAAGACTAAATCAGACCTAATAATGCCGGGTCGAACCTGATCTTCGTTACGGGTCTAGCCTAAGTAACAATAAAGCCCATTAAAGGCCCATTATGTTACCAAAATTCTGTTGTACGGATTGTGCAAATGCCTTGAACCAAAACTCCTGTTGTAAAACCCTTTCATTTTGGATTTGTGCATCGATCGCTTCCTCTTCCTAGTCGCCTTCGAATTCGCAGGTATCTTGTTGTTCTTAGCTGTTGATTTGAGAATTCACCGTGATATTCATTCGATTTCGTATCTGGATCTATCTGAGTTTTACCCTCCTTGTGTGTGTGTGTGTGTGGGGGGATTCGGACCATGTGTAATTGGAGATTGATGCTTTAGATTCGTTTTACTATCGCTTCCATCACCCGATAATCTAAGAGTTACAGTTTTTGGGCAAGTAGAAATGAGATATGTTTAGAGGATTAGTATCTTGTAGTTCTGAATCTCAATCGAAATGCTTGACGAGTTCTCTTAAATTCATTCTAATGGGTTTTTTTGCTGTCTTTAATGATGCTGTCGATTGCAGAGTGAGGAGCAATGAAGGTGAGATCATCAGTGAAGAAGATGTGTGAGTTTTGCAAGACAGTGAAACGCCGTGGACGTGTCTATGTGATATGTTCTTCCAATCCTAAGCACAAGCAGAGACAAGGATACTGCTCCATTGCTCATGAAGGAATATTACCTCCTCCTTTGTAAGTGAATTTTGTCTGCTCTTGTGGATGGTTAAAAATGTTAGTAAGCTTTCATTTGATCATTGCAAATCACTTCCTGCCTGACAATAGAAACTGAGTAGCTAATATTGGAACCTTTATGTTTAATACAGACTTTTGTATTGGGGTTTCACTATATGATTATGTAACTTCACAAACATGAGATACTAAGTGAAGCATTATGAGCTCTTGCGTTCCTTTGTAGAGTTGGGAAGTTACAAAAGAAACTTACTTAAAAAGTTATTTTTTTTTGTGATTAATGAAACAGGTTCTCTGCGTCGGTTGCTAATCAAGAGGTGGTGAGGGTGCCTGGTCAGGGCGTATCAGCGGGTCTAGCATCGATATTACACGAAAGGCCAGAGCCAGCAGCGGTTTTCGGATGGAGAGCAGGTCTTGCATCCATTCTCTTCAAACAAGGGAATTAGTAAGTGAACCAGCTTCACTTTCCCTTTGAGTTTCTTTCAATTTATGGTAAGATGTGAAACATTATTGTATATCTCAAACACGTTTGTACTTTGGTCAGTTGTAGGCTCTTCTAGACCCGCTCGAATTTGCGCCTTTTACATGGCCTGAAACAAAGAGATATATTATCACTCGCTTCAATATTTGCTTTTTTTTTCTATGGAGCGACATCTGCTGAGTTTGTGAAAACTGAAAACTGATATTCATATTTTTTAGTTGTTAAGCTAAGCTGAAAGAGATGCATACAATTGAAATTTTAACCAATTTACACTTGCAAGTTACAACACACCTCGTACGAAGACAAATTTTAACGACCGTGTGACTGTTGGGTCAATTGCGCATGTTTAAAATCTTACATAATTTCAGAAAATAAAAATGAGCTTCACAACCACTAAAGAAGAATCAAATACAAAGAGCTGAAGAAGTATGGAGAGACCAAAGACTTGTCCGAGACAACGACCCTTCTCGTTTTCCACCGTCTGAGCTCTTTACACGTGGATCCCGCAAGTGAGGTCACAGGAAACCCACTCAATTGAGCATATCTTGTGGACCCCTCACTTTCTATACTTTGGACACTTCTACTTTTGGACATGACGCTTCTTTATTACTTGTGTTTTCATTTCCCTCCCCGATTAAATCGTTAATTCATTCCAAAAATGAAATCACCTCACCAATAATTGATAGGATGCACCGTTTTGTAATTTCTACTTTTCTGCTGCTATTTTAACCAATCGATATCGAGGATGTGATTATGATTGCGTTTCTTTCATAAGAAACAACAAAAAGAAAAATAATTGTTTTGTTTTGTTGGTCGAAAAAAATAACAGAAATGGATAATTAGGCATTTTTACTTTGATATATAATGATTCGAACATGATAATTTTTCAAAGGTTCAGGATCACCCGCCAATAAAAACTAACCAGGCAATCAGGCATGACATTGATATATCATCTCTTAGTTGGACCGTATTATGTAAAAAAATTCACAGTTGTCTGAATATAATATAGTTCTTCATTTCTCGTTACTGTTGATTGAAATCTAACATCATGGTACAGTTTTGCTTCGTATTTTACCAAAAAGGGTGTTCAATTCATAGACTGTCCTCTTTGCAATTTTGGGTTAGAAACAATACCTCTTATAATTGAAAATCAGTATACAATTTGCCATCGAATTGTAATATTTAAGTCAGGATCAGGATCAAAGACTAAAACAAATATGGGCTCATGTTATCAACTTAAAATGGGACCAAAAACTTGATGAAAAGTGAAAACAATAAAAATAATAATGAACGGGACCCAGATAAATCATAGATGGAAATGGCCGGCATAGGGCCAAATCGTCGATTACATCATGAACCGCGATGCACATGGAACCGTGAACCGTACTATCAAGGGGTGACCCACCCAACCCACTTGATACTCATATAATTACTATTCATTTTATTTTAAAACAATTTGGATGCTTTGCACGTAAAACCACTACATTGTGAACCCAAACAAACAAAAACAAAATCTACCCAATACACACACAACACATGCATTTATGCCAACCATAGAGATACTTGCCCATTTACCATTTTTGGTGACTGCCGTCCACTTGCAATTCCGTGACCTTTGGGAACCGAAACTTTTCAAAATCAACGATGTAGGTGCCGCGTTTCTCAGTAGATTTGTATTAAGATTAGTTTTTTTATTTTCTGTATAAGATCTATTTGAATCAACAATGAAAAGTCTATTATCAATTGTAAGTATGCATATCAAAAAAGCATTTTGATTCCAAGACATCTAGAGAGAGGACAATAAAAAAAAAGTTTAAAATATAAGCTGTACTAGCTAGTAGTACTACAGTACTAACTACTAACGAATAGAGCAAAATGCGCACGACAATCATATATGCAAAGTCAAATTAAAAATCATTTTGGTACACAACTTGGAGAAAGAAGCTAACCAACCCAAAAAAAAAAATCTTATAGAAAAAAAACAAAATCTAATTAGTGAACATAAATAATTAAAATAATCGTCAACAAATTTTCACGTGATAAATAACAAATCGGACGGCTGAGATTGTTTTAACTTGACCTTCCTCTCTATTAAATCACTCACTTGTATATAACCACCGTCTTCACTTCTCACATACATAAAAACCTGGAAAAATCAAATCTCGATCTATTCTTCGTCGAAATCAACTTAAGAAATTTCCGAATTCGATCCAGAGAAATATGCTTTTACGAAGCGCGTCGACGCCACTTCTCAACTCGTTAGTCCATGTCTCGAGTCCAAGAGAATCTCCAATCGAACTCGAATGTGTTCATCAGATTCAACGGCCCAGATCTCTTATGCTCTCGGCGTCTTCCTCTTGCTGTTACAGCCCGATGTCTGTACACTCTAGCAGTGACGAATCTACGAGGAGAATGAAAAGGACGGCGTCAGAGAGCGATCTACGGCACCTGACATCGACGAAGCCGTCGAGTAAGTTTATGAGCGGTTCTCTGATGGAGGACGTGGAAGAAGGAATCGGATTCGGCCTTATACGCACGTCGTCTTATGATGGTGATTTAGGATTAAGCTGGGCTGTGAAGGATGATACCGAGGTTGATGGCGGTGGTGGTGGGATAATCCACGGCGGAGGAAAGGGAAGGAGTGGCGGCAGATCCGATGGTGGTGATGGAGACGGAGATCAGGATACCACAGACGTTCACTATCGCAAAATGATTGACGCAAATCCTGGAAATGGGATTTTTCTCAGCAATTACGCCAAATTCCTGAAGGAGGTACAGTTTTTTTCTTCTTCCTCACTTTTTTTTTCTCTTTCTAGATCTGAAATTGAATTGCCGGTTTGGATTGTGGTTTATCAACTATGGAATTGAATGGTTTCCGATGATTTTTGATTGTAAACAGGTTCGAAAAGATTACTTGAAAGCAGAGGAGTATTGCGGGAGAGCGATTCTGACGAATCCTAACGATGGGAATGTTCTTGCTATGTACGCGGAATTGGTGTGGACAATCCATAAGGACTCATTTCGTGCTGAGACTTACTTCAATCAAGCTGTAGCAGCTTCTCCTGATGATTGGTGAGAAATATTTTTGAACTTATATTAAGCTCTCTCTTCTTTGGGAGGCTTTTAATAGTAGTTGTGGCGTTTGTGCTTATGTGACTTGTTGTTTTGCAGTTATGTACAAGCTTCGTATGCGCGATTTCTTTGGGATGCTGAGGAAGAGGAAGAGGAGGAGGAAGAGAGACATGAAGAATTCGAGCCTCAGACTTCTCGAATGAATTTCTTCACCGGACCTTCTGCAATTACGGCCATGTCTTAACTCTCGGTGTCGGCATCTCCATTCAGTCATTTTTTTGTTTTGTTTTATAGATTTAGATAAACGTGTGTCGTCTATGATCAATCTAACCATTTTGTTTAATATGAATTCTTTATATTGTTGCGTTTATGGGTGTTTCTCTACTCAGTGTTAGAAATTGCCTCTTGTAGTTATACCACTGGAAGGAAAATAAGACATGGAATAAAACAAGTTTTGCTTTTGATGGATGTGAATAAATTGAGGTTATTCGGACGATGATTGATGTTTTTCTCTATTACTTGCGTACGCAAAACATAATGAATCCATGTTATATATGTTCAGATGAGACTGACCGGTATAAAACTGAGGTAAACACCAAAGATACGTTTGAGAACAATTATGAAGATGACTTGATGCTCTTCTCTAATCCATTAACCATTTCAGTGCCTTGATGTTAATAACGCCCATGGCATTAGCAAATTGGCTGAAATTCTTGGACCAGACCTACAGTCGGGTTTTCAGCCTATAGACACAGAAAAGAGTTGATTTGTAATGGTCTAATCCGTCCTTACTCTGATATATTGACGGATTAACGATGATGCGAAGTCCATTGTAAATAAGAATCGTGTTTCTTGTAAACTCATCGAATGTCGAATTTTGTCCATAGATGTGTTTAGCGATCCTAAGACCACCTTGGGGAAATTGTATTTCTACGATGCTGATGCGTTGCATTCGTTCCTTTCGCACTCGCAAGCGTACAATCAATCACACAAAACCAAAAGGTAAATTAGTTTTCTCATTTCTGTTACTCTAGCGTAGGAACTCCCAAAACTATGAAGGCCTTTGAACACAAAAAAACTCCCAAAACTATACCATATTCCACAAACTTTGTGAAAACGAAAAACAAAATTCTGCTTTTTTTTCTTAATTTTATATATATATATATATATGGATATATTCCGAAAGAATTTACATTAATCCCAATCAATCCCATGGTTATTTTTTCCCATATTTTCTCCTCCATTTAAATATTTTCTAGATTTTCTGGATTGTTTGGAAAACGTTAATAAAAAAGAGTACACGATATAGTTAGAATAATGTCAAAAACATGAACACAATAACCCTTTGACTTAGAAATTTAGAATATTTTTTTCCCGAGATAAGAACACAAAAACCTGAAAAGATTCTTTAATTGAGTGGTAAAATTCCGAGAAAAAGGAACACTGAAGCAAAGCAGAAACATGGCCAGTGAAGGAAAAGCGACCTTCTCCGCGGCCGCGACGCCGTCGCCGAGCGAGGCATCGAGGGGTGTAGGCGGCAAATTGAAGCGGCAAACCGCGAGGAGGCATCCGTCGACGCCCTACTCTCGACCACGAGAGAACGAGGTACAACGGAGGCCGTGGATCTCGAGAATCGTCGATCCTGCTTATCGGATTATTTCCGGCGGCGCCACGAGACTACTTCCCTACTTCTTCTCGAATGCCGCCTCCGCTCCAGCTCTCACAGCTCCAGACAATCGAGATCAACATCAACATCAAGGTTTTTGCTCTATTCTAGCTCTTTCTAGCCTCGTTATAGTGAAGGCTTCGCTTCCTGGAAAGTTTATTATGCAGTTTTGGGGTTGATTATATTGACTAATCTCTATGGTTGCATATCTGATTTTTGACAGTCCTTGGTTTACGAGTAGCTAGGGTTTTGTTGAAATTGTTTCGATGCTGTCAACTAGTAGAGCAACAATTGCCAGGGTAGATTAAGGTTCTTTTGGTTTTGATTCACGTAGTGAAATTTTACACTGAAGTGCAGGCTTTTTTCCACCCTTGCTAGTGAGACTAATTTGAGATTGATTACATGTAGGCTTTAGGGTTACTAAATAGCTCTCAATGTCGAGTGAGTGATGAATGTATTATTTGTTTGCTTGAAAAGTGGTTTTGAACAATAGTTGTCTCATCTTTTGGGGATTTATAGTCTTTAATTCCATAGAGATGAGTTATCTCTGCTTCTAGTTGTCTAATATAGTCTTTATGGATTTCGTTGAAGATGTCATGGTTAACATTGTGGCCTCTTTTTCTACCAGATAACTTGCAGGATGATCAACAGGAGATTGACGCCAGTGTAACCCCAAGCTTTAATGTAAGTGTCTTTCACCTTCTCTGTCTCTTCTTAATCTCCATTGAGAAGTTACTGCCCTAGCTAAGCTGAATAGCTGATGTCTTTTTTCCTTACCAGCCTGTTCGATATAGCAGCTGATTAAATAGATTAGAGAATGTGTTACCAAAGAAAATAAACATGCTAAATTCTTCTGTGAGATTGTTGTAATATAAAAGTATCTATGTAATCCAAGAAATATGTTATCTTACTGTTTTTTCTTGATTCCACATGAATAACACAATTTGAAATAGATGGCACACATCTTTGTTAACCTTCAAGTGACTTGTGAAACTTTGCAGAAACCGGTGTCAGCATCAATTGAGGAGGGAGGTCCTAGTGGTACATCAAACGTGAATGAAGGCACTTTCAACATCAGTGCACAGACAAGAGGCAAAACAGCTTTAACTGATGTGGTTGCGATCTCGGAGCTTGAAAGGCTAATGGAAGGAAAAACGTTTTCACAGTACGTTCGTTATTATCATTTTGCACTTTAATTGCATTTCGAATACTTTCTTTCTGACTGGCTCCTTATCTTTCCTGGACTTTCTTCTTTTCTGTACAGTTTGTTAATATTATTTTTACATAGACGGCTATAACAATGACATATTTCAATCTCTATCCAGGGCTGAAACTGATCGTCTCATAGAGATAATAACTTCAAGGGCTATTGATCTACCTGATATCAAGAGAGACGAGAAAAATTTGGAGATGCCATCGAGAGAGGGAGCCAAGAAAAGTGTGAGTTTCTTTGATGAGAGAAAAGAGGTCTCTGGTGGCAAGGATGCTAATAGGGAACTTTGGGCTACACCAACCCCAATTGCCAAGTCAATGGTGAGTTGCTTGCTATCCAGCCCTTTTTTTTTGGTTTCCAGCTTCTGATGAAGCTAGCAATTTACATGAGGTGCTTGAAAATTTTAAGAGTTAGTTTGGGAGTCTTTAGGAATAGTTTCGGTGTAAAAGTAAAAGTTGTGTATTTGAGGAATCTGGTGTCTGAGGTCTGTGTGAGGTTGGACTCTTTGTGAAAACATATGAAGAAATGGGTACAGGAAAAGAATTTACTTTATAATTCCCCTTTTCTCATTTACTTTTTTCCACAGGTTTTGGACGGAGACAAACAGATTGGAGATGAAGCTGGTCTCTCACCGGCAGAACTTGCCAAGGCATACATGGGAGGCCAGACACCATCGAGTAGTTCCAGAGGCTTTATAGCAAAAAATGAAAAGGATTCTTTTGACGGGGGTTTATTTGGAGCAAAATCATTTTTTGCATCTCCATCAACCAAGCCTTCCGCATGTTGGCCGGGTATCAAGTTAAATGAGCAAAGTGGTTTTGAGACTCCTCAAAGCCAACGAGGAAGCGTTGGACTTCAAAATTTTCCTAGGACCCCGTATTCTCGATATATCCTCTCAAGTTCTAAGTCCAAGGTATGTTGAGTTTTTCTTAACAATACCTTTCTGCTCAAAATTTTTTGGTATATTTGAATTGTTTCCTGTTTTGGTCAGTTGATGCAATTGCAGGACAATAGTAGCAAGCGCCTAAACACTCTCCAGTCTCCCTCTCAAAGTGTGCAGACAAGATATGGCCAGGTAAACTCTCCAACTAAGCTGCATAATTCTGATTTGAGTCATTACTATGCTGCCTTTTACATCCTGAATCTTAATTCCTCTGTTTAAACATACTAAATCACTTTCTAATGTGCACAGCTCACATCTAGCAAGGGAAGGGATGATGGAGTTTTCGGACCCAATAGAAGATCTCGCCGGAGCGCCACACCTTCCATGATGTCTCCTTACTCACGGCCTTTCAGGGGTGTGTCTCGTAATGAAAATTCTTCTATCGTGAAGAGCTCTGAAGCAAGGGAATCAAGTAACCTATCTAGGTCCCAGACAACAACTTATGATAAGCATCAAGGTTCAGAAGTTGGTACCCCGACTGTGCCTCCGCATTCTAGTCAGATTGCGAGGACGATATTGGATCACCTTGAACGGACCCAACCCACCCCGAATAACAAGTCTGCTGAGTTAAAGCTTGCCACTTCTTGGAGATATCCACAGTCCTCGAAAAATGCTGAACAAAGCAGCTCGAACGTCAACAATGTGAAAAACGGTGGCTCAGCTAAGCTGAATGAAGATACCCAGAACACTTTCTCTCACAATCTGCCATCCTCTGTGGCTAAACCTTCTGCAGTTACCACCAGTGACACTCAGAATGGAATGGCCAAGACCGCTTCAGCATCAAACGGAATATTCCGTGGAACACATGAAGCAAGTAGTAGTGGTACCGCAGGCCAATATGATTTAGGGAAGCCTAAGGGTTCTCTTTCCAGAAGCACAGATGAAAAGGTATTTCGAGCTCTTTTGCTTCTTTTGTCAAGTTTTAAAAAACAATATAGATCCCTCCGGTTTTGATCTTGTGGAAATCTGAATTGCAGTTGGACGCTGCAAAAGCTGTCACTTTTAGAAGCGAACCTGCGAATATCCCGAAGCCACCATCTCATTCACTGGGAAATAATAAACCGGCTCTTGCATCGATTTCAGTAGCCAAGACCTACCAACGATGGGCAGCTCCTTCGGGTTCAAACGCTAGCTTCACATTCCCGGTCTCTTCAGCCGATGGAGCAACATCATCAGAGCCCACAACTCCATCCATCATGCCATTCACGACGAGCCCACCACCAGCATCTTCGCCTTCTGGTGGTGTTGCCATTACAAGTCAACATGAAGCAGCAAAAGATGATGAGATTCCTCAGTTTAGTTTCGACGGAAACAGAAGAGGAGATAAGTCTCCTGTGGTCTTTGCTTATCCCTCTGCGAGCGAAGAGGTGATGAGTGAGGATGATGAGAGGTCAGGTATCAAGTTCACATTTGGGTCTGAAAAGCCGAAGAAGAGAGTATCTTTCAGCTCAACAGATGGTGTTTGCTGTTAAAACAATGACGATGGTCTCTGTTTCTTACTTCTTTTCCAATCCTTTTTTGTTTTTGGTCTCAGATTGTTTAACTTTACATTGGGCGTAGAACTTTCTGCCCAGATTTAGTGGTTTTGATTTCTTATTCATTTGAAGATGATTTCTGATGTAATAAACGAAAATCGAGATTTTGTAGCATTCTTTTTTTTTTCCATCTTGATTAAAGTTCAAATCAAAGTGTTTCTTAGCCACACAGTCTCGAAGTCGCATGTAAAGCTTTTCTCTTTTGTCCTTTTCCAGAAGAACACTCGTGTGGTGGGTGTTCTTGATCTTCCTTCGTAGTTTTTTTGCTTGAGTTTGCTCTCTCCTCATGTGCTCGATTCATGCTGGATTTCAGATTTTCCAGCCACAATGGAGAAGCAAGAACACCCGATTCTTATTTCTTCTCAATCCCAACACAAACTTCGTCTTCTTCCCTCGCGCGATTTCTTCTTCGGACAACGATAGTTCAGTTTCATTTTCCAGACAAAACAACGTATTTTTTATTTACATTCTCTGTCTCTTTAAGTATTACATTCTCCAGTCTTCTTCTCTTCTCCGTTGTAATCACATTGATGGAGAATTATACCTTTTGCCCTGCTTTGAATAGCGACAGATGGGTTATGATCCTTCAGATGAACTGTTTGGTGTTGATTTCAAACCCAGGTAAGAGATTTCAGAACTCTCTCTATGTCAATTTCATGTCCTTTTGTTCTTCACTTGAAATCTTTAGCACCTTGAATCCGAATTCACTATCACTTACAGGCCTGTTAGTAGTATACTATAAATTTCATGAAAACAGCTACCCTCAAACGAACTATGAGACTTCTTGATCACTTGTTAGAGCTCTTCCTTCTCCTTATTCATACTAAAACGATAAAAAGGAAAAATACTTGAGCGTGTTACTTAATTAACCATGTTGATTGATACATCTGGTAAACAATTTGGTTAAACTTCAAAATGTTCTTTTTTGGTGATGGTTTCTTCAGGAATGCGTCCGGTGATTCGCGTGAGCCAAGGTCATGGTTTGGTCCTAACGGTCAGTACATTCGAGAGCTTCCGTGTCCCACTTGTAGAGGAAGAGGTTATACTTCATGCTCAGATTGCGGAATCGAGAGGTCCAGATTGGACTGTCCTCAATGTAAAGGAAAGGTACTTAAAAGAGTTTGATCACTTTAAAGCTTTCGAGTAACAAAAGTCTTTCCTCGTTATAAGAACTTTGCTTAAATTTGTGCAGGGGTTAATGACTTGTCTCAGATGTTTGGGAGATTGTGTCATTTGGGAAGAATCAATCGATGAACGACCTTGGGAGAAAGCTAGATCCAGGTAGCACCATAATTCAAGAACTGACATCTTGATTCTGTTTATTGTTGGTCTAAGAAGTCTCGTTTTTCTTCTGATGCAGCTCTCCATTTAGAGTAAAGGAGGACGATGAGGTTGATAACTTAGAGATAAAGTTCATTAGAAGGGAAAAGTCGAAGCGGATTTACCAGTCACCACCTCCTGAAGTTGGAAAAAAGATCAGCCGATCTCTAAAAGTTAGTTTCATATACATCCTTCATTGATATTATACAGTACTCTCTCCATGGGGCGATTGTTATAGTCAGTCTAAAACATGATATTACAGAGTCTCAATGCCAAGACTGGAATTTTTAGTAAGCGAATGAAGATTATACATCGTGATCCTGTGCTTCATGCTCAAAGAGTAGCTGCAATTAAGGTTTGTGATACACACTAAATTAACATGGACCAACTTTTGGTTTTCTTTTTTTCTTGAATCTGCTTAATGTTATTGTGCTCTAGAAAGCTAAAGGAACACCAGCTGCTAGAAAGCATGCATCCGATTCTATGAAAACTTTCTTCAGTAAACCTGAAAACCGTGAACAGAGGAGCTTATCCATGAAAGGTATATCTCAGTTTCCTAGTAGAAATTCAAAGTTTAGCTCAATTTTTATTACTCTTCTTGTTCCTGGAACTTTCTCTCTTTGCATCCTTCAGTAATGTGAGATGAATTAGGTTTAGGCTTGTCATTTAAGTTGCAGAGTATATCGTTGGATAAGAGTACTGGTCCTGAGCATCTTAGTGTGAGATATCATGTTGTTTCAGAGAATAGAAATGAAGGTTTTTCTTTTCTTTTTCTGGTGACAGTTTCTTGTTCAAGCCATAAAATGGTTAGTAATCATTTTTCTGCTCTCATTGGTTCAGGAATAAAGTTTTACTGCAAGAACTGCGGACAGGAAGGCCACAGACGCAATTACTGTCCAGAACTGGACGCTAATGCAGACAGAAGATTTAGATGTCGGGTTTGCGGCGAGAAAGGCCATAACCGTAGAACCTGTCGTAAGTCGAAATCAACGGTCACTAAAAGCATTTCCACAAGGTACCATCGATGTGGAATATGCGGTGAGAGCGGTCACAACAGTAGAACATGCCGGAAGCTGGCCAGAGTGAAACCAACCAGCGACCGTGGTGGCGATTCTGAGGAAGATGGTGGTGGTAATAGAGCGTATGCTTGTGGGTTCTGCAAGAAAAAGGGACATAATGTAAGAACCTGTCCAAGTAAACGAGTTTCAAAAAGTAATTCTTGTATAGATCAAGAAGGTTCTTGAATCTTGATCCTGTTTCTTTAATTAGCCTTGGTTTTGCTCTTGAAGCAGAAATAGCCAATCACTTGAGTCCTCCTTTTGAGATGGTTATTTTGGTTTAGAATCAATTGGTCAATGATTTGGTTGGATTTGGTCTGCGCTGAATGTCCCACATAACTATCAATCACACGGTTTAGAATCACCTATAATTGTTCAACTATTCTGCGATTCCACAAGTTTAATGACAAAATACCATTATCTTGCATGTTTTAATCAGAAGTTTTCCTCTAATGACTAATTTCATTTCTAACTTTTATCGATTAGATGAACATCCATTGACACTTCGTTCTTTCTTCCTAAGATTAGTATTTTCTCGGTTATTTATTTTTACCATCGCTATTATTAGGAAGTTATATTTAGTGTGAACAAGCTCTAATCAAAAGCGAAGAGTAATTAATCACGTTTTCTTACTTGATCAAGATTAAGGAACGGACAATACTTTACGCGCTAAAAATAACAACCAATTATCGGGTAAAACGTAAGCAAGCCAAAATTGACCAAAATATCGAAAAGGTCGTAATAATATCCAAGATGGATATTATCTTTTTTGTTAAAGGCCAAGATGGAGTATTCTTATTCAACAACTACCACACATCACAAACCACGTACGCGTCTTCGCGTATCTTGCGTTAATGACCGACCCTAGAGAACCTCACTTGTGTCCCTATAAATATAAGTCTCTCTTTTACGACTTTTGAGCCACAACACACACAAAAATCAAAAGGGTCACTAAGAAAAAACATTTTAGACAAACAATATCGAGTTATCGACCAAGAAAAGAGAAAGAAGGGGGTGACCTGAGGTATTTCATCAACACAAACAAAAATGGCCGGAGTTTTTAAAACGGTGACGTTTATGGTGTTGGTTTTCGCTGCGGTTGTATTCGCGGAGGACTACGATGTCGGTGATGATACCGAATGGACGAGACCTGCCGATCCCGAGTTCTATAATACTTGGGCTGCCAGTAAAACATTCCGTGTAGGCGACGAGCTCGGTGAGTTTGTTATGTCCTTCTTTATATTTCTGTCGATATTAATGGATCGTACGTACATGGGTTGATCTTGGTTATGACTTATGATATACGTATTTTTTTTGCTGTTGGAATTTTCACTAAGAAAAAGTTAGATGAATAGAGTTTCCACCACCGACTGATGTTGATAATTCATTTTCTACATATTATTAAAGCATAGGTCATGAAAGATAAAGTTTGTTAAATTTATCCAATTAAATTATGTCATACATTTTTTTATCTTTAAACTAGTAATCCTTTAGAAAACAGTGAAAATTAAATAACATTTTTTTATGTATTATTATAACAGAATTTGAATTCCCTGCCGGAAGACATGATGTGGCAATTGTAACAAAAGATGCATATGAAAACTGCGACAAGGAGAAACCAATCAGCCACATGACAATGTCTCCAGTCAAAATTATGCTGAACACCACTGGACCAAGATACTACATTTGTACAGTTGGTGACCATTGCCGCTTTGGTCAAAAACTAGCCATTGACGTAGTCGCTGCTACTGGTGGTGCTACCACCCCAACAACACCGGGAACAACCCCAGGTACTGGTGGAACCACTCCCACCACCCCAGGAACCACTCCCACCACCCCAGGAGCCGGGACCACTACACCTACCGGCTCTAGCGGGACCACTACACCTCCAGCTGGAAGTGCCGCTTCTTCATTAGGTGGTGTTACGTTTTTGGTGGCCTTCGTTTCTGCTGCTGTTGCTCTCTTCTGAGTTAGTTAATTAGACTCGATATAATGAGTTCATCGATATGCGTTTGTTTCAGATTGTTATGCGTACGTAATTTTATTCTTTGTGAGAATAAAGACTTGTCTTTCAGTCACTGAAGTCGCTTTAATCGGCGAAAGAAATGTAGCTTTTGACAAGTGCTATGATTAGTGTGAGTTTAGATATATGATTACTCGGTCATGAAATATAAGCAATTGGTTTCCACATCATTGAGATTATATATGTTTGAAAGTTACTATATATATCAACATATTTCATGGAATAATTTCATTTTCGTGATTCGTGTATGATCAAACAAGATTTACCTTCTACGTATCCCAATCACTCACGAATGTGAATCAAAGTTTAGATTTCTTATTGAACATTGGCGATCTACAAATTCAATACCAATATATGGTATTTTAGTTTTAGTGGAGATGTATCCCACAGAAGTATTTTTTGAAAGAGTAACGGATTTCTTCCAGTAATTTTTTTATTATCTTAATTAACTCGAAAAATTACGTTTACGTATAGACTTGGATTAAACGTTTTATGATTGTTCTTTGGTTATAGCGGCTTATCGCCAATATCTCATAAATGACTTTGGTTATCGCCAGTATGGCAGTATCACATACATGGTCTCTAGCACATAAAATTGTACAACAGAAGACCACAAACTTCCATAAGAATTTGACACGTGTCCGATTGACGTGAATCAGAAAACCATAAGCTATATTGTTTTCAACAAACCAATGACATTTTTTCCCTTAATAATTTAGGCATGATAACTTCCAACGGTTATACCAAAGTCTTTGGTAATTGCACTGCTTCTTTCCTTATTCTTTTCTTTCTTATCAATCTGGATTTTGTTTGTCATGATATCTTGATATTTCAATAAATTAATATGTTTGATTTATATAGTGTAGCTACGATATTCGATAAGACCTATATATGACATAGAGTTCTTGAAATAGCACGTCTTGGCTTTACCAAAGTAAGAACCTGTAAGAAAAAAGGTAGTTCTAAATTCTACAGAGCTTTTGGTTTGAAATCTACAAAGTTGCGAAAGTTCTGTTGCTTCTATTTAATTTAAGGTTTAATTTGTTAGATATGATCAGTATATGATAAATAAAATATGGAGATTTATTTGCAAGATGATTATATATGAAAATTGAGCTTTAGTTTCTGGATGACCTTTATTTTTTAATTGCAAATTAATTTCAATCTACAGTTCATCGAAGAAAACATTCTACGTAACAGACCGGAGGTCAAATAACGACACTTTAACCTATCAAGTGAGAGAGACAGAGATAATCAAATCATCAAATCAAATGAAAGCAATAAACATCAATCACATGTGCAAAGAGTGTTAAGCAAAGTAACTAAAATTGTTTTTTGCTTTATTTTTATGACGGTACTTCAAATATTTTTCTTTTTGATAGTGTAAAAAAGGAGAGAAAATAGAGTTGGCTATGTGTAATAAGAGAACCACAAAAACAAGCCTTCCATGACTGTGCCATCAAGAAAGTAGCTTTGTTTTCCATCCCAAACTGTCAAAAGTCTCTCTTCACCTATTGCTTAATCAAACACTTTCTCTCTCTCATCAATGTTCCTTTGAGACCAATGCTCCTCCTCTTCTTCTTCTTCATATAAACCACATATATCCTCTCCTCCACATCTTTACAATTTCATAGGAAACCCTAAAATTGAGAAAGAGATAGAGAGAGAAAGATGGGTAGAGGGAAGATAGAGATAAAGAGGATAGAGAACGCAAACAACAGAGTGGTGACGTTCTCAAAGAGGAGGAATGGGTTGGTGAAGAAGGCGAAAGAAATTACAGTTCTTTGCGATGCAAAAGTTGCTCTCATAATCTTTGGAAGTAATGGTAAGATGACTGATTATTGCTGTCCTTCCATGGATCTTGGTGCTATGTTGGACCAATACCAAAAGTTATCTGGCAAGAAACTATGGGATGCTAAGCATGAGGTACGCTCTCTCTCTCTCTTAAATCTTGGATAATCTAAAGTTTTTTTTGTTGTCTAAAAAATATTCGATAGACAAAATCAAGAATTTCTTTGCTGAAAACATGTCAAAAGACCCTTGAATCTTCAACCCTAGATGTAGATCTATTATAGTGTTTTGTCTCAAAAACAAATATTCTGTGCTAAATATCATGAAATGGGTTATTTATTTATTTTTTCCTAAAATATGTCAAAGAGAAAAACCTCGAACCCTAGATGCAGATCTACAAAAGTCTCTTTGTGTGTGTAGCTAGCCTTCCAAGCCTCTTTATTGATTCTCTTGTACTCATCAAGACATGGAGCCACAAAACATGGAAGTTATTCTTTTCTTTCTGTTGCTTTTCTTTTTATTTGTGCTAAATTTTCAAGATCTTGAATATGTTCTAGAGTATATCTAAATATACACAAACTGTTCTTTGAAACCACCGAGACAGACATAATCTTAAGCGAGTTATAGATCCGTAAGTAATTCAGTGTTTTTAGTTTATGGAGCGAAAATCTGGGATGTGATGTATATTAATGAGAATGTCTGAACTGTTTACTGATTTTACATTTGTGGCTTTTTCAAAACTAATTAAATTCTGGGAAAACACTGTGACATGTACACCTTTTGATTAAATTATATTTTATTCAAGTATATTTTCTTAATTAGCTCTGACAATCATAGGCTAAGTTCACAAATGAGACATATCTCTATAGAGTAATACGCATACAGAGGGTTGTATACCATTTAAGTCACTGCCTTCTAGTAGAATTTATAATGTTTATGTATATCTGTGTATATTACTTCTACATATTTGGATGTCAGTATATGTATATGTAATATGTATGTTAAGTCTTTGTTCTGCACAAAACATAAACATATATAGAGACACGAGATCTGTTTCTTCAAACAAAACTTTCAGACATATATTTATGCTTAGAGTACAGAGAAGTGATCTTTTTGTTTGATCCAACTTCTTAAAACTATTAGTTTGTGCTCATCTAATACATATGCTGAATATTTTTTGTCTCCAGGGCCTCAGCAATGAGATTGATAGGATCAAAAAAGAGAATGATAGCTTACAATTGGAGCTCAGGTCAATTTTCTGCCTTGAGTCCTATATACGACAAGTATGTATAAAATGTAATGCTGAAGAAAAATGAGAAATTAAAAGAAATTATGAATACAGGCATTTGAAGGGTGAAGATATACAGTCTCTCAACTTAAAAAACCTGATGGCCGTAGAGCATGCCATTGAACACGGCCTCGACAAAGTCCGAGACCACCAGGCATGAATACATCTCTACACACATTTATAAACATGTTACATGTATCTATATAAATACATTGACATAAGTAACTCTTATTTGGTCTTCTTGGCACAGTCGGAGGTCCTCCATACCAAGAGGAGAAATGTGAGCGTATATGTAACCATTTTTCTACTATACTGTTTAGCTTTCGAATTGAAATTTGTATGCTGACATGCGTCAAACATTCCTGTGGCAGGAGAAAATGATGTTGGAGGAGAATCGGCAACTCAGTTTCCAGCTGGTATTATAAATAACTGTCATATATGCATTCATGAAGCCTTTAGCCTATGATTTCGTTTGAAACTATATATTAGTATGTTTGTGTTTTGAGATATTTTGATATGGTTTGGAAAATTGCAGCAACAACAGGAGATGGCTATAGCTAGCAACGCGAGAGGAATGGTGATGAGGGATCATGATGCGCAGTTTGGATATAGAGTGCAGCCGATTCAGCCAAATCTTCAGGAAAAGATTATGTCTTTGGTCATCGATTGATCATCGAGATTTGCAATCTCATCACCAATCTACTATCTATTTCGTGGTCGTTTGGTTTCTTTATGAATCCGTGTGTCCTTCTAATCTCGAGCCAGAGACATGTGCTCTCTATCGGACTTATACTTAAGCTTATATTTCTGTTGTATGCTTATGAACTCTATGTATTGGTTGTGTTGTGTGCTTAAACGTTTTAAACTAATTGCGTGTGTGTGAAGACTGAAGACTAGATTAAATTAAATTAAAGTGTTATAAAATATTAATAAGCTGGAAGCGAGTAGGAGGCCTGCATGGTGCTTATTTCTATATGATAAGGCAAAAAAAATTGTATATTGTTGTTAAGACAAGAGTGATTTACACTCATAGGCACTTATGAGTTTCATTCTTACAATAAAGGCACTTTGTACTTCATGGTGACTTTGGGCTAATAGAAAGACCAAAAACTCTTCTCTTTACTTTTAATGTGAATTCCACCGTTTCACCTTCTTCCACATTTTACCTTTTTTTCTACAAATCAGAAACTTAAATAGCCAAAACAGAATAACCCTAAAATTTACCGTCGTAATTTCTCGCCGTTCACGCTGCCGGTACCACCATCGTATCCATTGTTGAGTTTTCAACCACTCTAACCAAAGATTTCTTCCGACGAGGTTTCTCTATTCGAAGGACAGCTATCCCATAGGAATCCCGTCGTCTCTTTGTGTGTTTTGAAAGAAGAGGATACAAGAAAAGCTATAGAAGGTGATTCTAATCTGTCGCTCTATTTACTATTGGAATTATCATAAGTTTAGAAGGAAAAATGGTGTAGATGTCTTTAATTTTTTTCTGGTTTCTCATAGGAATTGAAGTTTCTGTCAAAGATTCGATAATCGATAAGCTGACGGAGAAAGATGGGTGGAAAACTTATTTTAGCCACGTTCAGCTGTCCATGTAATCTTGGCCACATGTGGTTGGCCATCCGTCAGGTGCAGAATAGGATGGCAACCGTTTTTGTATGTTGTAATGGTTATCATCTGTATCCATTTATAACATGTATATTCATGACATACATTCGGATATCCACGCTTAAACCACTTGGTCAGGTTGATGGGGATAAGATTGGTGATTTAAGTGTACAGCAGTCCATGGACGAGGACCTCAAACTTTCGAAGGAATCTTGCGTGGATAAGACTTCTTGTACAGAGTCCCCGGTCCAACTAGCAGCAAAAGTGGGACTCCTTCTCTGAATTAAGCAGTTGTGCCCTCCCGTCATTTCCTTGTCCATGTGAAGCCGTTCATATGGACATCCACCCTAAGAACTGCCTTATGGGTGTTTTTACAAAAAGTAACTAATATGATGTGACATCTATATAACAAGACTCAGTTTTTTATAGTACGATGACCATCTCATAGTATAATGAAGAACAATATATCGTGGATTAAGTTTTCTTTCATCAACATTATACGTTTTATTGAACGCACAAATGCACATCGATGAAATTTTTTGTCATGGCTATGTCATTGTATTTGAAAGTTTTTATGTTGCTAGCTTTAGCTTTGGCGTTTTACATCGCTTCTCAATTTCATGTCTACTTTAACCTGTCAATACATTAATTAGTGTTTTTGGTGAGCCACCCCTCATTTTCATTTTTGTTTTCAATTTTAATTGTTTGGAATATGAACAATATTTATGAAAAACTGTTAGTTGGATTAACCGATCTCTTATGCTAGTATATTTTCACTTTTCTATCCATTGTACACCATACTTGTAAGATTAGTTATGTGTATTAACTGATGAAGCTCGTCCATATATTATCGTCCATATAAGAGCTAAATATGTACATGTTATCTTGTCCACGACTTCATATCCACAGTATTATGTCCACGACTTCATGTGGCTATTGGTCTTTCCTGTAAAGTTTGTGTGTTGAGTTTTGGATATACTGAGAACTAATTTCAGAACTATATTTACACTTTGATATGGACACATGTGTTATATCCATATGGATATTGATGTATGGACACAATCATATGGATACGGTTCTATGGAATAGTCTAGGCGATAAACAACAACTCAACAAACACTCGCTCAATTGTTAATTATCTTTGTGTCCACAAAATCATATCCATGATATACATTCGGATATCCACACTAAAATCGCTTAGTGAGGTGGATGTGGATAAGATTAATGATCAAAATGTACAGCAGTCCATGGACGAAGATCTCGAACTTCCGAAGAAGTCTTGTGTGGTTAAGCCTTCTTGTACATAGTCCCCTGTCCAACTAGCAGCATAAGTGGGACTCCTTCTCTGAATTAATCTCGTCGTTTTCTTGTCTGTATGAAACAGAATACATATCTGCTAATGGGTTCACTTGTCCATGTGAAAACACAATTGTTCATCTCTACCGCTCCCTCTGTCGGTATCACTATTGTATCAATTTCTTGTTATTAGCCGCTCTTATATGACAGATAACTTGTCTATTATATATTTGTATTGACAGATAACTTATCTATGATATTTGAAAAATGGATGCAGTGTCATGGATGACACTAACATGGACATATGCGTTTATATGGATGACACTAACATGGACATATGCGTTTATTAAAGAATAGATAGATGATAGTTGTAACATAGTTAGCCATGTGGATTGTACTTTCTAACTATCCGCCTATAGTATTATGATTTCATGGGAGACAATACAGTACTATATACTGCAGATGGTGAACATAAATTATTATATTCACACTGTCCACACACCCCCATCCAGACTTGCCCATCCAAGGAGGAGAAGAAGTGGAGGCAGAAGTGGAGGCATACATGCTGCATTGCCGGCGGTAGATAGTGTCGTATCTGGCAGCTATGACACGAACATGGTCATTAGTGGACCGGATGATGTGGATGGGAACAGTGACCTTGATAGACAGCAGTCCATGGACGGCGAACTCTAAGTGCCTAAGGTTGATGTCGTTGGTAAGCCTAATTGTACAGAACCCCCATCCACAGAAACCTAATATTTATTCTCTTTCACTATTATTCATATTTACCAATGAATTTTTTTTTCCTATTTTCTTATAAATGACATAGAAGACATGAATAGATGCAGTTATGCAAGAATCAATGGATGAAAGCAGTGTATTATACAAAGAAATGAATACCTATCCACATGGATGCGGTTGCGTGGACACAACTAGCATAAACAAATACGTTTATGAAGGAATTATTTGATACAAACTAGCAAAAAATGTTTAAATTTTGGCATCTTTAATGAGATGTGTATGTGGACATGTCTTCGTGTACATGACTGTGTGGACACAAAGTCATGGACTCTTCGTGATTTTAGTAGGTTTAGTGAATCTCATAGATCTATTGCATTAAGATTAGTTGATTGTTTTCTATATCCAAACGGATCCATCCATATGGCTCTGTCCAATTGTGGTGTATGTATATGCATTCATTTTTAGGTCATCTCGGATGTCCAATATCCCCTCACTCATATACAACAATCCATCCCATTTATTACGTATTAGTCATGAACATTGCCCATCCCTCCATGAAGGGGTAAAAATCTAGGCGTGTTTGCGACGTATCTACGCTGAGCAGTCCATGAAATTGAATTCAAATGTGACCACTACATCATTTTCTGTCGATTATGACTCGTGGACGGGTTTGTATGAATATGATTTTTAATTATTTGACTCTCATTAATTGAAAATATGTAATACAAGAGAATTTGTTGTTTTTATCACCATTGTTAAACATAATGCATTTGTGCATTCAATAAAACATATATGTTGATGAAAGAAGATTGTATCCATGATTTGTTGTTTTTGATGGTATTCATGGTTTTATGTTCATATGATAATATGTATATGTTATTGTATAGACATTAATCTGGATATGATTGTATAGACATTGTTCGTATAAGACTCTCAAAACTTGTCACACATACCAATTTGATGATGAGGTTTATGTCATGCCATATCCATTCATATCCCAAAACAGTTATCCAAAGAAACCAGACGCATCGCGACATGTACACGAGTGCGTGTACATGTAGATGTGGACAAAACTGAGATTTCTCAGATTCATCTTCTCCAAATTTCTGAGATTCATCTTCGCAAAATTTCTCAGATTCATCTTCTACAAATTAACTCAGATTCATCTTCTCCAAATTTCAACGAAATTGAATATTTTTCCAGATCCAATAGCTCTTCTTCTAATAACAGCAGCAATTTTTCCAGATTGCGAGTGAACCCAAATTTATCTAATAAGAGCAGATTTTTTTCCAGATCTAACATATGTTCTTCTTAGCTTTGCTATGGTTTTTTCCCTCCGATCTAAGTTTTTCCGACGTACGACCAAAGTCATTCCGGCGAGTTCATCTGACTTCAGATTAGATAAAGTTACTGCGGCACCCACGGTAAAAAAATGTCTTCAATCGTAAAAGGAGATCGAAGCAAACTTAACAAAAGGCATCTTTGGAATTTTTCTCTCTTGTTTTTTGGACAAAGTCACCTTGTATCACAAAGTGCCTTTGAATGTAATTATAAACTAGAAAAGTGCCTTTGGGTGTAATTTTCTCTCAAGACAAAGAAAACATACAACTTATTGATTTTATAACTCACCAACTCTAGTTGTATTTGGAATCGACTCTACAAAAAAAAACTCTAGTGTGGTATTTGGCATTTCTAGTTAATATCTTCTATCAGCTGAGCATTTGCGATGCCGTCCGATATATAGTAACTAATGGCATGCGATTGGTTGTATTATTCGTGGAAACCCATTACAAGTAGATGCAGACTACTGCCCAACCCCCAAAGCAAGGTCTAGGCCAAATACACTTATGTCCTAACACACATGTTTGTTTGCTATTAGTCGTAACATTTTTTCATATATTTCGCGATAAATTCAACAATTCATCGCTCTCCGAAAAAACATAAAACACACTCCATTTGCAAACCTGCGTGTCTTGAGCTTCACAATTTGGATAATTTGCGTAAGCGATATATATCAAGCTAGGTCACTATAATAGGGTAACCGAAAGACGACTCTTGACCTGGTAGATGAGTTTGGGAGAGATAATCTCTTCATCCACCTCACTTTGAGAGAGATCAATTTTGGCAGAATAGAGACCTTGTCCATTTTCGTAAAACCACACATCTACACTGATTTTCATCGATATTAAAGGCGTGTATGGAATTGCGTACCCAATTTTTTTCAGTAATATGCACTTTTCCACAGATAAACTATACATTAAAATAATTTATAGCAATCCCTTATCCGCCAACTCATGTATGAGGTGAACCCCCCCAATTGGTCCAATTGGAGAATTTTCTAACATTTTCTCATATAAGAAAAATACAAGTTGTATTTGCTTTCCCAATCACTGTCTGAGCAAAGCATTAGTTGCAAGCGAACCATGCATCGCCGAATCTTTCATTTTCTGTATTTATACGTATTATCAATTCCGATCAAAGAAAAAACAACAGAAGAGGAAAAAAAAGAAACATCAAAACTATTCATTTTCGTGTAGTTCTTACTCTCTTTCAATTTAATAAAATGCACTTTTTTACAGGATATGGAGCTTTGTGTCGGGCCCGTGAAGCCGCACAAGGCACAATCATAGGTTGGAGCAAGTTGAACTGCGAAGATAATGTAGCCACTTGTGTCAAGTTTCTGTCGATTGCATCCGTTCGATCGGTTTTACAATTTTAATATTCAGGTGCACAAGTTGATGTCATTCTCTTGTTTTCTTTTGTGTTCTGTTACATTCCGTTAAATTCATTGATAAAATAAATTTTAAATTTCGCCTTGTAATTCAGTTTATTATATTTTGATACATTACTTCATTTGTAGTATATTTCTTACGTGAAATGTGTTGTCGATTCTTTTGGTAACAAATCAATTATTATTATTTTTTGAATTTGGAACCACTAAATAGGTAACAGGATAGAGAAAAATATATTTGGTGAAAGCTATAACGTATAACCATGTAAGGAAATAATGATTTATAGATGTGAATCACAAATGGTGAATGTTCCATGAAAATACCCAATTTGCTTACAAGTTTCTATTTTTAGATTTTTAGTTGGAGATAATAATATGGATAATCCGGTGACACGATGACACGTAATACGGTCGTGTAAAAATATCGTTGAACCTTAAAAAATCTTTGAATCTCACACGAGTTTTGTCAACACGCGGGCCAATTGGAACTTCTCCTAACCCAATGAGTTACAGCATTATCCTACGTGGCAATCTCATCCTCCCCTCTAACTTGTCAACGGTCAAATCTTAAATCTTCATCTTCTCTTGTCAAGGTTTTGCTTGGTTTGCACTTTGGACTTTGAAGGTCATTTTAAGGATGTTGTTTAATCTTCTCTGGTGCTATCGAATATCGATTTTTTAAACGAAGGAAATGAATAAGTAACATTTTTAAAAATAAGTAAATACATAAACGAAGGAAAGAAATATATAAATTAAAAGCATTACGAATAAAGAAGTCTAAGATTTCTTGCAGTCTTGCACAATTAGAAAGAAACAATCACAAGAAACGGAAGACGTGTTTACAAGAGCAGATAGAGAGAATTCAATAAACAAAAAAGTGGTCCAAAACTAATGTCTCCATTTAGAAAAAAAAAAACAAAAAAGGAAATGTTTATTTAAATGTTTAAAACACGCTGGAATCGGATAAAGATTTAAAACTTAAAACTTAAAACTCCGAGAAACTTGTTAAAAAAACTCACAAACGAAGAAGAAAAACAGAGAGAGAAAATGGCATCACAAACTTACAATGGCATTCACGGTATAAAAAGGGTACATCCTCTGTTACACTCTCTCACAAATCGATTCTCCTCATCGTCTCTCCCATTAAAATCGAAACCTCAAGCTCGCATTCTCTCATCAGAGCTTCGTATTCGCTCATCCGCTTCTTCTGGTATTGCATATACACGAATCATTCTTTGATATTCGTTTTAGATTCCAGATTTTTCGGCTAACAACTTTTCTTCTTTTCTTTGCTTTTACTGGTCTTGGATATCGCAGGCATTGTTCATCTACTCGACGATTTCATTTCTGTTCATATAAGGTACTGTTTCTTTGGATCTGTTCGATCTCTGATACAAACTCTATGCTTTCTTAAATCTTCCAAATTTTTTACATTTTATTCTGATATAACAGAGAAGCGAGGCAGCATCGCCGGTGAAGACGCTCCACGATTCCCGGTTCATGGCTTGTTTCCGGTTTAAGCTCTGGTGGATGGCCCAGCGAATGGGAGAAACCGGCCGGGACATTCCTTTAGAGACTCAATTCCTATTGGTCGAATCCAACACCGGGTCCCACCTAGGGCCTGACGGCGCAGACGGCGTCGAGAGCAACCGGAAACTCTACACCGTTTTCCTGCCGTTAATCGAGGGATCGTTCCGTTCGTGTCTCCAAGGAAACGTCAACGATGACGTGGAGCTCTGTCTGGAGAGCGGCGACGCCGAAACTAAACGGTCGTCGTTTACTCACTCTCTCTACATTCACGCCGGCACAGATCCGTTCCAGACGATAACGGACGCTGTTCACACCGTCAAGCTGCATCTGAAGAGTTTCCGTCAACGCCACGAGAAGAAGCTTCCGGGAATCGTTGACTATTTCGGGTGGTGCACTTGGGACGCGTTTTACCAGGAGGTTACACAGGAAGGCGTCGAAGCCGGGCTTCAATCTCTCACCGCCGGCGATACTCCGCCGAAATTCGTCATCATCGACGACGGTTGGCAATCCGTCGAGACCGACGTAAACCCGATTAAAAACGAAAACGAGACGTCGGCTTTCCGGTTAACCGGAATCAAGGAAAACGCGAAGTTTCAGAAGAAGGACGATCCGAAACAGGGGATTAAGAACATCGTCGACATCGCCAAGGAGAAGCACGGTCTCAAGTACGTCTACGTGTGGCACGCGATCACGGGTTACTGGGGCGGGGTCCGACCCGGGGGAGAATACGGATCTTCGATGAAGTATCCGATGGCGACGAAGAGTGTGGTGGAGAACGATCCGACGTGGAAGACTGACGTTATGGCGGTTCAAGGGTTGGGTTTGGTTAACCCGAAGAATGTGTTTAAGTTCTACAACGAGCTTCACAGTTACTTGGCTGATGCTGGCGTGGACGGCGTGAAGGTGGATGTTCAGTGTATATTGGAGACTTTGGGCGGTGGATTAGGCGGTCGGGTTGAGTTGACACGTCAGTATCATCAAGCTCTTGATTCCTCTGTTTCCAAGAACTTCCCTGACAATGGCTGCATTGCTTGTATGAGCCATAATACTGATGCTCTCTACTGGTAAGTCTTTACTTTATCTTTTTGTTTGTGTGTTTGATTGGATGAGAATTAAGAAAAAGATTGAAAGTTTTTTGGTGCAGCTCGAAGCAAACAGCTGTGATTAGAGCATCAGATGATTTCTACCCGCGAGATCCGATGTCTCACACTATTCATATAGCCTCGGTTGCGTACAACAGTGTGTTCTTGGGAGAGTTTATGCAGCCTGATTGGGACATGTTCCATTCTGTGCACCCTGCTGCAGAGTATCATGCCTCTGCTAGAGCCATCAGTGGTGGACCTATCTATGTCAGGTAATATGATACATCTCTCAGAACCAGTTCCAACTTAATCATGACACTATTGGTTGCAGCTTCTTACATTATCTGTTCTTTGATGAGTAGTGATGCACCTGGAAAGCATAACTTTGAGCTTCTGAGGAAGCTTGTGTTGCCTGATGGATCGATCCTTCGTGCTCGTTTGCCTGGTAGACCAACCCGTGATTGTTTGTTCGCTGATCCTGCTCGTGATGGTGTCAGGTAAGCTTAAGTTTGCTTATAAAGATGGAAGTCTTAAAGTTTTGTTTGGTTTGCTTATTTTTCTTGATTGTGTTTTCAGCTTGCTAAAGATATGGAACATGAACAAGTACACTGGAGTTCTTGGTGTGTACAACTGCCAAGGAGCAGCTTGGAGCAGCACAGAGAGAAAAAACATCTTCCACTCGACGAAAACCGATTGCATCACTGGCTCTATTCGTGGTCGTGATGTGCATTTGATCTCCGAGGCCTCTACTGATCCCAAAACATGGGATGGAGATTGTGCTGTTTACTCTCAGAGCAGTGGAGAAGTTAGTGTTATGCCATACAATGTCTCTCTACCAATCTCGTTGAAAATCCGCGAGCATGAGATCTTCACTGTGAGCCCCATTAGTCATCTGGCTGCTACTGGTGGTGGTGTCTCGTTTGCTCCATTCGGTCTTGTGAACATGTACAATTCAGGAGGAGCTATTGAGGGACTTAGGTATGAAGGGGAGAAGATGAAAGTGGTGATGGAAGTTAAAGGATGTGGTAGATTCGGAGCTTACTCATCGGTGAAGCCTAAGAGATGCGTTGTTGAGTCGAATGAGATTGCGTTCGAGTATAATTCTTCTTCTGGCTTGGTCACTTTTGTGTTGGAGAAGATGCCTTCAGAGACCAAACGATTACATCTGGTAGAAGTTGAGTTTTAAGTTTTAGCTTTTAGGGGTTATTCAAACATTTCATTAAACCTCAGAACTGTTTTGAGGTAATATTATTGTTGAAGCTACTTTTGATGTTGTACTGTACTGTTCACGTTTTTGTTGTAATAATCAATGATTAAACTAATTAAAAAAAAAAAAAACAGAGTATGAAACAGAGTACATGTAGAATCATAAAGGCAACCTCAGGTTTAGCCTTCTCAGCCAAACGGAGTGAAGAAGCATTCGAAGCATGTCAAAAGGCTGCGAGGGTCTATTGAGCACGAAATGTCTCTGGACCAGCAAAACCCTTCGCTGCAAGACCATGTAGCGTCTCCAAGAAATGCTCTTTAGAATCGTTTTGACCTCCGGGATCTTTTCAGACGGAATATGGATAGTGAACTTACTCCAGTCAAGAACGTCCGAGAAGGGTAATTCGTAGTGATCAGAGATGATGACAGGGACGCAACCTAAGTTAATGGAAGCAACGACTCGAGGGCTAGCGACTTCGTAGCCACTAGGGCACAAACAGAACCTTGCTTTGGCCATGAGCTTGAAGTAGTCTTTGTTGTGTGGTAAGTACTCGTGGACTTGGACCTCTTCGTCTTTGTCTTTCCAATGCTGCAGTAGAATCTTGCGGATATGTCCGTGTGATCCGCCTGCGAAGAAAGCAAGGATGGTTCGGTCACGGCCTGACGCGCGTGATATGCGAGGGGGGCCTAAGTGGCCTGGAGGGATGTTGATCTCAGGGATTGAGACGTCTCGTTGGGGCATGAAACCTTCTGATGTGTTGGCGTTGCAGAGAACTCTTATCATGTTTTTCAGCAGCTTAGGGTTCGCTCCCGAGACGTCTGGTGCCTGTAAAACGTCTTTAAAATGTTATGTTTTAGTGTAGACTTAAGAAAAAAGGCTTAGAGAGAGATAGTGAAAGAAAACGGACCCAATCATGACAAGAAACGTAGAAATGGTCAGCGCCGAGACTTCTATTCCAATAAGGATACTTGTGAGCCACGACATTGACATAGTCAAGAAAAACATTGTGAAGTTGGTCTCTCGAGTAGGTCACAAGCGGCCGGTAAAGGTAATGAACGACGTTGGCGATGCTGACCGGGAGGAGGAAGGCATGTGCCTCATTGGGGTGGCTAGCAGCGAATGGGCTCATACCTCTCTCGATCTCGTCCATGAACTGGCCTTCAATGCTGTATATGTTGTTGACTGGTCCAGTGTGTACTAACGGTGTCTCTCCTTCTCGGTACACCCACACTTTGAATTTCTTCTCCATCTCTATTTGGCTTCTGCTCAAATTCAAGAAATAAAAAAATTGTTTAAATAATTCTTATGTACATCTAGAGTAGTTTAAATTCCTTTATTAATAAAACAAAATATGTCAGCAAGTTTATCTTTAGAAGTCAATAAAATAGGTATAAACTGGATTGTGTAAGTTGAAGATAACAGAGACATCGGATCATGGGATTACAATCAACAAGGCAGGCTTTAAGTGTGCACTACGTTTCTTTAACCGCAGTCTATTTTGAATAGTAGTTCATAGATACGTTGACTATAGTATTAAACTAACACTTAGCCTATAACGTTACATGTTTTAATAAATGAAATGAAGTTTACGTAATTATCTGTTGAGTTACAATTTGCATCAAGATTTGGAGAAATTTCACTTTCTGTTTCGATTTTCTATTGTATACTTATAAGATGATAAATGTATTTGCTTAAGAAAAAGAAATATGAATACTTAAATAGATCAATCTCGAGTTTAACGAGATGTAGAGTAGAGATCAAAAGAGAAGTAGGAAGAATAAAGTTACACCCAATAATCGCTTCGTTTCCCAAAGCAAACGATAAAACAAACCAAGAAAATCGAATTTGTACGGATTTCTATAGAAAAACTTATTTTTTAATTATTATTTTGGTTATTAAGTATTAAGAATTTTTTAAAAAAAAAATTATACATATGTGAAAAAGAGCAAACGACAATTATTTAAAACTTAAACTGATAAAATAACAAAATGTCATAATTTTAGCACAAAATTAGAGCCATTGGTTTCTTTTCGTCCAAAACCTCCACGTGAGTCTCTTTTTTTTTGGTCAATAGTTTTCTTGAAAAAGGCATATTTTTGGTCAATAGTTGATATATATTTTTACTTAATTATCATATTACTTAGTTTATAGAGATATACTATTGGTCAAATCTTGTTAATTAGTAGTAGTTTTCTAGCTAGTATTTTGGTGTAACATTAAATCTAATAGGTGAAAACGCAGAGAAAGAAAAAAAAGAGAAACGGAGAACAAAAAAAAAAGAGAGAAAGAAACTTACTGATGAAATGCATAAGCGTTTCTGTAAACGGCTCCACGAGGAACAAAAGTTTCTTCCTTCTCCGATACATACTTCTTCGACCTCACGGCTTCACGTATGGCCGCTCTTGATTTCGCCAAATCTTCGTCTATTCTACTTCTCTTCTTTTCTTTCTTATCACAACAAAATATATATTTCAAAACAAATATTCCACAGGATCACAGCCTTATGTGAATAAAAATCACCTTAAAATTCTAATGAAGACAAAATGACATCGTCGACACAACATACATACCTTTTGAGAGGTCGAAACTAATGTGAAATTTGACGCAGAAATGCTGAATTCCATGGACAGAGACGGTGAAGGAGAGGAGCCGAGAGACGTAGCATCGACGACAAAGTAGGAGAGACCGTTCGAGTTTAGGTTTGGAGAAGAGTGATCTTGATAAAAGAGGAGAAGAACAAGAACAAGAAGAGCTAGAGAGGGTTTCATAGAAACGCACAACATACATACCTTTTGAGAGGTCGAAACTAATGTGAAATTTGACGCAGAAATGCTGAATTCCATGGACAGAGACGGTGAAGGAGAGGAGCCGAGAGACGTAGCATCGACGACAAAGTAGGAGAGACCGTTCGAGTTTAGGTTTGGAGAAGAGTGATCTTGATAAAAGAGGAGAAGAACAAGAACAAGAAGAGCTAGAGAGGGTTTCATAGAAACGAAATTTGATTGTTTCGTTTTTTCTTTTTTCTTTCTAGTTTCGTAGAGTAAGAGGTTGGCAATGACACATTTTGGGCACTTGTGTATTTATGTTTAAAAGGACGAGAATAATTTGTGTCATTTTCATTTATAAAATATTATTTATATTTCATTCTGTACAAATTATTATGTTAAAGAATCCAAGTGAATTAAAGGACTACCAAATAAAACCATTTAAAGGAGAAAATTCGAGCAGTCAATGGGGAAAAAATCATACTAGGGAAGGAAACTGAAGACTAATAGAGTAATTGTAAGCTAATAAAAATTCAATTTGTATTCATTGCTTCGGAAAATGCTTACCGAATATGAATTAATTTTTCAAATCGTTCCGCGCGCGTTTGGCATTATCTATCGGTTGAAACAGCCATCATGGCCTTAATCTTTTAATGTGTTTGCAGTCTGCTTAATTTAAGGGTCAATTTTGCACCTAATTTGGGAGAAGAAAACGCAAAACTTATTGCGTTCGTTACCATACTACTATAACCCGGTTTGAGGCAGGTGTTTTCAATTTCAATGGTTAAGATCGGTAGTAAACCGACATTAAATTTATGCTAAACGTATTCTTTTCGATGTTGAAGTAATTCAACAATAACATCATCATATTGGGTTGTTTCGCACTAAGTTTCATACATCAAAAGGAAAAAAAACGTGGGATATGAGTGTTTGATATGCACCAAGTATCACGGCAAGACCAAGACCAAGACATCTCTGTCTTCCAAATTTCGTGGAGTGTTGGGTTCGAGTGGTCCACGCTTGGTCTTTTTTTTTCTTCATAGTCCCATTTTTATCAACCACATAGTATAAACATATACTATATTTTTTTAAACTCAACGGTAGTTATTGAGTCAAAGTTCTGCTTTGATGTAATTATATGTTTACTACTTTATTTGCTAGAGCCCAAAAATATTTATGGTTGATAAAAATGGGCAATTTTGATCCAAGACCTTGAATATCATTGAGTCGACCATCATTTAATGCCCTAAAACCAAATTAGAAAAATTTCTGGCAAATGCTTCAGTAAGATGCTGAGTTCATTTGGAAAAAGACACCCAAAAGATAAATGCAAACAGAAAAATACAAGCAATATACTATTTGGGTGGCAACATTTTGATTTACCATTAACATCTCATAGAGAAACAGGCTTGTGAAAATCATTACAAGCCAAATTACAATTCAATTTAAATACAAATAAGTTATTACAGTTTTTTCCACGTGATACAAACAAACTAATAGTTTAAAAAAAAATATTCAAAAGAATTACAAACATGGTTTAACAACCAACATGGTCACGCCAGTCCAAGAACATGAGAGCAGCTGCATAGTGAGACAAAGCACCCAACATAACGAACACATGGAAGATCTGATGACTATGTCCCACAAGATCAAACCATCCCGGTTTAAGCCTCTCAGGCACTCTCCCTACATAGAATCCTGTCCCAACAAGATAGAACACTGCCATGGCCAGCTCGTACATGAGCGTCACGTTCCTTTGCGGGTTTCCCCAGTTGACCACTAGCGCGTGGACAGCTGGCACAATCCCGAAGAGCCCCATGGAGGCGAAGAGGAGAGCGCGAAAAGCTCGGTATTTGGGAGAGGAAAGCGATGGAGTGAAGAGTGTGATGATCGTGAAGATTCCCATAGAGGTGATGCCTGCGAGGTAGATGAAGTACCAACGAGGAGTGCATTGGAAGATGTAGTAGATTGGTGGGAAGAAAGAAGTGATGATCATGGCGGTGATTCCGGTATAGTCTATGCGGAGGAGGAAGACGTTAAGTTCTTTGGAGTGGCAGCAAAAGAGGTGGCAAATGCTGCTCGCGAGTAGGCAAAACATTGAGCCTCCTAAGAAGACGAAAAATGGCCATCTTGTTACATTCCCTGGACTCTTTGCATCCTGTACAATACAATCATCAACATTGATACCATCATAAGTTTTAAGAGTCACATTTTTGTTTGAAAAATAAAATAAAAACTGTATATACACACACATATAGGAATCCTAATTTTTATTTCACATTATCAAAGAATCAAAGATATGTTATAATATAAGTCACGTTCGACTCACGTCGGTCTCTAGTATCTCGGCTGATTTTATATCCACGACAGAGTTAAATATTGAGTTGATATGTTGTACATTTTGTTGACTTGCTTAAAATATAAAGAAGAAAAAACTAGATAAATATATAAAATAACAATTTGTGTATGTGATATTCTCAAATATACGTTATATGATCATCTTTTCGATTCACGTCGATATTTGATATCTGGAGATATCACAACCAAAATTTTATTTCATAATCATCATAACAAAACCCAGAAAATAGCAGTGAAGAAAGTTCATTTGAAATAAAGATTTGTTAAATGTTAACCAATAGGTCAAAAACCAATTAGGAACTTGTTTCTACTTGATATACCCACTTGACTAATTTGAAATTAAATAAGTGGTCGCATGTAATTACCACGGGGAAGAATTTATCGTGATGAGTAATGTTGGCGACGGTTAATCCCACAAATAAGATGAAACCAAGTAAATGCCTGTCCAAAAAAAAAAAAAAAAAAAAACTTTTCCATCAGAAATCAAACAATAGCTAAAAATAAAATGAAATTGAAATTATAATTTTGTGGATGAAATACGTACGTCCAAACGTTGAGGGACTCATTGTGGATACTGAAAACGCTAAAGAAAGCATCTCTAATGGACCAATCAGCTCTGTAATAATTCAATACAAATTCGTTGTCCTTCATGTAATCTGGGAGGTCACTAAACGACACTAACTCTCGTCGTTTCTTGGTCTTCTGCGATTTTCTCTTCTTCCTTTTCTTTGTACCGCTGCTCTCATTTCCGTTCTGATCATCTCCGGGAACAATCTTGCTCGTGCACTTGCTGTTGCCGCAAGAAACCGTTTCTGTTTCGTCTTTCTGATCATCTAGGTCCATATGAGCTATTTGAAACAAGAATTCTTGATTTTGATCTAAAGATTCATGGAAAGAGAAGAGAAGAGGGTGAGAGAAGATCTGAGAAGAGAAGAAAATATATAATGAAAGAAGCTTATTATTGAATGGTATATTAAAATGTGAAATAAATTTTAGGGGTGAGAGAAAGAGAGAGGGAGAGAAATATGGAAGATGGGAAATGCAAGGAGACAGCTGCAACATTTAAAGAAGAAACTTTAGTATGCAGGTAGAAGTTGGTGTCGTGTTTTCATCTTTTAGTTGTTAGTTAGGTTATCAATAAATTCTTCTTTCTTTTGAGTGTTTTGTATTTCTCTTTTTCGCATTTTATATTAGTTTTCACAAGAAAAGTCATTTTTGTTTTACACTACTTTACGAGATACGCGTAATCTTCTTTATACGAATGGAGTAAATTTTAGGCGATTTCGAGACCGACCGACTCAGATTTTACTACCGGCTTGTGCCTCTTATACATGGAATAATGTCTTGTACCTACCGGATCGTTTGAGTTTTTGAAAGAAAGAAATATGATTAATCATTTGAAATAGTAACTCTTAAAATGTACTTGTGAAAACTCTTTTAACCAAGTGGTGGACAAAAATATTAATGACTAGAGAAACATGCTTTATTGATAGATAAGTACATGTTTTAATGTTAAAAAAGAGTAGTTGGAACACCACCATCCAAAATCATGAAACGGTTCTGAATTTTTCTAATGAAAATTGTTGCAAAAGATCGAGATATTTGCGTCATTCTCAGTTAGTTGCCACTAGTAAACGACTTTACGTTTTAAATGCCTCGAAAATAATGAACTAAGATTTACTAGTACTAGTTAGATGACTAAATTTCAGCGTTAATTAGATAAACAATCAACCATAATGATAATTTATTTGGAAAATAACTACGAGGTTAAGATAGACGAAAATATCTTTCGCAGTGAATTATAAATTTTGGTAGCATGCATGTGATATATTTATATGAAGCTATAACTGCTATTTATATGAAGCTTTTAACATCTCGGTCCATTGCCATAACGCGGTGTACCATACATCTTTATTATTATTAAATTCGGTTTGTTGCAATTCACAAATTTGACAAAATAAACATGTTCAATTTTTGTTATGAATAGGATTTACACATAATTCTCTTGTCTCGGTCCTTAGACATAAACACTGGAGTTTTCAGGCATTAGGTAAACGTGGTTTTATAATCAAGAACTGAAGTGGATGGATAATGGCAATGATTGTAGCTAATCAATGGTCTTGTAAGATTTGTGTTTGCTAAGCCATTTTGGGAAAATATTAACAAAGAACAGCTAATCGGCCGTCCCAAGTTTCCCATGAAGTTTCCCACGAAGAGGTCACTCCTGAGAGAAAACCAATCAGTTAAGGTACGCAATCTCGACGTGTCTATATTTCTTGAAAAAACAGATATCAATAAAATATTAATTAGAGAAATTCATGACTTAATTTGTATTTGTTAGATATGGTTGAGAAAAAATTGATTACTAGCTCAACATCTTTAGTAAGCTTCAATTTAGGATAAACTGCCATGTGTTTGCCCAATTATATAATCAAAACCAAAGGATTGGTTATATATTTTTGTTCTGTTGATTATGTAAATACCGGAATCTCCCTTTTTCTTTTATTATTAATACAATACAGAATTTGCATAAATTTGAGTAAAATCCGGTGGATGTCAAACAGACAAACCATACGAAGAGTTCGGTATTTCCGGCAGTTTATGTACGACGAAGTAATAAACAAACCACCAAACCACGTGGTCTTTAAAAAAGAGAGTTTGCATCAAACCATTGATGACTTGATGTGTTGTATCTTGTTTTTCAAGTCTCAGTCCTTGAGAAGTTCGAGTTTCTTCAAAGCATCACGAAGATCCGAATCTAGCGGTGCGTGAACCACGTTGTTGCTCTCTAAAGAGATCACGTCAGTCAGAGGATAGCTCCGGTTAGCGTGCAAGGCGTTGTTTGCGCTGCAAGACACTCCTGTCAGCACTACGCTCTTGTGAAGCCCTCCGAGCAATCCTTCGTAATCAGTGTCACCTGATTCCCCCACAAAGACCGCCATTTTCGCCAAGTCTATGCCCCACCGGACGAACAGATACCTAAGTTCACCATAACCGTCGTCGTTAGGGCAATGCTTTGATATGAAAAGGAAAACCATAATAACTTGCTTGTAACACAAGGTTACCTTAGGGCTTGTATACGAGAAGCCAGTACTGGTATTACGTTTATCCTGGTGCCACTCTGACTATAAACGACATGACAACGTAAAGCCTGGATTCTCAGCAGCTTCCGGAGCTCTCTTACTGGAGGTACCTGTGAATACAAACCAAAACAAATTACTTTTAGCGGAAAGCTTAGAAGATTAGAGAAGACGTTCTTGATAATGGTGTCCGTGATTAGATTTTACCGCTGCAGGCTTTTTGACGGTAAAGGTGTAGCAGTAGTCGGTTGAAAGATGTTCAGCAAGACTGACTATCTGCTCGTCATTTTCAGATCGTTTATCGTTAACTGAAGATGCCCAACGGATCAAAGTCTTCCTCAGCCCTTCACCACCCCAGCGATACTCTACGTGGGAGTGGTAGTAAAAGTCAACAACAAAAGGATCATCTTCGGAGTTGAGAGATGTGTAGTAGAGATCGCTTCCGCTGTTGCATATGAAGGCGTCGAAATCATTCGGGTTTAAGTTCCCTGACACCAAGAATGATTGTATCTCAGAGATTGTGAGAGATGTTGACAATATGAAACCAACAGATCCTTCAGCTCTTTCCTTTTCAACCGCCTCTAGAATCCTTCTTGTGGCCTCTAGTGTGTCTTTTTCACCATCAAAATCAAGAGCAACAACAACAATGAACTTCCTTCTCCGCACTGCTGGGAATTTTCCAGAGTTAACCTCTGACCTCTCCAGTGATCCCATTTTGCGGCTGTCTTTGCCTTTCGACCAGTTTAGGACGGCAGCTTCGATTTTGCTCTTCCTGTCCATGGAGCTCCCTTCTTGATTCATGGAATTGTCGTTCCCACTTCCGTCAAAGGAGAACCTTAAGTTCAATGATATGTCCTGTATATCTCTCAAAGAATCACTGGGAGACTCAGGCTCTGAATTATCGCCGCCATCATCACTTTGCCATTGCGGATGCCTTGGCTTGAAGCTGGTTATGCGAGATAGATAAGTTTTGCAATGCTCTGGCCAAGAGAATTGGTGAATGTTATTCAACCCGTTTTGCCGACACTTTGCCCATAGGTGCTTATCGGCAACAAGCTTCAGAAGAGCTTCAGATATCGATTGCTGATCATGAGGATCCACAAGAAGACCATTGTCCAGGACCTGAAACATAAACTCCAAGGTACGTTTTAGAACAAACAAGAAGGAATGTGATCTTGGGGATTTCAATGTTTTATCGTAAGAGTACATACCCGGTGTATATCTACAGGACCACCGTTTTTTGTAGCAACCATTGGTAAACCACGAGCTGCAGCCTAGAGGAAAGATAAATAAATACATGTTACTAAGATGACAAGAATGTGTCATGAAACCCACACATTTGACAATAAGAGAAAAGAATACCTCAATTAGAGTAAGTCCAAATGGTTCAATGAAAGCTGGATTGATGAAAACACCCTGCATAGACCACATGCACAATAATCAATCTACTTGAGAGAAGAATGCAAAGTAGTGTCAAACCGTTGAAGCAAACATATAATAGTATCAGAATCTGCCAAGAGTACCTTAGACTTTGCAGCTAGGCGATATATGTCAGGAACATCTGACTGTTTGTGATGTTTAGGGTACGCAACTTGACCGTAAAGATCATACTTGTCAATTAGCTTCAGAACAGAAAGGAGAACAGAAGAACTCGTGCTTGACATTTCATCAATCCCATCACGGTTACCCATAATAAGTGTCTGCAAACCAGAAATATGGAAAATAAAATGGCGATCAAAACAGAACCATAAAACGAACAACCAAACTTTTTAGAAAAATGTATTTACAAAAGTCCCCAAATATGACATTTACATACCAGATTAGCAAGCTCTCTCAGTGGACGACATTCTCCAAATGCCTTCACTAACGTCGTGATATTCTTTTTTGGGTCGGGCCTCGCAAGGGCAAGTATCATAGGCTTTCGGGAATTTGAAAAGAAACGCATTATCTGCATCACATATAGAATTTGGAGGTTGAGTAAACTGCTTCGGAAAACTATTTTATTTCAATAATAAAGGTGATGCAGATGCTATGTTTAAGCAAGAACCTCAGTCCATATCGGTGGATCTCGAGGAGTTGGATGTTCCTCATTCCCATCTGTTTCTTCCATATCACCATCATGTGGGACAATATGATTGAACTCCATCCCAGGTGGAATTTTCTGAGGCAAAAACAAATAAACAGAACATTTTATGATCCTACAGACGAGTCAGAACCCTGCACGCAATTATTTAAATAGTGCAAAGAAAGACCACTCTCCCGCCTAAGACATCTCTTGGTCAACCATCCTAAAGCAAGATTCGAATGTAATATATATTAAAACTGACAGTTATAAATAATAGTGAAGATCTCGATAAGTGCAATTCTTTTACAAAAAAAAGAATATTAACCACTGATCTACTCTGTTAAAACTTAGAAGGCATGTCAACGCAAAACAAGAGCCAGGGCAACATCTCCTAATTGTTAGCACTAAAATCTCAACTTCGAAAGCATATATTGCACTCAGTGTTAACCCTGTCAATGGTCAAGGATAAAAAAATATACAGGGATTGAGTTACTTACAACCATGCGAGGCATGAACCGGCCATAGCAGCTCACATTCCGCTTGATTCTTGCTCGCAATTTGCGCTCCAGTATGGGGTCAAAACCATCATACAATCTCCACTGCTCATCTATCTCCTGCCGTGTGCTAGTTATTACCATTTCAGAAACGTCGAGAGATAATTCCTCACCCTCAATTCGACGCATAATCTTGTAAGTTGA